CAACGATAGCGATACAACAGAATATCGACTGTTTCGATGTATAAATTATCGTTATAAGACGATAAGAGAAAGAGGGAGCGAGAATATATCGTCTCAAGGAATTCTCTTTAACTCGAAGCTATAACTATATAAGTTCTCTAGAGAATTTATAGTTCGCATAATTTATAAACATTCTAAACGCGGATTTTATATTTATCTCTAGTCGCGATGTACTTAGCTATGATTCTACTAGTACGAGGAAGATTTTAGTATCGAACGAGAAGGTATAGAAGGCTGCGTTATAAGATATACGTAGTTAGGGCTAACGATATTTTAGATTCTAGCTATAACGTATAGAGTAATCTAAAGAGAGATAAACTATATTATAGAGACTATATTAAGAAGATAAGATAAAAGAGTATAAATTATAATATAGTAGAAACGGCTAGATCGGGTTAGATTTAGCGCGGCTAGACTAATTATAATAAGATTAGATACGAATACATTAATAAACGCGTTATAGCTTTTATTTTAATTCTCTCACTCTTCTCTTCATTCTTATCTTCTCAGACTAAAATATCTCTTACTACGAGACTTTTAGAGAAGTACGAGTACTCATCCGATTCCTAGCTCTAATCGAATATTCTAGATCACTAATAACGACTATTATCTTCTCTATTATAGTATAAAATAAAACGAAGATAAGACGCGGTAAAGAGAATCGTAATATAGTATATAACATTAACTTAAGATATATAGCTACTAATCTAGGAGAAGAAGAAACTACTATAGCGATAAGGAGAAGATAAATAGATACGTATACTGAATCCTATACTACTAAGTCGGTGTTAGAATTAAATACGTAGTTCTTAGCGTAGCTCTCTTATAAAAGTTACGTAGGGATACGAATTAAATTCTAATATCCACTGAGTACGTACTTCTTTCCATTATAATCGTGATTCGAGATAGTATATAGAGAATTCTATATTAATATAAGTAAAAAGGAACGTCGAGTTAAAAATAATCGATCGAGTGATCGGTTCTCTAATGACTCTCTTACTTCTATACGCTCTCGAGATCGAACCGGAAGATATATTAAATCATCCTAGAGAGATTTATTATCGATTAAAGAAGATAGTAATTTTAGTTCTAAGAAAGAGAATAGATATTTCTAGGTCATTAATGAAGAGAAAGAAGTATAGATAATACTATCGCCGAATCGAGAAAGAGTTATGATAAGAGTGGTAAGTATATCTTCTTATAAGAATATTATAGTTAGATCTTAATATAACTAGCTCTATTATATTAGATCTAATAAGATAATTATTCGCGGGTAAAGACTTTAAGATATCTAACGCATATTTAGTCATAATCTATAATAATTCGTAGTAAGTATAATATATTATCCGACGCGTATTTTCTAAGTAGCTTCTCTCGAAGACTTCCCGAGATATAGAGTTCGTTAGGCGATAGTATTATATTTAGATCTTCTAGTATAGAATAGATTTCACACCGCTTTAGCTTAGTTCGCGACGATGAGTACTCGACACCTTCCTTAGTAGATATATCCTTCACCGATCGTTCGAGTTAAGGGTATAGTCGTGGGAAGAAGAGGCGAAGAGAATTATAAGATCGCGATCTTATATCTGACGTTGAGAGATAAAACCATTCTAATGTATTCGGAGATACAAAACGACGAGAAAAGTTCTCGTCTTCTAAAGGCTATATTAAAATAATTAAAGCGTATAAGAGTTTAATGATTGCGCGAGTCTTATCCAGGGACGGTACAATAGATAAGAGAAATGGGCGTAGGTATAATACGTAGGTAAACGCGAATATAGAGTTCGAAGAGTCTTTAGTTCAATAAGTCTAGGATGATGTTTACGAGAATAGAAGAATATTTTAGATCGCTTCATTCCTTAGAGTACTATCGAGCCCGCACCTAGTGAAGGTTAGAAAGGTATCTTAACTAGTAATTAAGAATATCTACGCGTCCGTTAACCATCACCACTAGATACGGAATTACATTAGTGACTATCGCTCTAAAGTTATATAGCGTATACGCGAAGAGGTATGATGGCTTTTCGCCGTCGATGATTTAACGAATACGACGAAGGAAAAGATACAGTTTCTATTAGACTATGATCGCTTTATATATAGACTAGGCCCTACCGGAGGAGAAGAGATAGATATCAGTATCTAGTACTATATATATACTAACTCGGGAATAGGCGAATATAACGGACCGATGAACGTCGAAGAGTATTATCCGACTAATTAATAGAGTCTTCTAAATTAAGGTAGATTCGAGTTTAATAAGATATAGCGGAACTAAAAAATACTTTAATTCTCTACGATCCGAGATAATTTATTATCTAGTGATATATCTATACTAATACTTATAAGAATATTTAATAGATCTATAAGTAAGAAAAGACTATAACGTAGACTTTAAAGGAAGGTTTTCCTCTACTAGAAAGAGAAGACTACTAATACTTTCTAAATCTCTATATACGATTTAAAACTCTATGAAATTAGTAAAGTTAGTTAAAACAATAGATAATATATTAAATTCTAATATAGCGTATTAAGCTTTTCGCCGCTAGTATAGATAGAGAGTAATTATAAGAAGTCTTTTAGAATCTATATAAGAACGACTTATATATACTCAAATTATATAGAACATTTCTATCACCGCATCTTTAGTAGAAGTTAGCGAAGAAAATATCGTCTACTCGTATAAACGAGAAATATAATCGAGAGAACCAACTCGTAACTAGCCTTATTATTAGCGAGGTAAGTTAGATATCGAAAGAGAAGAGTAATAGATATTAAAATATAGTAGTAATCGATTAACTAAGTACTCGGAAAGAACGTCTAAGAATACACTTTCTATTGGCACGTCGCAGAAATTATCTAATAAGTTAAGTTCGACTCAAATATAAACTTTATAACTCTAATGAACTAAGTCCACAATGCTCTAACATCTTAGTTAGTAGAGCCACTTACCACGAAACCTCTATCGATATAGATATATATGGAGGAAAACGATAACGAGGAGAAAAGCGTAGTCTCTAACGACGAAGAGCTTCGACGGGTTCTGAATAGAATACGCTAATTAGGCCGAACTATACTTTATAATCGAGAATGGCAGGAAGAAGATAAGTAGTCGGCGTAAACGTAAGCACTACGCGAGCGGCGAGGAGCGGTTAGAACTAGTAGAAATTAATAGTAGTGAGTATAGAATGATAATATCTAGATAAATAAGGTCACTAAACGAAGTTTAGATTATTTTCTATCCATTATATATTATATTAGTAAGAGACGTAGAAGAAAATAATAATCGATAAGTAGTGTATATTATAACTACTTCAGAATATACCCAGGGTACGCTAGATACCTAGACACCTACGGGTCTTTACGATATTATATTTATCGAAGTTCTATTAGAACTATATAGTCTTCATATACATAGAGCAATGGCGGCGCTTCACCGACATAGGTATATCTAATGGAGTTTAGGGCCTATAGTCTTAATAGAATATAGACACCTAGAGTATACAGAAGCTACAGAATGAACGTCATAATTAGTGGAAGGTATGAAATGGAAAGAATAGGGAGACGCCAGAGACAGCTAAGCTAATCAGCAACAACCCTGGGAGCCCATGGGTTGGTACGCGGCGCGCTGGAGTAGCCCAGCGGTCTCATGGGTTGCATAAGACGCAGACTTACCTTGACAGCCCAGGGCGGCCCAGGGCTCTCAGGGTCGCGCGGGAAATTTTGCTGATGTACCGACCATTTACTCCCGTTGAAGTGATGGCCACCTAACCATATTAGCACTTCGCACCTCTGTAGTATCTCTGCTATGTGGGAGCGGATGTAACAGGAGACATTACATGACTCCTAGCCTATTGTGCCAAGACTCTTTGCCCATCCGCGCCACTTGTCAGCATGCTTCTTTACTGCTGTTCAAGAGCAGGAGTCGATGTCTGAAAGTACCGTCTGGTCGCCATCTCCTATTATTCTGGATGGAAGTCTCGTGCTACCTTTATCTATCGATTCATTTAGACACTATGAAACCCTATTCTAAGGCTGAATATCGTGCGGACTGAATTCTGATGCCAACGGGGTGACTGGCCGTCATGATTGACGTCGGCAATTCAGTAGCGTACTTGGTACTCATTTGAAGTTGGTGGGGGCGGGGTTGGAAAGGAGGGGAAAGGTTAGTTTAGTGGGTGCCTAGACATTCTTGTGGATGTATATGAAGTGCCGCGGGGCTCCACAGACTTGAACTCTGACCGCCATCTTTTGCGTTCTGTTCTCGAGCCTATCGCTTCCCATGACATTTTGACCTGGCGATGGATTTTCCATCTTCTCGCTTCAATTGCATCTTGTGTGGCAGGACTTATTCTACACAGCACCATTTGCAGCGGCATGTTGATGCGGCTCGTCAGTTTTCCCTCCCCTTTCCCATAGTGCCTACCGCTTCATGTTGGCGTGAAGCATTCCCGTAAACCCAACCGAAAACCCACAGAAACCATTTGCTGACTTGCGGAAAACGTAGATGCTACCTCTAAGCCATTGCGGTGTAAATACTGCTCCGGAAACTACAGTCGAATGTGAGTGTTGCTACTCTAGCACGCGTTTATTTGTTAACAAATGCCAACACTGACGCGAGCAGGGACGTTCTGAAGCGCCACCTTCGCACCTGCAAAGACAAGCCCAAGGAGCTTCTCGATGATCTAGAGACTGCGCTTGCGTCCAAAGGGACTGTGCCCACCGCTTGTGACCGATGTTACGGCCAAAAGCGAGCTTGTAGTCGTGGCATGCCGTGTTGCAATTGTCGTTCGAAGAATGAGCCTTGCGTCTACTCTCGAGGTCTGGCGCGGAAGGCGGTTGGCACTGACGCGTCAGAGAAGCCAGCTGCGGCAGGTCTTGAAGCCCCCTTTGAGGATAATCGTCATTTCTCGCCTTCCCCCAGATGTTCGGTGTCCGAAGCCAACGATGACTCCTCCTCAGACATGGAAGCCGATGAACCTACAGAACTCTACCAACCAAACCTGTTTCTTTCCCCTAATCTTCATTATCCACACCATAACATTACCCGACCGACACTCCACACAATCCACGATTCTACAACGACTTGGCCATGGGGCGACAAATACCAGAAGCATTTAATAACCTTTCAATTCCTGGCCAACTTTACCAGCACCACTGGCTTGGTCAACTCTTTTGATTGCTGCTCAGTTGAAGAGAGGTTAGAGCTCCTCAAGAGCTATGACAAGCCGAACTCGCAAATTCATGGCGTTGTCAGAGAAGCCTCGCCCCCAGCCAAGCCGAGACGTACAAACCAACCTCCCCCAACGAATCCATTGGCCTTCCAGAGAAATCACATCTGGGGCTATGTTCTGGATCAGCCAACACCGCCTGCAAGCGAAGAGCCCATGCTTCCAATGGCCGATATTCAAGTTCAGTACACTCAGAATTGGATGATGCTCAAACCTCCAACGAAATCGCCGGCTGAGAACATCAACAAGCCGGGATCTTCGGGGCGTTCGACACGTGCGGGGGGGAAGATCGACTCGGAACAAGCAGCCTTCGAGCTTCAGCTTTTGACTTCTACTGGCCTTCGGATCGTTTCAAGAATCAAAGAGGTCGTAATGGTGAAGCCAAGGAACAGTATTGTCAACTTGAACTGGGCATCCCACGTGGAAGATGCCTGTTTGGAGTTTTTCTCCCCGACAAACATCTCCAGGTTTCTCAACTTATTCTGGGCGGGATGGTATCCCAACTGGCCGGTCATACACAAACCCACGTTTGCTCTACCGACTACGATGGACATACTAATCGCCGCGATGGTGGTCATCGGTAAGCCTTATTTCATGAATATGACACACCCACACTAAATTTCTCACAGGTGCCTGCTTGTCTCCTGATCAATCTGAGGTGGATCATGCCAGAGTATGGTTCAATGCGATTGAGGAAATAGTCTTCACTGATGCAGCGTTCTACACCAACATATCGGGCGACGAGCCGAAAAATCGCGATCCCTCTGGGCCTAGAGACAGGAAGATGACGCAAGTGCTGCAAGCAGCTTACGCAGTATGCCTCTATCAGAATTGGGAAGGCAACGACCTAGCCAAGAAGCGCATCCGAAGATACCGTTATAGCATAGTGGTTGCGGTTGGTCCTCCAACGCTTCTTGAGACCTTCCACCTCATTGACAAATTGACCAGTTGGCAAGAGATATGGACATTGCGTCCTCTAAGCATCCCTACCTGGACTTCTCGGACCCCGAAGGTTTCGACTGGCATAGTTTTATATCGCGGGAGGAGCGCATCCGGTACATTGACACCGCATTGGTACATGGTCACGCGGACAGACTCGAAGCTGACGATTGTTTTCAGAACGCTCATCTACGTGTTTTTGCTGGACTCTGGCTTCGTGATGTTCAACAACCTGCCACCTCGGATGGCAGCCGCGGAGATGAAACTGAACTTGGCCTGCCCTGAGGGGTGCTTCCAAGCCGACAGTGCCCGGGACTGCTTTCTCCGACTGAGGCAGTGGTATTCCTCAGCCAATACTACTGCAACCATGTCGCTGAGCGCAGCACTCGAGACACTATGCCAGAAGGAGCTCGATGACAGGGTTTGCATGCGGTTTTCAACGGTTGGCATTTTGAACATGTTCACGATGGCATCAGGTGAGAATCTTGATGGTCGACGAGGTCCTGGGTCGTTATATTTTTGTGCTGACGACTTCTCAGCCCTCCATTCGCTGTTGTTTCAACAGACTCAGACATCATTTGGCTATGAACCACAGCTCACGCCGATCCGGAATGCGTTATCAAACTGGATACGCATCTGGCACATGATGTCGCCGACAGCTTTGGCGTTAAGTGGAAATTCTTCTTCTGTTTACGACCTCTGGAAAAGAACCGGATTCATGAGACACGCCGCAGAGTTCCACCTGCTCGCAAAAATAATCGTGAAGCACGTCGAGATGTGTCAGCGTGACCGCACGACCGCACAGAGTAATTCCTTCATGCTTACTTCTGCGGCACAGCCTTTTGGTTTCGAGAAGTATGATGAGACTAGTATGCAGCAGGTTAATGATCTTATCGTCTCCTTCAATAGCTTCAACATATAGTCTGGCGTTCACCAGCACACAATTGATATATCAAGTAGCATCATTGCCCCTCAGGTCGACGACGATTTTCTCGGTAGCCTCGCCCAGTCGAACTTCTTCTCCTGCCGAATTCAAGTCTCGCAGAGGTTTCACACGAATTCGAGGTCTGGCAAGTCCCTGTTCAAAAAGTGCTATTGCGTCTTGTACATCCTTCCTTGCGCCCACGAGTGACCCGATGACCCGAAATCCATTGTCAATGAGCGTTGTGGGGCAAAAGCGAATCGGCTGCGTCGGAGGAAGCACGATTACTCATACCTTATGTCCCTCTCACTTAGTTCTATACCTTATATACGGATCTATTACTAAGTAACCTAACCTTATTAGGTAACGTGGTAGAGGCTCTAATAACGAAGATATTAGGTCGGTAGCTAAGGGGTTTCACGACTTAGGGGGAACTCTCTTATTACCAGTATACTCTTAGTGTAACAAGACAAAGTGGCTGTGCTGGGCTTGTAGAGGGGTAGCAGGGAGGAGATTTGGCTGGTCACATGTCAAACCAAAATGGAGTAGAAGGGCAGGACAGCTTACAGTGTGCTGGGTGTGTGCCATTCTTTACAGTTTGAATAGAGTATCATGAATTCTATTACTTTTTTACAGCCGTCTACCTATTTCCTGAGTGTTTTCTCGGTCTTGTCTCAGCTCCTCAATGACGCCGCCGTGTTAAGCGTTCGTTGCCCTAGCCGCTGCCTCTCTGGGTGGTGGTGTTGATGTTGTTGTTGTTCTGTCAGCGCTAACCAGAAAAGCGTTCTCGATTCCCGACCTGCTGGATAGGCATCTGTGCGTTGTTGCACGTATATGCCGAACCCTGAAGTGTTCTATTACCATATTAAGTTTTATAACTTTATGACGACGGAATAGGAGGTTTTAGGAAAGGTCTTCAGATCATAGGCTAAATTGTATATAAATAGGTAGAGTCTCTCTAAGTCGGTAGGGGAATAAGACATAATTAATTAGGTAGAACCACTTCTGTGTACAACACTTGGACTAGTCTCGTTAGGTTAGGTCGATGACCGCCTTCTCGAGGGTTATAACTAAGAGAGACAACCTGTAGCTCGATAAATCGTGGAACATGCCATTGAGACTCTCTACAACTTCGCCCAGGTACCCGAGGTCTTGGGCTTCAGGCAGGGTCAAACTGAAGAAGAGGGCTATTTATCGGTGCAAGAGCTCTTCTCTGACCTACCCAGAGCAGATAAGAGCCAAGAAGAATTGAGACAGTGATTAACTTACAAGACCGTCGCTCCAATCCCCTGGGTATACACTTAGGCCATCGATATGAAGGTTCTAATGCTGTAATATACGGCGGTACACGGTTTCCAGCCCACCAGCGAGATCCAGTGCTGTACTATGAGCCAACAACGCATCCAGGGGCATTTTTACCACATGCGTGGGTGGGGCTGAGAACCTATCGAATACCGACATTGGAAATTTTGGACCATGGTTGCTTCGGTCTCATCGTCGGCATTGGTGGGGAGCCTTTCGTGACTGCCGCAGAGGAGGTCAGCCGGGAGTTTGATGTAAAGCCCTCTGTTTATAAGGTTGGGTGCCGTTGACCATACGACGACGTGCTGGGAGAATGGAATGCTATCAAAGAGATCAGCGATTGGGGCGCGTTGTTGGTCCGACCTGATCGCCATATAGCGTGGCGCTGTGTTAGTCGTCCTGTGGATGTCGTGGATGCCTTGCGATCGGCACTGAAACAAATTTTCGCTCATGACAACGAAAGTAGACGGGTTTGAGATGCTTGCAGCCTGGTTCAGTGAAGTCAGAGCTAGCGCTGAATCTTTTACCTTGAAGTATCCTCACGACCTGCTGGGCCGTTAACGTGTTTCTGCTACTGCTGAACGGACCACAAAAGGTCAAATTTTTGACACCTATAGAATCCACTCGCCGCACCGAACGCCTTAAGCTTGACCTGGATACCTCTGAATACGGGAAAGGGATCTGCGTAAACGCTCTTTCTGCACTCCGGACCCCAGGGCTGATATGTGTTAAAATCGCTTCTTTGTTTTCTGGAATCGCTATTCTCGGTCTGGCTTACTTTGCCTCATCTATTATGTCAGCCATTCGTTTCGACTCGATCCGGACGCAGGTCATAAGCGTAACTCCTTATGCCGGGGCAGTGGCACTTAAATTGTTGTCTGCTGATATGCCGACCAACATCAGGATGCATTCCTACGCTGGAAATCTATTTGCTGCTTTGGTTGGGTCGACCGTGTTCTACGTCGGACCCAAGTTTGTTGTTGGGTACACTGGGCGGTTCTTTCTGCTTGGCGTCCTCTACCGCAACGTGCCCTCGCAAATTGCTTAGATTGTGAACAACACTGCTAGACACACGCCCCGGCCCGATGCAAATGCAGTGGAAACCGTGGTGGTTGATGTTGGTGCCATTGTAAGTAATTGGATCTTCTCGTCGAGCGATACACCAAACTATCTCTTTACCGCCACTTATCTGCTGGCGATGGATGACATTGCACTTGTGGTTACAGGGGAGCCGATACGGTTGTTCAGTCTGGCAAATAGCAAGAAGAGCACATCTGAGTGTAGACAGAAGTTGCTGGCTGACATGATGGATGAAAACTCTGCGCAGCAACTGGAGAAGCCAGGCGATGCGCCTCCAGGTTACAAGTATGTCTTGTGATCCCGCCGTGACTAGTCATCGAAACACAGCCAAGGAGAAATGGCTTCTGCGCCATGATAAGTGTTATAGAGCAGATAGAAGGACGAGTCAAGAGATGTTGGACGAGAGTCACGTATACGCATACAGTCATGGGCTGCTGGTTTTGGTGTTGTCATTGTCCTCGATCTCTCCCTCTGTCGAGCAACGTATGAAAGGTCTGGGCACAATGCATGCCGGGCTAAGTATCCCTTTCAACCCTCAAGAACCCTTCTGTGAAAGAGATTATGTTTTCTTCGCTGGAGGAGATTTTTATGTGTCACTTCAGAGACTATGGTTGCGGAACAACCTTGCCTTCACAGCAGCCGAAATCGACATGTCTTCCGTTGCTGCCAGTGTTCCCGACCCTGAATTTGATGACATCTCCATCCTCCAACCATGCCCGACTAATCTTTCTCTTATGTACATCCAGCGTACTTCCTTCTAGTGGTTGTGAACCATTACGAGTGGCTTCCAGGAGGCATCCAAGTTCAGATGGGGTAGAACCTGATAATGTACCAGTCCCAATGAGATCTCCTGATTTCAAAGGGCATCCGCCGGCAGTGTGATGGGCAATCATTTGGGCGAACGAAAAAAGGATATTTTTTGTGTTACCTTGAACGAGATGATACTCTTGGGAATCCACTGTGACTGTTAGTAATTGATAGGCCGGCTGCTTCTCTACCCACATTCAAGAAAGACATCGATAGGGATGTCATAAACAGTGTCCTTGCGAGCTTCCTGCAGATAGGGTAACAGCGAGGTATGCTTGTCAAACATGAGCGTCGCACCATCCACAGGGGAGGAGTGCTTACCGATGGCACAGGTTTCGTCCGAAGTAGTTCCAGTGCATCTAATGGGACGACCCATGGAGATATGGTGGTACAGAAGTTCTTGCCGTTGAACGGTCCCAGTGGCGTCGCTTCGGTGCTTTGAATATCTCTTGCCGACCAATCGTTCATAAGCACAACGCCAAAGATATGCTCTTCCGCCTCGACTACCGGAATAGCAATACCATGTTCGTTCCCTTTCCCAATGAAAGCAGCAAACTCAACTTCGAAGTCCAATTTTTGGCTGGGCCCGAATGCTGGCGCCTCGTTCACGAGAAATTGGCCACGCGGTCGACGAACAGGTGTGCCTGACACCACGACCGAGGAACTGCGCCCATGGTAGCCAAGAGGCATATTATACATACTCTCAGGTGGCTGAGTTCCAGGCCTGAAAATGTCGGTGCACTATAAATTGGTGCGATTAGTGAGTGCTTTCTCGAACAAAGGACGGGGCCGCAGTGCACCGACATTTTGAGCATGGTAGGGGCTGGTAAAGAAGTCTGTATAGTCACCAATGTCAAAGGGGAGATGCATCTCGGCTTTCTGCCTTGGGACAAGGGCTTCTTTCTTCAGCGCGGCATCATCGCGCAAAAAACGCCCAAGCGAGGTATCTGCCCGGAGGATGCTCTGCAAGAAAGCCCGCACTTTGCGGTGCACTCCCTGGCCCAGAGCGGCGTATCTGTTCAATGTCTGCTCCTCAAGCGTAGTTTTATCGATGTCAAGGGCAGCAAAAGTCCCTTTCTCGGCTAGAACCTTCAAATCGAGAATATGACGTCCGATGGCGACACCAATGCGTCGGTCCCTCTCTGGAGCGCTAAATATACCATAAGGGAGGTTTTGCACTGAAAAGCCGGACTGGTGATGATCCTCTACCCAGGTGTCCATCGCCGACAGACTTTCCAAGAGGATCCAACACGCAGCGGCAATCCACCTGCAGAGAACAAACTCCGGCGTGCGATGCGACTATCTAGATCAGAATACAAGCCCAACGCCAATGTGTCGTACACGCGTATATGTAAGGCAGTCTCGCGCCTGTGAACCTGACCTGTGTTGAATCCTGGAATCAGGCCGTTCTAAGCACTACGGTGCGAATTTTCCGGGTCTGGTAGGGCGGCAGTTGCATCGACTCGGTAAATTGCGAAAATTGCGACAATTTCCCGACGATTCCGTGTAACTAAGAGCAATTATTGTCAGCGGCACTGGGTGGAAACCAAACAATCCATACGTCCATGCACGGTGATGTTGGTGGTGCTAAGGCCAAATGGCGTCTTCAGTGGACACTAGACTGTCACCCACTGCGAGTTTACACTGCAGAACGCTGAAGCCATAGCACCATCTGCCCGGGAGGGTTACTAACGTGATGGGTCGACAGGTCCAGTGACTTCCCACGCTGTCAGCTATGCCTCCGTACGGATAATTCATATCCGATACCCTAGCAGTACGGCCGCAACGAAGGTGCAGCAAGCACGCGAGCAAAATGGCCCTGGGTTCGTGACTGGAATGCTAATACGCAAAGACAACGTCCAGCGGCGCAGAATCCCTCAAGATCGCTCTATGCTCCAGACAACTCCTACGGAAGAGTAGAATTCCGAGGGCGAGAGCTCCTGGTAGCGTCCAGCTTCATATTCTTCTGAGCACATGTGCTTGGGGAGCGATGAAAGTTGTCAACCCGAGACCATGGCCAGGGCCGTTTACATTGCTAGGATATATGGAGAAGATGAGAATGAAGTAATCTTCTCGGGACAGGAATTTGTTTGGGAATGGCCCTACCGGGAAGCTTGCCTTGAATGAGGTTCGACAACCTACACGAGCACAAAATTTGAACCTTTGCTTTACTCTGCTTGTTCTGATATTGCAAAAGACTCTGGAGAAATCTTATATCACCAAAGGTGTCAATGCACATCACAAAAGGGAGATTTGTTATATAGCTGATTCTGTCGTTGGCTCGGACGTGCAGGCGATGCCATACAAACACCCCATTTCTTCGATCTTGCAAGCGAAAGGATAGCACCGCTCACTAGAGGCAGAAATACCCTGCCGACGCTTCCGGGCATGTTATCTAATCAATTGGCACAGCAAGGACTCAAGGTTCGCCACCAGCAATCTACAAAATATTTCGAATCTTCCACTTCCATGGCAAGATGCTGAGTTCAAAATACCGTCTTGCCAGAGCCTGCCAGTGGCCTCCGGCTTAGGCTCCAGCAATGGAAATATGTACAGCGAGAGAGTATGAGAGATGACCCAGCATACATTGTTATGACCTTGGGTACTCTTGCTATCCATCGTCAAGCTACGTCTACTTCCGAAGCTTATTGCAAGGTACAAGGTGATAGTGTTCAGCGGGAATAATCTAAGCGCCGGGCGAGATTTCGTACGTAACCAGTTTCCGGGCGTGACTGGAGCTAGGACGCAGGTCACAAGGGATAAAAGCAGCCTCATATTCTTGCTAAGTCAGTTGGTTCCTTGCACATCTACTCACACGGCCCTTCGCCAAGGCCTATCGACTTTTGGAAGAGTATATAAAAAGCGTGTTGGAACTAGCAAAATCTGTCTTGCCTAAGGGCTGCTTTTACAGGTATGAGTACCAGCGCCTTGACTGTAATTCACAGACTGAGAGAGGTTCGGACACGGTGAGAACGAAATGTCGGGATTTGGAGAGCGGCAAGAAGACGGCTAGAATTGTAGCGTGTGTGGGAGTTCGGAAGCCTGTCATTAGTCCGGTGTCCACGAGAGGTGCTTATTAGTTCATTCCCTACACGAGATGAGGCTGCCGCATATCGACCGGCAAGGCTTAGTTGGGATGTAGTCGGGCTGTAAGACTTTTTTTCCCGCCCCCTATTTTGCCGTCTTATTTTCCTGGCCGACGCGACACCTCCATCTGGGGATCTGCCTTGGCTTGCGGGGAAGGGAGGAAATTTGGCTTGATTGACGGGTCGATATAGCCGTGTTGTCCTGTGGCGCCCTACCCCAGTTGTCCCCGGAGTATCACGTGGATCTCCGTTCGCGGAGGGTCATCGTCCAACTTGTGAATTCCCAAGTTCTGCCGCTATCTCACATACTTGAGCGAGTCATTTATAAACTGTTGTTAAGCTGAATGTACAGAGCTTGGGCACGGCTCTCCTTGCAGTACGCAAATTATTGGCAAAACCATCACATCTTGTGGCTCCTTTCGACCTATTCTGGAATCCTTCACTAAAGTCAGTATGTCTAGCACGTACTTCATCCGAGGAGCGACGGTGGTGTCCATCGACCCCGTGATCGGGACCGTTTCTGACTGCGATGTACTCATTCAGGGGGAAGACATCAAGGCCGTCGGTCCAAACCTCGAAGCACCAAACGACGCTGTCATCATCGACGGCACCGATGCCATTGTATCGCCCGGTTTCGTCGACACTCATCGACACACTTGGCAGATCCAGTTACGTTGCGTCACTTGTGACTTCAGTCTGTTCGAGTATTTCCTTCACATCCGCAACAAGTTTGGATCATGCTACCTTCCGGAGGATGTCTATCTAGGAAACTACTGTGGCGCTCTTGAGTCGCTGGATAATGGTATCACCTGCCTCGTGGATCATTGCCACATTCTGAACTCCCCTGATCATTCAGATGCCGCCGTCCGCGGCTTGCAGGATGCTCAAATCAGAGGAGCGTTCTGCTACGGGCTTTACAGAAATCCAAAGTACGCCTGGACACCCGACGGAGTGCTCACGGATGCGGCCGAGCCTGACTGGCGGCTGGACGATGCTAAACGGGTCCGAGAAAAGTTTTTCAGTCGAGAAAATGCAGCAACTGACCTTCTGCGTTTTGGTTTTGCTCCAGCCGAGATTGAGCGCTCCTCTTTGGAACAGAGCATCAAGGAAGTCGAGTACGGGCGCTCACTGGGGGCGGCGGTGATCACGGCACACGCGTCAATGGGAAAGTACGACAAAGGTTATCACCTGGTTCGCAGACTACATGAGCGCAAACTCCTCAAGCCAGATCTGCTCCTGAGTCACTGTGCATCCCTCCATGATGACGAGCTGCAAGCGGTGCGGGAGACAGGCGTATCTTTGTCATCGACACCGGATACAGAGCTGCAGATGGGGATGGGCCAGCCCGTGGCCTTCAAAGCGCGCAAGCATGGCTGCATTTGCAGCATCGGCGTGGACATTGTGTCGAATAACCCTGCCGACATGTTTCAGCAAATGCGCCTCATCTTGCAAGCCCAACGACACAAGGACAATGAAGCGGCAGACGGCTCGCCTCTCAAGGTGTCGCATACGTGCTTTGACGTGTTGACGCTGGCCACTCTAGGCGGCGCCGAAGCGATGGGCCTTAAAGAAGTGGTGGGGAGTGTCACTCCAGGAAAGAAGGCGGATCTATTGATCACTAAGTGTACGAGCACTCGGATGACGCCGGTAAATGACCCGGTAGCGGCGCTGGTGCTGTATGCCAATGCTAGCGACATTGACACGGTGTTTGTCAATGGAAAGATGGTGAAGGAGAATGGCCAGCTCGCCGGAATCAAGTGGCCAGAGGTCCGAAAGAAGTTGGTTAAGTCAAGTAATGATATCATGGAGAGGGCCAGGGCTGCAGATATGGACGAGATCACCCATCGGGTTCTGAGCGTCTATAACCCGGTTGGAGGTTATAATGCTAAGAATGCCCATATCTAGTTCTCACAGGACATAGCTTGCTGGTACCGATTTATGGTAAAGAATGTAGCTCTTAGGTATTAATACTATCAGGGAGCGGTCCAAGATCCTACGCTACCCTGTCCAGCCGCTCGACGGTCGCGCTGGGTAAGAAAGCGAGCCCTGCGCTTATCACGTAGGGGGTCCGCGAGCCGCCCATGGGGCAGCCTAGGAGTGGTGGTCTGGGGCGACCGTGCCCGCTAATATGCCGAGGTCAGCAAGGTCGTGGTCTTAAGGCGGCCCCGCAATCTCCAGCAATCACGCTCTGGGCGTGCTTCCCAAGCTCCCCCGCGTGAAGCTGCTTAAAACGCCATGCATTCTCAGGTCATGGCCACCACTTTTCTTCCGTGTTTCGACAGAAGACTATTTAACCATTTAATCCAAACGCAACTTCCCCTGCCCCCCCGGGGAAAAAAATATAAAATTACCAAGCCTGCGTTGGAGAGGTGGGCGTTCCATCACCGGGCCTTTCATCTTTCTAGTTCGCCTTATTGCTGTCTAGATGTCGCTCCTCGCTGGGGCTGGGCGACCCAGAACAGCCTGTCTTGAATGCAAGACACGAAAGGTAGAATATTTGTCCAAACATGTCGAAATCCAACAGTCGTTCACAATTGCTCAGCTCCGTTGCTCTAGCGAGGGCCCAAGCTGTGCTAGATGCCTCAGGCTGCGCCTCGAGTGCAGATATGTGACCAACAGTGCATCGCGACATACACGGCACCGACAGACATCCGCGACCGACTCATGGGTGGACGCTCCGAGTAATCCCATGCCAAAGGAGCGAGCTAAGCTCTCTTCTGTACCTCCACCTTTAGCTCAGAGCAGTTACATAGGAGTTCCTCCAGCTTTGCTCCGCGACCTGGTCGAAACCTATTTCAGCCATGCTTACAACGCCCCGCTTCTGTTGCATAAGCAGACATTTCTAAGGGAGGTTTCAGAAGGCACGGTCAAGGCCTCTGTTGCACTCGCCGTATGTGCGTTTGCTTCCAAGTGAGACCCCCCCGTGGACATCCACCGTACAAAGAAGCGTTATTGATTGTGGCGCAGCTTCCACCGTAACAGCAATGGAGATCTTCTCCTTAAGAGTAGCGGATTTGGTGTCGAGTGGGCAGAGCGTGCTGGGAAACTCGTCTTCGATGTCATTGAGAGTCCGCAGGAAGACAACGTTATCACTTGCCTAATTCTTGCGCTTTTTTGGTACAACCAGGGCTCATGGCAACGGTCTTATATCCTCAAAGGTATGTTGTTCTGCGAAGTCCTGTTCTACTGGTTTCCCTTCTCCCTTGGCGTCGGATGAGTCCCTGCACCGCAATATTTACTACGGGCCCGGCCAGGAAATGCGATACAAACAGCCCACCTCCTGGGCATGGGGAGACAGCCAAGGCTTGATAGACGATCTCTTAGTTCAGAGTTACGTCGCCGGCGCTTCTGGGCATGCTACTTGATCGAGTGTCACGCCTCGAACTCGACCCACGTCCTGGATGCCTCCGAGCAAATCTACAGCCTTCCCCTCCCGTGCACTGAAGAAGAGTTCGAAAACGGAATATCCGAACAACCGGACGTATTTCTTGCCTGCGAGCAAAGCACTGGTGGAATCTTCTGTGAAATGATAAGAGCCCTCTGGTTCTGGTAAGTTGGGACGAAGGCTATCGGAATTACGTGGCGCATTGGATTGACAGCATTTCAGGGCCCAGGTTTACAGTTTGATCAAGACTCCTGAGCTCCAGGATGACGTAAGTATTCACGACATTGGTTTACTGGACACAAAAATATCAGAGTGGTGGTCTAGAATCCCAGACTGGATGAAGCTCAATCCTGGTGACCTCGCGCGGACGCCGCCGGCATGCCTACCACGACTCTTGCTCGTTCATGCTGTGTACCGTCAGTGTCTCTGTGCCCTTCACTCTTCTATCGTTCCCTTGTTCTCTTGGGGTCACGATGGGAAGAGTTCTCTCCTTGCGCGGCAGATCTCGGCTCAAGTGGCCTATGAGCATGCCTCCGCTGCCTCAGAACTGTTCAGCACCATTTTCGATTATCTACCCGATCCGAATGCAATGCCAAGCTTTGTCGCTTACAATGCTTATTGTGGTTGTGCTATCCAAGTACCCTTTATGAGTTCCCCAAATCCGGCAGTAAGGGAACGCGCGATCCGCAACGTGGAGGCCAACAGAAGAGTTATTCACTTGGTGGCGCAATCCTGGAAATATGCCGATTTACTGGTGAGCCCACTCATATTCCACGACAGCGAGGAACGGAAACACTAAATTGTCCACAGGACCGTTACAGTTCTTACCTCCTGGCCGTGTTCGAAAAGCACCCTGTATCACTGGCTGGAGAACCCAAACATTTGGAGTCAAGCACATTTCGTGAATTACGAGCACCAGCCCCAAGGGTAAGACTTTCAATATTGGCTCACAATCGGATGGTGTGCGAAGACGACTGTTGGAGTCTGCCAGGCGAGGAACCGAAGGATCTTGACATCGAACCCCGTCAGGAGGGTCAGTCTATGAGTCCTTCGGGAGGAGAGCCGCATGCTGGTAAGCCGAATGCTCTGTGTCGGATGGAGGGACCTCACCTCGGTTGAAGAACAAGGCATGCTTACATGTTACGCAGGTGCAATGGTCAACAGAAACTACGCCGCGGCAACTATTATGTCGGGTGAGCCTCAGCTGCACAATCCGACGGTTCAGTTTCAGCAGATATTGGCAGGCTTCGATGATCAACTGCCAGATGCTTCAGGGTCGTTTCTCAGCGGTACCGATATTTTTGTCCCATGGAGCTCGAGCGACGAGGCGAGTGCGGACTTAGCCCTGTTTGACATGGGTGTTCTCAATGGCACGTCGACAGATCTATTATCGTACCCAGGCTAGATCCGCGCCAGCCGCACCCAGCCAGGCGTCTGCGAAGCGAGGTTTCTATGAGACAACTTTGGCCGTGAGGTAACTTATTCTTGTTATATATCTATCTGATAGATCTCCTGATCATTCATTCCCACTCGCGGGAATTTCACTCTTACCGTGCCCCAAATTCTCTCCCAAAACGTCGTCTCCAAGCTTGAGCGCCTGAGAATCCTGCAACACAAACACCATTCTTACCCACTCAGTCTTGCTCGGGTTTTTCCACACGTGCATTGTGCCCCTCTACACCGCCACGTCGCCGCGTTTCATCAAATGCACCTCACCGGAGTCTAAAACCATGTTGACCTCTCCCTCGACAACGACGCCGTAATCGAGGGATTTCGTGCGGTGCATAATACCCTCGCTGCCCGGCGCGAAGTCGACCATACGGCACACGGTGCCGTGGGGTCGAACGAGGCCCAACTTTCCCGAGGACATGACGGATTGGTGGACCGAGATGTCCTGGTCGCCGTTCATATTTACCGGCATCTCGGACGTGGTATAAATGACGTTAAAGCGGGTCTCGGGACGGATATCCTGGAATGTCGCCGGCGAAGCCGTGTGGACTATCGAGACGCCCTGGACATCGTGAGTTGTGACGAAGGTGGTGGGCGTGCGAAGGTTGGGCGGGTGAGATACGTCGTTTATTGCCATGTTTTGATGATGTGAGCGGGTGAGATCACGTAGATGAGGAATGCGATTGAAATGGACGGAGCACGTGAATTTTTCGAGCTGGATCGACGCAGTGCTTGGACATATATTCGTGAGGACGACGGTCGTGGGAAATCTATATCAGGAAGCAAACCAGCGGGTAGTCGGGACATCTCCGTTAGGACTAGCTCCGTGACCTGAGCGGGCCCGGCAGATGAGCGGAATTCTTCCTCCGCTCGTCAAGGGTGGGATCCGTATAGGCCGATTCAAGACCAAGGTCCCTTCGGACGACTCCTCAATTTTCCGCGCCACGACTGATCTCGTCCAACATCCCGGATTATTACGTGTTAGGCCTGCGACGCCTGGGCAACAGGCGTGAACTGGGAAGTCCTTCGACGGCCTGTGGGGACTTTGTGGGTCGGAAAAGAGCGGTATATCTCCCATCAGTCAGGAAACAGCCAGAGTTGACAAATCAACGACAGAACCCTTCTACGCCTTTCGGTGCCTAGACTTATGACAGGTCAGAGGAGGTCGACCACGCTGCGTGCAGTAGTCGTGCTGGAACAGCAGGATAAACCAAGGCCGTACAGGCAAAGGTGTGAAGTAGAATGGAGTCGGCGCTGGCCATAAAGCCATATCATGTGACAAGATTGGTGATGCGATTTTACCATATGACAATATGAGTGCATGCGCTACCGAGAGTAGGTAAAGAGGGTGCATCAAATAACTTGATTCTAGAGCTGCTTGGGCCATAGTAACACTTAATTGTCACTTTGACAGCAGAGGCGCATATCTTGGAGACGCGCAGTATATTCGGAATTCTAGTAAACCAATAAAGGACACGTGAAGCTCAGATAGTCCAAAGGATCTTGGTCAGTAGCAGATGAGGTTTTGGTGCGTGGCCCACTGTCAGAAGCACCCCTATATTCGGTGGCTACGCGGGGTTGAGAAATCTGCTTCGTAGATGTTTTTGTCTATTAGCTTCATCCAAAACTCGGCCATGCAGATATGGTAAGGAGTGAGCCCTGAATCTTTGGCATATGCGGGTACGGCATGCTCACGACAATGTGAGGCTGTCTCTACCGATCAAACTGCCCATCTATAGACGAGGCATAATTGGTCCTGTACACAGTCCAAACCTAACATTGTCGGTTCCAACACCTAGCCTGATGACAATAAGTGAAGCTGACAAGGGGACCTAACAATAGTTCTGGCTTTGCCCAGCCTAAGTGACCAGCTTGGCAGTCCATCTCCTGGCTCTCGCGCCGTAAATGTACATGGGAATCGTGGTCAGGAAAAGCAAGCCCTCGATCAACACCATATACCCCGAGACCTTTGCATACCCATCGCGTGTGAGCCAAGGGTTCACGGCGAAGCTGACGGCAAAAGCGAATGTGTTCTTAAATGCAGTCAAAACAGTGATTGATTCTCCGCTCAAAGGCTTGTAACAGTCGACGACGTATGTCATGCCTACTGCCGGAACCGCACACAGGACACCGTACGTGATGCCCGAGCCGACGATGGCGATATAGGGATCCAGATGATTTCCAAGGCCGCAGCCCCACATCAGAAGACCAACGGGGCCAAGGATGGCCGATGGGATAATCAACCAGAGGCGGAACTCGGGTTCGAAATAGCCTTTCCGGCGCTTGGTGATCCAGTGGACGACCCAGTCACTGGCCGGACCGCCGAAAGCACAGCCAAGGATGGCACCGATCAGATACTGCGGAATGGTCAATGGAAGAGCGAAGTCGCAAGATTTGAGGAGACGATACCGAAATATTGAGGTTTCCCACTCCAAACTCAGTAAAACCGTAGACCTCGGGGAAGGCGGTGGCGTTCGCCGTTTGCTGGAGAACGACCCAGCCCAGGGTGATTCCGTAGGTAATGGAACCCCAGACGACAGCCGGAAACTGGAGCAAGAGAAGTGGTCGCAACCACAAATGCCAGATAGATGTATCCCTGCAGATAAAGTCAGCAAGATAATGGGAAAAAGGGGTCATTACACCCACACAGGTGTGCTTACCTATCGTACCAACCGGTTGTGCCCAGACCTTTAGTCCAACTACCTCGAAGTTGAGATCTGAGCTCAGCAAACTGCGACGCTTCCATGCCCTCGCCAACCTCGCTTGCAAGGGGTCGGCTGAAATTTGTTTCGGCCTGGAAGACGACTGTAAGGAGCAGACAGACTCCAGTAAGAATGGTGTCCATCCAGAAGACCCATCTCCAGTCCGTGTTGTAGTGACCTATCAACCCGGCGAAGATGCCTCCGATGGCTGAACCACCCGCAATCATGAGGCTGCGTCATGTCAGAAAGGTGGAGTCCACGAGCCAGGGGGGTTTGTATTGACGTACGTGTAAAGGCCGACCTTGGCGCCTCGCTCGTGTAGGAAGTACAAATCGGCAACCTAGAGCGGGTCAAAGAGGTGTCGCTCTCAGCTTGGGAATCGTAACCTACGATTGCCACCCCAAGCGCTTCTGAACAGCTTGCTCCCCAGCCTTGGACGATCCGTGCTCCCAACAAGGAGCCCCAGGAGCTTGCTTTGGCAGACCAGATGGCTGGTTCTCCATTAGTATCCAAGCCTTACGCGTGAGATGTGATGGCTTCGACTCACTGGAACCGAAGAAGACCGCGGCGCAGATTACCAGCACTGGCCGTTTTCCAATCTTCTGTGCCAGTGGCACCCAGAACAAATTCTGACAGATGGATCAGTTATTCGAGCTTGTGCTCATATAGACCCAGCCCGTCACTCACCCCCAAACCCAAAGTCAGAATGTTGCAGGTGATCAGGTACGTGGCCTTTGTTACGCTGATATCGAACTCGACAATGATTGGGACAAGAATGGGCGAGATACTCGCGGTGATGTAGTTGGACATGAAAACAAAGAAGCACGTCGCAACCATGACGAGAGCCTTGCGCCAGGGGCTCCATGTCTATACGGAGGTACACGGTCAGAAGACGCCAGCCAAATGAATGGAGCTTCTGTGTCCTTACCAGTGGATCCGCCGGATCGGCGGTTGGACATGGAATGAGATATTTGCCTGTGACCTTGCCATTGGTATCCTCTGATCTCTGTTAATATGTTTGTTCCCTCATTCTGACGGTGCTTTGTACCTCTGTATAAATGTGCAGCCTCTATGAGGCCGTGACTTTGAAGGTTGAGCCTCTCCCCCGACCCAATCTCGAGATGGTCCGCCCAGAGACGAGGGTCTTCCTCCTTGGTGATTTGTGCCATTGTCGTGATCGTCGTTGATCAGTAACAGAAGGTGCGCAGAGTAGAAGTACTATCTCTCCGTACACTAACAGGGATTTCCCTCCTGGCTTTTATAACACGCCAGACGCCATCGATAATGGCAGGGACGTACGCAGAAGCCGATGCTAACCTCCACGTGATATTCCGAAACCCCGGACAAGATCTAATCCTGGAGAACAAGGATCCACTTCATGACGGTTTTGAGGCTGATGAACGTTCGAGGCATTCACAGACAACTAAGCCTCCGACACGGAGAACGTGCAAGGTGATTTCCGAGGCCAAGTCGCGCAGGTATGGGGAGTGTCCGCCAAACACAAGACTGTGCATTCGGCCTGGCTATTAGCTCAAGGGCTTCGAGGCTATTGCTAGGGCCAGACTTGGGGACACAATTCTAGCCTCATGGATACAATGATTGGAGATTCAGGAGCACAGCAGATTCAGACGTATACCACGTCGGACTTGGGGTGGCATACTCACGCAAGGCTTTTGAGCTTTGAGCTCGGACTACCTGCAAGGAGTAATAATAAATAAATCAGTGATCAAGCTCAGGGGCATCAGGGATCGGTAAACAAACCCCCTTTACAAAGGTCGGCCTGGCCACGCGGTAAAGGGCAGCTTTAAGCACACCAAACTAGCGAAACACTGGAGGCACTCAGATTCGACCCGGGGTCTAGATAGTCGCAAATGCCTCGAATGGACAGGAATGAAACGTCGATTCTAGACCAGAGCCTCATCTACACCAGGGGCCTTTGTGTCGTGTGGCTATATCAAAAATAGCGATTGCCCTGGCTGATATCGTACTGCTGCTTCTGCTCTATCCTTTACACCAGGAACGAGACGTTCATACAAAAGAACCCCAAAAGGTGAAGGCATTTCTCCGCGCAGTCAAGAAGGTTACTGACTTCGTCCTGGCTGAGCCTGAGAAAGCCTAGGACGAATATACTGACTTCAAGCCGACCATGGCGACTGAACTGAACCGAAAGATATTTGAGCGAAGCTTTGCCTACTTCTCTCGAGATCTGAAGAACGTCCAGCGTGATTGGGAGAAGGTCACAAAGTACGGCAAGAGCCTGGGTGTGTTGGATACAAGCTTGCAGCTTAATTACAGCAATCAATTTCTGGAATGGGCTCTTGACGCCGAGTCCAACGATCCATCAGACGATCAGAGCATGACGGCTCTGTTACAGAATGATGTGGCTCTTAATGGTGGTTTCCATCGCCCCGGAGGTCTTGAGACAAAGGTCGCGACATGAGTCTTTCCATGGTCCTATAATCTAATAGCTCATTCATTAGGTTAAGAACCTACGACGCTCCTTTCTAGTATGTATCTGCACTGTTATATACAGCTTAACTGGCGCCTAGCCTTGGAACACCAAATCGTTAGAGGTATTTGAGTTCAATCAAAGTTCAGATCTCAGTCTCGTCTTACGCTGTGCCTAACGTTCCACGAGTGTCTGTTGTCGTTCACTAATTCACCATTCACATAGTCACAACAACAAGGAGATGAGGGACCCAGAAATCTACCGCGTACTCAGTCAAAGAATCACACAACACTCGCTACTGTCTTGTTCCTCTTTTAGATGCAATACAGGATTCGTCGCCGCCTCGAACACATCATCGACACCCTCCCCGGTTAGACTCGAGTACTTAAGATAATTAACAGTAATCCGCTTCAGAAATTGTTGCATAACTAGGTGGGCGCGTTCTATCATATGAAGAGGAGCAACAACGGCACTCTAGTAGGGTCTGCACAACAGTACGGGCCGCTGAACATTTTCAATACACCAGCATTGAAATTGGCTTCTTGGGGGACGTTGGGCACTTATTTCAACAAGTGCCCCAACCAGGGACATGATAACGCTGATAGCACATGCTCGGCCCAGGATCCTATGTAGGTAGTAAACGCTATGCTCGACTTTGTTCTAGTTCACCGACAAACCCAGTAAGTCACCTTTGCTTTGTACAATATACCTTGTGAGCCGGTATCCGGCAATCTTTACGGCGGCCGGAAATTTGGGTGATATCGTCCCTGTCGCTCTATAGATGGCTTGATGACGAAGAACCCGACATTAGTGACAATATAGTATGGGGAGTACTCTCGTTCACGCGTGGAACAGCTGGGGCTGGTTCGACCAGCACAAGATCTACGGATATCGAATCCAACAGCTGCAGACATCCTCTATGAGTTCGCGCATGCTGCTAAAGATGGAGAATCGGCTACGGCAGCAGCAACGAGCCTGAATAGTTTTACTCGGACGCAAAATACTGCATGATGCACAACTTGAGCCCGAAGCCGATGTATCCCTCGCTAAATCCAGTGCTCTCGCTCGCTCGATTGTACCATTGGTCAGCCAAGTGACAGCCACAGAATCGTCTCATATGCACACACGCATACATGTGCCAGTAAACCTCGTATTTTCCCTCCTCCACCGACCATGAATCTACTGCTTTTGGGCCCCCCTTGCACTTCCCTACCCCTTCTTGCAAACAGCCATGTGCGTCTTCCAGTCCGCCCTCTGGTGCTCCCTGCGGCAATACGCCACCTTTCTGCAACCCGTGCAGCGCTTGCCCGGCGCGCCGCAGACGTTGCAGGCCAGCGTCCCTTCGATTCCGGGACTGGCGGAGGAGGAGTCTGCGGTCGTGGCGCTGGAACTGGCGCTTGCGCTTGCAGCCGCGGGTTGGGCTGAGGGGGACGGGGCGGTGGTTGGAGGTGGAGGTTGTGGTTGAGATTGCGACTGAAGCTGAGATTCGGACCGCGACGGTGCAGGGGTTGCGTTGCTGGGTTGGCGCGTTGCCGACGAGCTGGGCGAGGAGGCGCTCTGGGGAAGAGGCGGTGTTTCTGCTTCCGCGGCGACATCAACGTTTGGGGTTGTGGCCCAAACGTCATCCTCGTCGGCGGTGGTGCTCGTGGCGGGAAGCTGGCCTTTTGGGGGCCCGGCCCAGTCGTCTGGCAGTGGTCGCGGAAGCGGCCGGGGGGGTGGCGCGTTGTCTTTCGTCTCGTCAAAGTTATTGTCCTCGTCCCACTTGAGTTTGTTCTTCTCGACGTAGTCTTCCCACAGGCGCGTCTCCGTCTCCGTCATGCTGTAGTTAAACCACTGCGGAAACCAGTCTCTGCGTCGGCGCTCGGAGGCAGATAGCAGACCCAGCTCGATCTCGATTTGCAAGGACGCCATCTGCAGGTGGTACAGGTTGGCCGCGTTCTTGTCGGCAATTTTGATTTTGAGATTCAGCATCGCTATGAGAATGTTGAGGAAGAGGACGGTGATGATGATGATGTAAAGCGCGCGGAGTGTGCGGACCGCTGCCGAGTCCTCAAAGGCTTCCAGCGCGCCGTAGTCGGACGAGATGAAGTTGAGGATATTCGCGAAGGACATGGCAAAATTGGAAAAGGGGTTGAGCGCCGAATCGGTGCCTTCGGTATTCCTTAAAAGGAGAAACGGCACAAAGGCGAACCCTGTCACATCGTCAGCTATATGTTCAGCTACAGTTGATATACGTACCCAAAATAATAAAGAAAAGCAACACCAGGAACGAGAAAATCTCCTGGATCGTCTCGGTCAACAACAGCAGCAGCATCCCCACGGGCTTGTAGATGCGCAGCATGAGGATTGCCGCGATCCAGATTAAGAGCGTCGAAAACCCCAGAAACGCTCGCTGCGGCGCATGCCCGGTGGCAATCTGGAAAAACATGGCAAGACCTAGTGACAGGGCGGCACCGTCGACATAGGTGAAGATGGAGCGGAAGAACTGTCGCGGAATACGGTAGGCCTGACGCAGCTTGACTGAGAGAATAAAGCACGAGGCCGCAGCCTCAATTGTCGCCAGCAGGATGACCAACCGGCCGATCCGGTCCTCGGTGCGCCCATCGCCTCCCGTCAGGAGGATCCCCACCGCCAGATGGATCACGAACAGCACCAGCATGGGCAACGCGGTCCGGGTCAGATAAATTTTGAGGCCAAAAGTGCGCATCTTCCAGGCGAGTAGCTTCCCCAGCCACACGACCTTGAGATAGGTCAGTTGGAGGTCCCGATCCTTCATCTCCAAGATTTCCTCAACCAGCCTCGTGAAAGGGCTGGCCGGGCCCTTGCCCGATTCCGCCACCGACGTCTGGAGCCGAGACTCCCACCTGGGGAACTTTTCCTTGCTGTACGGGGTGGTCGCGAGTACAAACGACCAGAAGGGGTCATCGCGGTCGGAAGGAAAGGATGCCCCAACCGGAGGAGGCTTGTACAGCTTGTTGCCAAAGGAGCAAAACCCAGGTAGTGGCAGTGTCAAGAGCTGCTTGTTCGGTTCAGACTCCACGACCTTGGTGCTGACGCCGAAGAGCATATGGATATATCGCCAAATGACTTCCACTCGTCGACGCCACTTGTACCACTCATTGCCATAATCCACCGCCTTCGCCTTGGTCGCGCCCCTCTTGACTTGCACCGCACCGACATCGATGACAGCCCACGGATACAGCGCAACGAAGCGCATGAAGGAAAGCGTGGCGCCGGGGCGTGCTCTGCACGCTATCGGGAGCGCGCAGGTAACTGTTACAGAATTATCCAGTAGCCTGATTCGATCCTGTCGAATGCGGCGGAAGAAGGCGTCGATGTGAATGGTCTGCTGCGACCGATAGTCCGAGTTGCAAGCCAAGGCGAAGGTACTGGGGAAGAGCGGGTTTGCATCGTCGTAAGCTCTGTCGTCGTAGATACTGCGGAAATAAGGCCCCAATGTGTCGGCGTAGCGGCCGCCACCAAAGAACATGTCATTGGGGTTGCCTTTGCGGAGCCCACGAAGGCCGAATTCCTTCCACAGGAGATACTTTGGGAGCACGTAGGCGGAGCGGGTACGAAGACCGTAGTTGATCTCATCTTGCACGACCAGCGTGTTGGGCTGGAAGTATGCATACATGTTCGTCGACGAGGAGATGGCTTGGTTAGGAGTGGTAGACCACCCGCCAGGCATCGTGACGTGGGCGCTTCGGTGGATGACAAAAGTGTCATACCAGGCATCCTCCTCGAGAAAGTGAGGCGACATCAGCGTCCACCGAGGGATGGGCATGGGGGCCCCAGAGTACGACGAGCAGCCCTCGCGCATCGTGTACACTCTGAGGACGTAGCGGCCCTCGAGGTCGTAGATTTCAATGTGTTCCATCTCATCTTGGGAGATCTTAATGTCTGTGGCGTAGAGCACCCGAACAATGTCCATCCCCGAACCGGATGAGCTGGCGGCTGGCCCGATCGAAATCAGGTGGTATTCGTGCTTCATGACTACTCCAAAGACGCTGACCCGCTTCTCCGGGGCCCAGGGGTACGTGAAGCTGAAAAGGTGCGGCACGAAGAAGCGACGGAGCTCTGGGGTATTGTCTTGCTTCCACGACGACGATTGGTGGGCGTAGACGTTGACGTAGAAGTCGAGCTGGCGTCTGGCGTCCTCGCTGTTGGTGACTGTGGTCGGTCCAGCAGTGCGCGGGATGGAGAATTCGTCGTTGCGGTCCATGATACCGGGCTTCCACTCGAACTTGGCCAGAGGCATCACTTGTTTGCTGTCCACTAGGTCCGGCAGCGCAGCAATCCGCTCGCCGATGTTGTCAAAGTAAACTTCGAGGGCCTTGATCTTCTTGAACACCTCTGGCATGGCGATCAGGACTCCCTTCATCCCAAACAACCGCAACAGGCCTTGGCGGTCGCGGGTGAAGTCGGCTGGACTCATGGCAAAGACGTTGAGCCCTGTGGTCTCATGGAATCCAATCCGCAAAGGGACGTATTCTGTCCAAGTTGCGTCTTCGATCGTCTCATGATGGAGCAGTTGGAGGTTGAACGTCGACAGCACGTTGACGACGACCATCGAGTCGTTGACGGTGACCACAGTAACGGTCTTGCACTTGGGCGAATAGCGGACCTCGTGGATCTGATCCGCAATGGCGTTCTTCATCTTTGTCTCCTTGCCGTAGAGCAACCAGGTCCGATACGTGCTGTATTCAACGCCAGGCAGTCGCACACTGCCCAGGGGCCTTAAGGACAGCTTGGTCAGGTCCCAGTGGTGCAGCATCGCCGCATCGGGTTCGACGTAAACGAGGTGCGCATTGTCTGGCGACACGAAGCAGCTTCTGCCGCCGCGACTCGTGATGGAGTCGATGCCGGCAAAGTTCCAATGCAATCGCTCGTCTGATGACACGATTAGTGGCGGGCTGTTCCTCTGGTGGTCGTCGCCGCCGAAACTCGAAGTGTCGATCGCCATGTAGGTCGGGCCTTGAAGCCGCAGATGGGGTAGAAGACAGACGTTCCTCATCTGGTAACCATCGCCAAAGCCAAACGATTCGGCTTTCACGCACGACAGATGTCGGATCGAGTAGGCCTCGACAACCTTGGCTTGTCCATTCCTCCCGAATTTCTTGCCTGAGCGGACATAGAAGAGGTACTCGCTGTCTTCGGATAACGTGCCAGTACTGATGGTGTAACCTAAGCTCGTGTCAGACGGGGGCTTTCTCCAAGTGAACCCGTGCGCATTGACGAGGTACGCCCTCGTTGTGCTTCCCTTCGGTCGGTAGACGAGCAAGACGCACTGCCCATCTTCCGTAATACCACCGTGGATCGCGCCGTAGTCGTAGGAGGTGACATAGCCATCCGTCGTGAACTCTGATTCAGGCGCTTCGTGGCTGGTGGACCACTTCTCTGCGAATTCCTCGTCGAGGTGCCAGACGGTGACCTTGATCGTCCTGTCTTGGGCGTTGGCCTCTACCGTCGCGATGTGCGAGCAACCTGCGGAAACAAAGACCGCAAATGAGACATCGGCGGCGGCCCTCTGGAATTCTATAATGGCATTCGCCTTGCAGAACCGGTTCAGATCTCGTGGAATGTGGGCTTCCTCTCGAAAGTACCACTCATTCGCGGTCGTAAAGATCACCTTCTCATGCGCTGGGCGATGTGTAGCGACGGCCATTCTGGCGCCAACGGTGCAGCTGCACCGCTGGCCGCCTCGAGAACGATGTTTACCTTAATAATGCTTTCCAGGAGAAAGGCAAATACTATCACCGTTAGTCAAATCCGCCTGGCGAATTTCCCACCAGTCGTCTTCCAGTGCGGCGCGTCTCAGCCCCGGCGCTTGCAAGGATCCAGGTGAACGATCGGCAGACTAGGGACCGGTCTCAATGCATGCCCCTATGATGGGTGAGCCGGGGTGAGCAGGGGGTGAGCACAGCCTCGTCTCAGCGAGGGTGAGCTGGATATCAAACTACCCCCTCTTGGCATCTTGCGTGGCGTTTGGCAAATCTGGGACATCGGCATGGACGACATTTCTGAATGAGCGCAGCATTCACCGCTGATCCTGGATCCATTTTCACTGAGCAATCGCGACCGCGCTCTGGCCCGCGAAACAGGTCGTTATAAGAGGGCGCGCAATGCCTATCCAGTATCTCCACGAGCTCGTTTGTTCCCTTTTGCAGCTGCTTCAACGTCTCCAGAAGAGTCATCTTGGCTGATTCCACGATATTCAGCGTGGATGTGCTGAGGCGGCGCTCTGAGCACCATAGGAAGAGCGGAAGATAATGGGTTTACCTGAGTAGTGAAGCAAATAGACAAGGCACTCAAAGTGCTGTGATGACGGCGGAAAACAAAGAGAGTGCAAGATTGTGCAGCAGGTGACAGAACACCCGTGCTGGGGTAAAGCAAGCCGTGGATAAAGGAGCGCGGCGGGTTGGAAAATTGCTGTAGTGCAAAAAGTCAACAGTCGTTTCTTTGTTCCTCGATTACACTATATTCAATCAAAATGTTCTGATCGAGGGGCAAGCGCTACGAGGCTGTGCTTCGCTTAAGCTATTCATCGGATGGAATCTCTGACGCGATTCCATCCGATAGAAAATCTCATCTCTTCCATTCCATCCGAGAAAAGACCCGCTCCCAAAGCTCGTTCCGTCAATTCCAGCTTAATTGGACTCATCCACATCTTCTGCCCATCCGTATCAACATAATCAAGTCTTCATGTTCGATATTGTCGCAAGGTAAAGCTCTATCAGACAGCACGCCAGCCCTGTTATCGGAAATTTGTTGTGTAGCTTTCCGCAATGTTTAGCAAGAAAAAGTGAAAACCCGGTTGAGTAATGGAGGCTCCAAATGCCCGATTTGATGTGTTTGGCGTAAAGTGACAAGGGTGTTTTTCCTTCATGATTGACTCGAGTGAGAAAAGGTATGATGGTCGTCTGACCTCCTTCCGTGAAATGTCGTAAAGCTGCGCAATCAGCAAAAGCCGTCCCAACAAGGCCAAGTCACATAATTCATCAGTGCCCCCAACGCCGAGGCGCTGTTCATAAAGCCATAAATGGATAAATTCCACGTGTAATCATTTCTCTGCCTTCTCTTTCAAACGCCAGAAAAGCATGAGTTTGCTTAGTCTGTTCGTTTTCTTTCTGTTCTTTTCGTCCGTGGCAGCGTTGTCTAGAACGCTTTCGAACTTGAGTTTGCTGCCATGGGAGGACCCAGGGATGAGGCGGTTGAGACTGGCCAAGCTCGAACGTTTCCATGCTTGCTGATTGTTCGATCTGGAAGTAGATGGGTCAATCATGGATGCCGACCGTTGTTCGACAGAAGATCTTGTACCCGCACTGCTGGAGAATCGTGGCACGGCACCGCTGGAAATGCTGTCACTTAAGGACGGTAGATCGTCGTTGGATGCGCGCAGAATCATGTCAGGGCTTGGTTCTCCTAGGAATCTAGACGGCCGGGAGAGCGTATCGAAAGAGATATGATCCGCATCAGGTGAGGACATCATTGAAGCTGAGGTTGTGCGTCCGTCTGTGGAGGAAGCGTAAAGTGACTGAGGTGCCGGATATGTGAAAGCCATAGGTGAAGACATGGGTCGCTTTCGAGGTTCGAAATGCTGGAATATCGGGGCCTCGATTGTCGAGTTGGAGGACCTCGCATCCACCCGAGCAATGTCGTCTTCCGAATCGACAATAATGACACCATTGCCGGACTCCTCATGGATGAACAGACCAAGGCCATCTGCAGCTTTCGCTTTGGGAGATCCCGAGGGAAGGGAGACTGTAGATTCGGCCTGACTTCGACCATCGATAGGGGTGATCTGTGCTGCATTCTCTTCAGCCAGAAAATTGTCTTCTTCCTCTTCGTCGAAGACATCTTCAGAAAGGGAAGCATTGCTCCCATAATGGTGTAAGCCGAAGATGTTGCGATTGACAGCGGGCATAATTGGTGCTGACTCAGTTCTCCTATGGATTGTACCAAAAGCATCCATTGTGCCCCTCCGTTCGCTGCTATGAAGTTTTGCCAGCCTTGAAGCTTGTTTGGCATTGCCATCTTGTCCGAACTTCTCCTCGCTTCCGAAAGGGCCCAAAGCAGCGTCCAGGTCAATGGACGGACTGGGGATTTGGTCTTCGGATTGACCCGACGGCCAGTGTTTCAATGAGGCAAGGTTTGCTGCAGCAGCTCGAACCCTGGTTGCGACAGGCGAGGGATTGCGAATCACGACCGTATCATCCGCGTCAAAAATCTCATTTAGCCGATCACTGGGAGTTCTTGTTAAAGGAGGTGGCATTGGATGGTGTTGTTGCTTGGTCTTGCTAGATCGCTTTTCTGACTTTCTGGAGAAAATTCCAGACGTCCAGGTATGATATTTCCGCTTCTTCGTGATAGATCCGCCTGATGAAGTCCGGGGCCTGAGTCCAGTCCTTGAGCCCTGCAAAGCGGAAGTCGGAGACACAAACACATCCATAGGGTCTCCTCGCTCAACTTTGAGAGTGGTTGATGGTGAGCTACTGCCGGAATGGTTAAACCAGAAATATTTCTTCTTGTTAGGAGGACTGCAAGCGCTTAGAGTTCCAGGTGATCCCGAAGCGGATAGAGGGCGTTTTGGTAGATTGATCACAGACAAAGTCTTGGTCTTGTCCGACGCCATTCCGGGAGACAGTGTAGAAAGTGCGTCTGCTGTTTGTGGTCTCTCTGGCGAAATCATCGAATCGTGTGACGGGCTGACAACGAACGTTGGACGCGGGATTGGACTCGCGATTGAATTGATGCTGCCGGATAAAGAATGTCCTCCCCGAATAGTTGAGTTGCTACCTTCAGTCTCGGAGGAAATCATGGATAACGGTCTGGGTATGACGTCGACATGGTCGGAAAAGCCGACACGAGGGCGGACTCCAGGGACACTACCCCTACGTCGAGGAGATGAAGGAGGCGTCTTCACAACACTTGACATTGATTGCCGGGTCAGCGGGCTAGCACGAGAGAACGGGAATACCTGTGCGCCGTCGGATGGAGTGGTTGGTGTCGAACCAGCGCGCGCCTTTGCCACAGCATTCGCCTTGATCAACTCGGATGTATCAATGTCGGAGACCGACACAGCTTGGGAACGACGGTGGGCATGTCCCCTTGCTCCAGATATCGGTGGGTGCGGACGATACTCGGGCTTCTCAGGGCTCGTGTTGACCAATTGGGGCCCATCAGTTCCACCACCGCCCACAAACTCACTTCCACCTCTTCGATGACCACCTCGAGGTGGTTGTTGGACATCAGCGAAGCTTGGTTTCGTTGGACTGGGAGATGCCTGTGACGATGTTGAGTTTGGAGCAAAGGTGAATGCAGGCAGAGGCGCAGGTTTAGCAGAACGAACAGCACGCTGCTGATTGAGAACCATCTCTTGAAGAACAGGATGAGTCGGACTTGGACTTCTCTCGCTTGGTAGGCCGGCACCTGGGTTGAACTTGAAGTCGGGGAGCGGAGGGGGCCTAGCAGAGCGACGAGCGACCTCAGCAGCCATGCTGTTGGCTCGTTGAGTCGGTGAATCCATTCCTTCTATTTCTGTAGCATTCTCAACCGCACCGGGGTTGAAAGAGAAGATCGGTAGAGGAGGAGGAAGAGCATTTGGGTTTCGAGAAGGTCGTCGTCTGTGGGCTTGCGACGATCGAGGAGAACCGGGAGTTGAATCGAAGGGTGACAAGGCTGGTACTGAAGCAGGCAGGGAGATGGAAGTCATAGTTTAACAGGGCAGCCACCCGACAATACTAGTATTGGTATTCTGGCCAGCAGGAAGGTGCAAGGTAGAGAAAGTCGAAGGCGTCCCGGCACCTGCGAGGTTGTGTCTGCGGCCTGGCTGCAAACGGAGAGACTGCCACCATTACAGGATTGAAGAGGCGATAGAGGGTCGGTAAAATGAGCGACTTGTACAAAGGTATCTAAAGGAAGTCAGGAGCTAAGCTCTCGTCGAGTTGTTTGCTTGTAGTGGTGGTTACCTCAAAAACAAGTCTGGAGCACAGTTTCAAAGGCCGCAGTTGGACTGAAATTGGAGATCGGCAGACCGAAGGGATGGGAAATTGGCAGTTGTTGAAATGAAGGAGTGGACGGCTACCTGGAAGAAAGATCCATGAAAGACCTTTCTTCAATCAGGAGCCACAAGGCTGATGAGGCCCTTTGAGGGAGTGAGAGAGCGCGGTGCGAGGGAGGAGAGTGAGTAGAGGTGAGGTACGGATTGCGAAAAGAGGATGGGAGGGAAATGGGAGACGGGGAGATGGTGGATGGAATTGAAGGGACAAGAGGTGAATTGGGTTTGGCTTGGTTTGGCCTCAGCAGCCAGCGAGGCACAGTGGCCTGTGGGCGGCGGTCCACCGGGAAACTGGGTCGCTAGGCCAGACAGGCCAGGTTGCCTGGCTAGGTGATGACAACTTGTGGATGAACAATTGGGCTTAGGCTGGGGGGCGCAGATTTTAGGCATAGTCAAGCGAGCCCTAGGCACCCCATGAGGTACTTAAGTGGCTTCAGCAGCAGTAGCGGCAGGCCACCAGTCCCTTTCCAGGCTGGGACCTGCGTTGGGGTTTTCTTGCTCACGATGTGGTGGACGAACTCTTTTCTGCTGGCCATCAGGTGGCAACAAAGCAACGAGCGCTGGTCAAATAGACCCGCTCCGCTCATCATGCTCAAGTGCCCAGGCGCACTGCACGATACTCTCCTAGGTACACAATTCTTGCTCGCCCGACAGAGCAGATCATGAATGAATTGCCAACTTGACCGCCAGGCCGGAACGGCGACCACCTCATGCGTTGGCAGGCAGGACTTGAATGAAGCCCATGAAAGGAGGTGAGGTGCCCCCGTCCAATAGGCCCAATCTTTACGAGATTGCCCGCCCTTGCAGCTGTTTTCCACCCTCGGAACCTACTGCCTCTTCTTGTGTAACCTGCCATCCTAGTTGGATCTTGCCTGTGCATAGGATTGATGTACACAACAACTGCCAGCTGCCGGCATGGCCCGAAGATGATATTGCGTACCTGTTGGTCCCTCGGCTGCATAGCGAAGCTGAAATCGATCTTCAGGATCAGCGCAAAAATGAACGGCGTGGCCCCTGCTTCTCGACTAGTACTTGGGTACTTAGGACCTGTTCCTGGGCCGAGTCCAAGCTCGTGCGCTTATGCAGGAACTCTCAACCCCGGATCCAGGTCAGTCGCCAACTGATAGGGAATAGAGGCTTCCCATCTGGCATCCAGACAGTTCCTTCGATGCGCCATGGTCGTATTCGACAGCCAAGTCGTCCCTGCAACCATGCGTTATTCGCTGGATACAGCCGTCGAATCGGCTCGACCGGCTCAGGCGATCCTGACATGTGAGCAGAAGCCATTCATCTCTCGGAAATCTAGCAAAAGATGCAAAACCTAGAGGATGCACACTGAAACTCGCTTGGTGTGGTCTCCTCGACAACGCTCAGAATCTCGGTTACTGCTGGATAACAGATAAGCCATCGCTCCATCAATTGAGCTCCCCACAGAGGCCTCGTGCTTCATTGTCATCAGAAGGTGGGTGGGAACTCTGGGGCTAGGGCTAGCACGAGCTGACCGCCAAAGCTGAAATTTTGACAACCAATGAATGCCGAAGATGGTCTTGAACCACATCTTCCTTCGAGCCAGCCCGAACCACTCGGCAAAAGACTGGCGGACGGTCGACCTGGTTAGTGTTCATGCACACATTCTGCTCATGCCACGGAAGCATCCTGCAAGGGCATGTTACCGCCTTGTATGATAGAAAAAAAAAGGGGGCCTAAAGCAAGAAAACAACATCTCCTGCATGCGTATCCTGCAGGCTCAAATACTACATTCGGTTCTACTTCTCATGCTCATCCAACACCACTACCTGTACCGAGTACCCAGTACTTGCATCAAGTCACCTCACATTATGAGGTACCTAACCTGATCCGTCCACCCAAGCTCGGCACCTGATTCCCGATGACACCTAGAAACTTGGCGCTATTGGGCGAGACCCTTTTTTCTTTTACGTGAATGCAATATACTCAATATCAACGAGGAGTCACTCCTCTTGCCGCATGCCAGCATATCTGGCAGGTCTATTGGAAACACAACAAGCCATTCAATCTCGGATTTTCCCGCGACGGCTCGCTCACATTGTGCAGCAACGGGCGCGATTTCTTCGGTGACACTGCATTTCTAGAAAACCCGGCTTGGGGATTTGTGAACCTTGACTTTTCATCGCGACTAGCTCTGCCGCATGAACCAATGAAATGGCAACAGCAAGGAAGCAGAAAGGAACAGGCAGCCGGACACATCACGCTTCTCAACCCCGCCGCGGTGGCGGCGGTGGCGGCGGTGGCGGCAGCGTTGGTGTCACCGCACAACAGCATCCTGAGCCTCGTGGCTTGCATTTCCCAGCCGAATTACAGCAGCTGATTCTAGACGTATTTCGACGGGCGTTTCTATTCGATCACGAGCAACTCGAGTTGAAATCCACCATCCAGGAGGTCAAAGGCCACCTGTTCCAGCGCGATTTTGCTCGTGCATTTGCCAAGCCAGAATACCTCGATGCATATGCGCTCAGGTGGAGCGCTAGCCGCGCCCTTGGCTACACGAGCGTTTTCCTGCACCACGACTTGCAGAGAGTGTGGCATGGACTCGCCGAAACTGCGGCCACGGCTCTGAGTACGAATGCGAATTCTATATCGAAAGAGGCACATCTTCCACGTGCGAACGGCGCTTGTAGCGTAGTTTGCATTGGAGGTGGCGGAGGCGCAGAGGTGGTTGCATGTGCGGCTGCAGCACGTACACTCTCACTCCCATCAGGCAGACTGACCGTCCACGTCGTTGATATCGCAGACTGGTCAGCGTGCCTTGAAAAATTGGAGCAGGCACTGTGCACGCCGCCGCCCTTATCACTTTACGTCTCTGAGAGCGCCAAAGCAGCGAATAAACTCTTCACTACGAGTGATGCACTCTCCCTCCGGGTTACCCAACATGACATCCTCGCTATGGATGAGGCTGGCCTGCTGCAAAATACCCTGTGTCGAGTGCATCTCTGTACAATCATGTTCACGCTGAACGAGCTCTTCTCGGCCTCCCTTGCGCGGACGACGGCATTTCTCTTGGCGCTTACAGATGCTATGTCGCCGGGCTCCTGGCTTCTCGTCGTGGATAGTCCAGGGAGTTACTCTGAAGTGAAAATGGGGTCCGGTTTCAGTGCCGGAGAGGGACAAGCAGATGCGAAGACCCAGACAAGGCGCTATCCGATGAAGTGGTTGCTAGACCACGCGCTTCTGGAAGTCGCTGGCAAGCAAAATGACGAGGAGGGCAGTACAAGTAAGTGGAGGAAATGTGTCTCTGACGATTCGAGATGGTTCAGGTTGAGCCAGCAACAGCCCCTGAGGTATCCCGTTGAGCTGGAGAATATGAGATATCAGATCCATCTCTATCAACGGATTCAGCCGGCCGACCGGGATGGGGAACGGCAAGGCTAGTTAGGAGCAGTAGCACTCGCTGAGAACATGCATTGAGCAAGGAGACACGAGAACTAATCTTCTTTTGCACTGAGATTTTCAAAGGACTCTGGTAAGGACCTATTTCTGTCCCTAGGACATGGCCGTCATTAACTTGTCGGTAGCTACGATCTTTGATATGTGCCCTGAACGAGTGCAGAAAACGGAATCCCACTCCCATGAAAGGTCCCATTATGGTCTCGAAGACAGGAAGGAGGGGCAAGCTGACCACCAAAGGCGCAGGCTCGTGATCAGAAGACGTTCGTCTGCCTTGATTCCAGTCCAGGTCTGGAGAAAATCTCCATCCCTTCTCCAAGCGGGGCCGGGTTTGACATGTCACTCAACCATCTCATCCATCTCATCCGATCCCATTCCGTAGACCCATCATCGACCTCTCCTTTTCCAGACCATTTCTCGGATCTCTGACCTTTTCCGTTACATGACCACGTATGTCTGATGCCTTTCTTGTGCCCTGCCCGATCGATGTCTTGTGCCTGGCTTCGAGGTCTCAATGCGAGTCCCACTGCGGGAAGGGAGGGAGGAAGGGCGGGCGAATTTAGTCCTCATCCTCATCGCCCTCGTCGTTGACGACGTTGAAGAAGCGCAGCTCGTAGACGCCCTTGGAGGTCGAGACCACGCGCAGCCAATCGCGGAGCTGTTGCTTCTTGAGGAATTTCTTGGTCCTGGTCGCACACACAAAGTCTCGTTAGTTGATTGAACTTTTCCACATCGCACAACATGATTTTGTCACAGGGGAAATAGATTGCCGTATGGACGGACAGACAGATGGACGGAGGGAGAGATGTTCTGTGTAGGGCTGTGTGTTTGCAGGACCGCCATTCTTTTTTTCTTGGATGGGTTTTTGCTTACAGGTATTTCAAGTAGCGGCCGGAGAAAGGGATGTGGGTGACGACCTCGATCTTGCCGTCGCCGATCTTGCTGATGGCGACGTTGTCGCCCAGGTTGCCCGTGCGGCCCTCGACCTTGATGCGGTCGTGCAGGAAGTTTTCAAACGCCGAGAGGTCGAAGATCTTGTCCGACACGGGCTGCGAGCAGTTGATCGTGTACTATTCCCGCCAGAGGACGTTAGCATGGAAACTCCGCGTTCTGCTCGTCTGCATTGGGTCGTGTATTGAGTGAATAGTGTAAGACATCCACATGCGCATGCGCATGCGGACGTGGATGTGGATGACAATGCGTTTGTGTGTATTTTGCGTGCAAGAGGTTCTCGTTCACGCATCAACTGCGCTGGCTGAACTGCATACCTTGTTCGTGACCTTCCCACCCTTCGCGCCGGTCTTGCCCTTCATCGCGACCTTCTGAGCCGTACCACGAGCCTATATCTCACAAGCACCTCCCCCCAAAGAAGGAGGGAGACAAAAACCTTAGCCTACTGCACCCCATCGTGTATTATAACATGGGGACCAGCAAAGCGGTTCGGTTGGGTCGTCGGTCGGTCGGTCGGCCGGTCGATTTCACCTGACTGACTGACTGACCGCCCACGCGTGCAGCCCGATAGCATTGGAACTTACTTTGACGGATGGTGCCATTTCTGCTTTTTCCTCTTTTGGGGGAAATTCGAGGTCGCAAAGAAGTCGATATCCTGCGCCTTTGGAAAGTGAATTCTGCAATCAGCGAGAGAGGAACTTTTGGATGCGGAGAGGGATCAGAAACCATGCCAGCAAGAGAAATTTCGGATTTGTGGATTGAAAATTCGCCTTACTTGCCCTTCTAAGATTCAAGCCTTGGCGCCGAGGCCCCCACAATAATCACCCCCCCTTTTTTCCGGATGAAGTTACTCGGTACATTTTGTCTTTGCTCCCTCATCGCCATCGGCGCCAACTTCTCCAGATGCAATTCGCATCACCATCCCGCCATCCAACACATGGCGGATGCCGCCCCACTGGCGCCATTCCGAAGCCAATGCCAATGCCAATGCCACTATTATTACTGTCGCCGCCACTTGCGGAAGCGTGAAATGCCTGTTCGGCTCTCTGCGCGTCTCCGTTGACACTGGCCTATGTGGCAGCTATGATAAACTTGGTCCCAAGGGCATGAGGGTAAGTACATAAGATTTGCGCCCGGTCAGCGCGTGTCGTGGGGCCAACTAGACGGGGAGGGATCCAGAAGTTCCGCTCACCGTCGACCTGGTGGCGAAGGATCATGCTCGTTGCCGGAACACCAGCAGCGCCGTCATCGATAGAGCCATCTTCCCGTGGCTGTCTTCCACGCCCTGGTGGTTAAGAGCTCTATTCGCGACTCTTGCTGTCGTGTTATCCCCCTGGAGGATCAAGCTCCTCAACCTAATGTTGTGGGTGCAACTGCAGACCATCGTTCTTCGCCCATGACTTCCACGTCGACCATGGCTACATACACGCGGCGTGGCCATCGATTGTGCAGCCATTTGGTAGTATTCAGCCTGCTTGGGTGAACCGCTTGCACATCCAAAGTTTCTCCATCATCACAAGGGCGGTAATGACATTGACATATTGGGCTGAAACACTTGTCCTGGGAATGCAGGGGGAGTATGTCGAGTATTATACTCCGAGGAGACTATGCGGAGACGAGAAGTGCTAGATGCTCGATGACTGACGATGATGAATTTATTGATGCTATTTACAAGTTACAGGGCGCTATGGTTGTCACCTGGCGAGGTGTTTTGAGGATCAAACCGTGCTAGCGAGCTAGGTATTGGGCAGTCAGGTTTTTGGCTCCCGAGTAATCTGGGTACATATTATAGTTTAACATATACGCCAATGGGCATCTTTCCCAGCACGAAGAAAGCACCTAGGTACACAGCTACGAGCAGCCTAAGTAGGCTGTCATGGCAGGCCAAGCATCACGAGTCCGAATAGTACATTGCACATATCACCAGACGGTGACCAGCGTATCCGACTTCAATCACAATATGAATACCATTTGCTAGCAATTCAAGTTGAAGCACAAACGTACTCCGTACAAGAAGGGTCGACGTCGTCGCTAAGGACGCACACATCACAAAGTATCAACCAGCCAATCCGCCCATTATCGTTGCTTAAGCCAGATATCATCCGTCTTTGGTTCCTTGTTGTTCCTGTCCGCGCCTCGCCATATCATGCCGAGTCCAATTCCTGTGGTCGAGGGAATACACAACATTTTCATGGCCGTCAAGATTCATGCTCAGTTCGAGGTTACACGATAACCACGCCATTCGTAGCAGTCCAGATGTCAATGTACATGTCTCCTGTTGGGACGAGTGACTCCATAATTCGCCAATGCCTCTCTTTTATCGCTGTTGCCGGTGTCTCAGTTAGGACGCGGTTGTCCTCCATCATGTCATGCAGTAGGGTCATAACGAAATGTTCAGCTGGTCATGAAATACGCAGCACTACCGCTTAACACCAACTGGTCCGTGACTGGCACTGCCAACACGTCCACTGGTCTTCCTGACCTTCATCTTATCCTCAACGCCGCTGCGGCGTGGTGATTCCCTCAGCGATCGGGTCTTCGAAACGCTCATGGCACCCATTCCACTAGCAGATCGTGGAGTCTTTGGTCGGCCAGCTGCATTTGGACCCTTCTCACTCACCGTGCTTAGTTTGAGATTTTCTTGTTCCTGGGCGAGTTCATCCCAGATGGCATTTGTATCCTCTATTTGGAAATTGATATCACCATCATCCTCATAGATACCCATCGTGCCACCCACATCGACGGTCTTGGTCATGGTTGTCGTGGTGGTAGTGTATGAAACACTGCGAGCTTTGCCCTTGCTGCTGGGACTCTTGCTTTGACTTCGACGAGATGCTGCTCGCTGTAAAATGAGCTCCTCTTCGCTTTCTGCACCATTTGTACTGTGTCGATGTGTCTCGACCGTTGTCACTTCGCTCTCGGACCTGTTGCCATTGATGCGCATAGTACCCGAAGTTGATCGAGCATATGGGTGACTTCGAGGGTCCATTCGAGCATACTTTCGTGGTTGACCGGGCGTTGGAGCTGGAAGGTTTTCATCCTGATAGACGGCAGCATTCGACACGTCGTTGCCGTCGATTTCACCCAGAGCAGTTCTCTGGGCACTAGAACGGTCCGGAGTTGCAGTCTGCGCTCCACTTGGAATACGCATGGGTGTTTTCGCTGACATCGCACGAGGCGTTGAGGGTTTGTTCAGTTCCATCTTTGCCTTCCACTGATCTTCCAAGTACCATTCCCGGAACTGACCTTGGTTCAGATGGAGCCAATGTTGTTGCGGCCCGACCACCATTCCCGGACGCATGAACCGCATGAAAGAAATCACTTCGTTTGCGGTGAAGCCATGGCGATAGATCAAATAAGCTCCAATCAAGCACCCAGTTCTCCCGAGACCGGCCTTGCAATGAACGGCAATGGCTTTACTCTTGGCAATAGCGTCGTGGGCCAGCTTGATGAATTTGCGGACAATTGGAAGGGCGGGACAGGTTCCATCCTCAAAGATCATATCAATGTGTTCAATACCAAGAGCAGTAAAGTATGTTGGGCAATAAAGCTCGGAGTTGAGTCGCACAACCAAACCCACGTCCCGTTGGACGAAATGCGTGAGGACGTTTTTGAAGGGTTGGGGTATTCTGGCACGCTGGATCTCCGGGATGCAAGAGGGAAGTGTCGCATAGGCTGGAGACGAGATGGGAATAGGTGTGGTGGGCTCAGATTGAGGAGATGCTAAGGCAACAAATTGGGGGCAGATCCAGTTGAAATCTCCCTGGTCAACTCGTTCGAATCGCTCGTATCTACGCATGTTAGCTTCATCTTTCCGAGCATGGTCAATCCACGTACTCTTCGAGATTGAACTCCTTGAGCTGACACAAATTTTCTTCTTTGGCCTTCCAGACGCCATATACTACATCCTGGATATTGAGAATGAAATCCGCCTGACTGTATCCGGCGTCTCTAAAGGGCATGTATGGAGGATCGGCTTGAGCGATGGGCGCAAGAGCAAGGTGAGGAGGCCATGCCTGGATCAGCACCATGTAGCAAGCGACCAGACATGCGGCGTTTGCTCGACTCCTGGCATCGGCCCTACTCCAAAACACGACGGCCTTGTCGTTGTTGGCCGGGTCACCCAGGATTTCGTGGAAATGAACGGCGAATCGATAGAGATGGCCAATGTGCAGGGGCCCGAAGTCGGCGTGAAAGGCATTGTACAGAAGAGTGTCGTCGATGGTGAAGTAGACTGGAGGAGGTCGCAAAGTGGCAGGAGTGGGACCTGAGAGCGCTTTGGAGGACTTCTTTTGCGGCGATTTCTTTGCCTGGGTGGGATATGGGAAAGGAGTATGCTCGTTGGGTGCATGCATGTAAGATGCTAGGTACAGGCGATCTGTTGAGGAGAGCAATATCAGCGATGCGCCTCGCACTGAGGGGCATTGTTTTGTTTCACGTCTATTTACCTTGGATGTATTCGATGACCTGACCATAACTGGCAGGATGCACCAACGACGGCGCCATCACTGCTCACAGCTGACGAGAGATCGCCGCCAACGGAATGATTGGACTTTGCACAGGTATTCGGTGTTGCAGATGGCAAGTGTTGGCCGGCTTGGGCGCTCGATGGCAGAAAGAGACGCTGTCAACGGTCGGTGCAGATAGGAATGTCTCTCTGACTGTGCCGCATATCACGAAGCAGACGTAGTATGAGAGATACAGCTAAGCAGCGTGAATGCGATGAGATGAGGAGGAAGAGGGCGATTGAGGTAAAGATGTGGTGGTTTGTAGGAGGACGCAATGGAGTAATGTGCAGGTATGTGTTTGTGGATATTGGGTACTACTTGGTACTTAATGAAATGAAACGGGGAATTGGTGGGAACTGTGAAGGGGTCACAGGCCCAAGGTTCCCAGGTTCCCCATCGTCATGTTTACTTTCGGCCCCTGCATCCTCGTTTCCCAGCAACCGCGTCATCGGGGTTTCGAAGAATCTTCCCTCACCCACCATTGCCCACCTTTGCCCACCTTTGCCCACCACCACCAAAACTAAGCTGCGCCAACCTAACAGCCATTCCATCCGCGTTTGAGACTGGCTTGAGTGCATGTTCAAAGACATCTCAGCCTCGCCAGATGCATCATAGTGTCATATGACATGGCGATGGACACCTCCCAGTCCGAGTTCCCATGCTCATTGTGCGTGGCGCTCTCTCACCCAAGCTCTCTGCGCAAACACTGACCCTCCCTGACAGAGTCATCCATGTCCCTCTCTTGAACCATCGCCTCGCCTCCACCGCAATGCGCGCCCTGCAAGTCGATGCCGAGTTGTCCCCACTGGTTCGTCGAGAGTTCGCTTTGGTCAGTCCAGATGTTGTCAATGGTCATGCAGCAAACGGCGACGATGGATTACAAGATACCCACAAGACCATTCTTCGCACCCAGTATAACGCAACTACCAATCGCATGCTCCGAGTTGCCGTTAATGGCTTCATGGAATCTCTGAGTGTCGTCCTGCAGGTCATGGAGGAACTAGACGTGGACGTCCTTCAGTCAAGGTCATGACCCTCCCTGGCTGGTCATCTCCCCGCTCAACTTTGGCCTCGAACATGTGTACTTAGGCTGATGGCGATGTCCGCGGTTGCCCTAGGGAATGAAGTGGCGCCGTGAGCATATCACCTTCCTGGTCATATTTCCACCAAGACGGATATCAGCTGAACAGTGTCTCGGGATTCCCCTGTGTGGGCGTGGGGACTTCGAATCATTGCAGAGAAAACTCGATGGCGTCAGTCTCAGAGCCAAGTCAAGCCTAGATCCCGTACAAGACCGTAGTTGAGAACTCGACTGACCTCCTTGCTTCGGAAGCTGAGACAGCGTCTTCTCCTGATGTGTCTTCAATTTCTACTCCTCTTCTTTAGAACGCGCCGGTTGATGAGTTCCGACGCCGCGAAGGATGAAGCGAGCATTTGGCACATCACACCGCGTCCGCGAAATCGCTGTTGAATTCTGTCGAGTAGACATGTGGAAATCGTCGACGCCCAGACCAGCGCCTCCATAAGAGACCATGCCGAAATAATCCGGTAAGAATATTACCCCGGTGTCTGTGACACTTGGGTCTCGTAGCAGGCCATCCTGGGATTCGGGGTCCGTGGCAGTGCCCAGCACAACTGTCGTGCCGCCGTTCGTCGACCGCGCAGATGCAGGCTTCAAGAGTGAGGCTCCTGAGTTGTCCTTGCCGGCAGGATCTGTAGAACACACAAGAAACTCGACTGTGCTGCCCGTTGGGACTATGCCACGCGAGCCCAGCTCATGCACAATACTTTGGTCGCCATCCAAATCCGGGAACACAATGGATGACGACGCGGCTTCACTGGTCTCGAAATCCACAGCTCCTTCGAGTGATAGAAGGCCTTGTCTCTTTCCCCAACCTCCTCCGCCGCCCGACACTTTGAAGAGCTGTGCACCTTGCCATAAAGGCTTGAGTGAGCTCGATTCCTGACTCCCGTTGTTCCCGTCCGCTCCCGCCTCAAGTGATGATGTCCCTGGTGGACGGATCAAAGCAAAGACAAGTAGTGGGCCCCGGGCAGTGCTTGCGGGATTCGATTTGATATATGTTGAAACGGCCTTCTCGAGTTCTTGTGAGGCAGGGACAGCCACGCCCTCGACCTCAATCTGACGAAGGACGTTCCCCATGGATCCTACTACCTTTCTAGGCTTCGTCAGTGACTGAAGTGGAGCAGATCCGCCATCGACAAAATTGTCTGGAGGGCAGTGAAGGTTCAATTGGAACGATTCAAGGTTCTTTCTACCAACATAGTTGATGGCCGGCTCCTCAGAACCACCCAGTTTGATCTTCCAGACATCCTGGAAAAGCGTTGTCCGTTGTCCGTTGACGAAAATGGTGTTGGCGACCGGTAAGGTGACGTGCCGTACAACGGCTTTTTGGTCTGATGCTTGTCCTGACGAAGCAGGTCCGGCGGCAGAGCGGAATTGTAACGTCGCTGGGGACTTGTTTTCTGCGTCGACGCCTTGGAGTTCTGACAGAGCGTAAACGGACCGACCGCCGGGATTCGTAGAGCTCATGAAGAGTGCAAGTCCCTCCGTACTAGAAACCCTTGTGGGATTTCCATCATGGCTGGCGTGAGTTTCAGGAGGGGCGGGCAGCGCGTCGACGACAGCAGAGACGCATTTTATAGTTTTCTCAATGGGTTTTCCTCTTTCCAGGGCACGGCCTTTGTACAGCAAAGGTAGAATGTGCCGAAGGAAGACCTCTGGCCCCAGGAGAGAAGACAAGGACGGTGTCACCAATAGAACCAAGAATTTAACCAGGGATTTGTCGTCACAGTATCTGTGTAGCTGTGGTCGTATTTGTTCCAGGTCCTGGATTCTATCAGATAGAGCTCGATTACGTTGGAGGGGGAGGAATTTTCCAGTGTACAATAGTAAATATCAGCCTTTGTAACTCACCACAAGGTCTGGATCCCTGGTCAACCACGTCACACCTGCTCGTACAACCCTATTTGCAGTGTTGCCGAGCCGCCTCGGCGTACTGAATGAAGGGTAAATTTGAGCTGTAGACTCTTCTCCAGAAGAAGAAGAGATACCAGTTTCATCTGATGGTATCGGCTGTAGTCGGACTCTTCGAAACGTGGGGCCCCCCGAAGGAACTCTTCGCCATGCTATCGATCGTGCATCTTGTGCGTTGCTCAGACGCCGTTTGAAGCCGAGCTGCCTGGGCCCGTTGATATGTACTAAGGTTCTATTCGGAGAAGAACGAACCAGCACGCTGAGCATGGTTGCTATGTATCGAGTAGAGGAGTGGCTGTCTTCCTTTGAGCTACTGCAGAACAACGCTTCGAAACACAAGACTGGGAAGGGGAGCAACGTTGAAACAAGTGATTTGGAAAGAAAGAAGCCCAGAGAAAATAGCAGAGAGCTTCACGCCTGCTGTCCCTTTGATGATGATGGGGTTGAAAGAGTCTCCAGGCCAAATCTGGAGCTCATTGGAGCTGTTTGGCGTACAAAATATTTCGTCTGACCAGGCTGGGCCTGGGCTGGATGAAGGCAAGATCCAGGCCAATTTCCAGCAGAACCTTTTTTTGTCAGACGCCCACTCTTCCCCCCCAACTCGAAAGGGGATTTTCTAATTTTGATGATCTATTACTACTAGCAGGTAGCGCAGAAGACGGAATCAAGCGTGGCAAAATAGCAAGATGTTGAATTACTCATATGGTGGGATATTTCCAATTGGAATGGTGGTAATAAGACGGATTCTTGAAGATTAAATGTTCATGTGGGCTGCTCTACCGACCTTCTCTCATACAGCTCTGGGCTTTTCGTGATATACATAGCAACATCTCACGTCGGGAACAAAAATGCCTATGGTAATACAATTTCTGAATGATACATCCTTGCCGTTCGACTCTCAGATTTCAACGGTCAGATACAAATCACCGCTGCTTGACTTGCTTGGCGTCAGTCGAGCCTTGGAAGATGGTGACGGTTGCGGAACGACGACATTCACATTGCTGGTATTGGTAATCAAGGTTCCATTCAAAGATTGCCCAGAGTCTTGCATAGGGGATCCCCTGTTGCCGCTTGACGGATTGCTTCTGAGCTTTGTTATGCTCGGTCTGTGGGTCTTCGATGAAGGAGGGATTGGAAATTCAATAATCTCATCGGACAGATATCCATCGGAGGAGGTGGTATCTGTTTGCATAAAGCTTAGTTCGGCGTGGACAAGCTGATCCCTGGTCGGTCGAAGAGGTGGAGCTGCCACTGGTACAAAGGCTGAAGCAGGGGCTGGATTGAGGCTTGCTCGAAGTTGGGCGGGTCTTTCTGCTTGCCTGGATATGGCGGCCGAACGAGGAATTTGAGGATACCTCAAATCCTTAATAGGGCTTTCTTGCGCGGGCGAGACGCCACGAATGTCAGGAGGGATGACGGAAGGTGTCGGTGGATTCGCTCTCAGTCCAAGTTGCTTGTTTGCTTCTTCAGGAGGTGTCGTATCTTCTTCAATTTCAGTGTAAATGGAGCTGACGGAACTTTGCCTTTCTAGATCACGGCCTACAGTCATTAGTCTTCTACCTGCCGGAGGGTGTGGCGCTAGTTGTGGTGGCAAGGGAGGATTCCGTGGCTGCATGAGAGGCTCTCCAAGCGGAGTATTGATCACTCGAAGAGGGAGTCTGGCTGGAGGCTTCTTTCGCAACACACTCCTATTTGCGTACATTGATGACGGGGGGAGCTTGTGCTCTGCTACTGGAAGGGGTGGTTGAGAGGTGGGCGATTGAAAGTTGCGGCGTGGCGAGGATAAATCAACATTGCCGTTGTCGTAAGTTGGGGTCAATGGGATTCTAGCTGTCTGTCCAGCAGCTTTAGGGGGGCTTTCCGGCAACGCAGGCAATCTCAGATTCGGGGGTGGCCCCCTGGGCCGTTTCGCCAAAGGTGGTTTCTCCAATATGAATGGCTGATTGTTGACTAAAATTCGTTCAGGTTCTTGTCTTCTCGTTTCCGGCTCATCGTCAAACTCGGTGACGTCACTGACGGGTCGTTGGGTGTATCTCCTTCGTTCCCTTGTAGCTTCGACATCTAGCGGTGCGGGCCACAGAACTGCAGCAGGCGCAGTAGGTAATAGCCGAGAGAAGCTCTGCTGAGAGGATGCGCTTACAGGGGAGTGTTCGCCGGGCATTTTTGGTGAGACTGCTATACCTATTTCTTCTGGTCTGATGCTCTTCCGCCAAAAGCTTCTCCTCTTTTCTTCCGTTGGCTGCTGTGGAGCATAGAAGCGACCCTGAGTGCGACTCTGAGTATCGGGCACTGTAAGCGAAGTTCCAACGTTTTCAAAAGTGACTGGGGGCTTTTTGTCAGGGGTCTGATGGTTGGTAGGGGATGACGGTTCAACTAGCCGTGAGCGTCTTTGGCTGCGCCGTCGCTGTCGACGCCGCTTGCGTATCCAGAACAGAAGAAGCAGCAAACCAAAAACGACAACAGCGAGAGCAGCACCGCCGATGGCAATTCCTGCAATTTGAGGCGTAGTGAGACTAGGCCGAGAGGTAGCCTGTTCCGGTACAGCAACAGCTCCTGACGCTCCGTCGGGGCCGGTAGACATGCTTGTGGTCTGGCCCATTACAGTGCTTGATGGAGCGTCCGCTGCCGAAGGTGAATCCCCGGGCGTCGTCGGTGCTGCGGCTGGTGTTGCTATTATCCATGTCGGGGTATCCGTTGCCATCACAATGGTGCTGACGTCCTCTGTGGAAGTCGGATTACCTATCGTGGCGGGCAAGTTCTCCATGGTGGAAGATGTGGTGGTGGAAGGCCCGATTATCGTAGCTGTGATGGTTCGAGCTGTGTTCGGTTCAGCTCCTGGTATAGAGTTGCAAACGCCGTACACATCCACGTCCTTCTGATCTTGTCCCGTACAGGAAGAGACCACGCACTGTACGGAACCCTCACCAATTGTAAGCCCAGATACGTTAGGCTGTATGCAGAGATATGTGATGTCTGAGGTATTTGCGCATGTGGCTCCTGGGTAATTCTGACTCGCGAAGTTTTGGATGCAGTTGACTGCGCAGGCTGGAACAATGGAGAGAAGGGAGGGAGGGAGGCAGGTATTTGCCGACACCTGTCGGGCACGGAGCTGGTCATCATCGTGAAGAATCGACGACGGACTTGGGAACATCCACATATGGGAACCCATGTCGACTGGTTGGCCTTTGTCATCGTTGAGGCATCATGGCTCTCGAAGTGGCCGTTTGCGGAAATATTTCTGTGAACGGTGGCTGTACGACACGCGAGCGAGCAAGTAGCAGTCAGCGGGAGAGAGGATCAATATTCAACGACAGTGGACAATGCGAAGACCTTGCGACAGATATGCGGCGCGAAGGGGGATCTGGGGGTTCTTTTAATGTTGCGTTTGCCCTTTGGTCTTACCTCACCCCTCGAACGGGGTGGACAGAGAATTTTTGTCCCTGAGAAAGGGTATTTTGCCAGAAGCATGACGATGGCGGCTGGAATATTGATCTGCGATAGGCCATATAGCCTGAAACCTGCAAAGCATCATGGTGGACGTGGTCGAATGTGAAGCATTGGATGAAGCATAGTCGCTGAAGCCAGCGGTTAGGGATTCTCCTGGCTGACGAGGGCTCTTCACGTGATTGTGCATTCCCCTGGCACCCATTTCGCCAACCCAGATGGGGAAATGGGCTGCAAGGCTCGGATATCAGCGGCGGCTACCAGGGCGCGAGCAGAGCGCTTCCACGCAGATTGGGTCATCAGCATATTACTCCCACACGGCTATTACCTATATCACTTCCACAGAGTCCTTTTGCTTGCAGCGCATCCCTTTCTGTCCGATGTAAACGCTCCCTACTAACTCGGCTTTGAGCAAAATACTCCTTTTTCCCGGCAGGAACATATTTCCTTGGCGCTATCATACCACCTGTCCGCAACCAGACTTTTTGTCATCGTGCTTCAGGACAACATGGGCAGTTGCCTGACTGTCGAGGGGTTTAAATTGCCAGTCGCTTGACCCAGCCCGTGCATGACGCACATTGACCGTTGAAAATGGGGGTCGGATTGGATCACAGCCCTGAACAATCTCCAGGTTGGCATCTAGGGGTCTCGGACATAGCAGTTCCGAAGTTCATTTTCGGTCTCACCATCTCCCGCAAGGCTGTTAGAACTAGTAGAAGCGAGCTCTCCCTTTCGCACGGATGGGCCACGACATCAACATTACAAATTGATCATGAGGAATGGGATGTTAAATGTGTCTCATTATGCTGAATTAAGACGTTGGCACCCCAAACCACGTGCAGCAAAATCGACCTTTGTGCGCCGAAGTTGGACGGAAATGCTCCCATCCGTCCAGCAAACAAGCGGTCCAATAGCCCAGGTCACACCACCCTATTCAGATTCAATGCCCCGTTTCATGCCGACTGAATCTGTGTGCTTTCCGTGTGAGACCAATATGGTGCCGAAATGATATTGTGGGCATAACGAGGAATGTCTTCTGTATCATGCTCTGAGAATCAAAAAGGCAGGTGGGGATATCAAGAGGAGGCGAGGTTGTGTCGGTCCTCGGCAGAGGAGGAAGGGAGTTTCGGCGGGGTGGCGGAGATGAATGACATTAGATGCTCATCGTTCAATACTTTAGAATAATGTAGCTGTTCCATTGTTGTTAGCTTGTGATCAGCGCGTGACTGCCACGGCGCGTCTGAAACGTACAGAGCATGGATGATGCCCGGGATGTAACCCAGAATGGTCAACAGGATGTTGATGAAGAAGTCGGCATTGCAGCCTCGCTCCAGGAAGACACCGAGGGGAGGGAGGATGATGGCAAGAATAATCTTGCAGATGTCGCTGGAATCACATTGTCAGCTCTACAGGCGCACTGCGCGGAAGGGAACGGAAGTTGGGACCAGTGACTTACGATGCTGTGAAAGGCATGTTGATTTAGTAGCGCGAACTGTGAGGAGACGTGTGTTTGTTGATTAATGGACGTAAAATGCGAGGCTTGCGAGCAAAAAGCGACAGTGGTTTGAGACACGGATGATGGTGAGAAAGGAAGATTGCGCGATGAGGGAGATACAAGGCACTTTTAGATGCTGGATGGCTGGGGAGGGGGGCGGAGGGCAGTGACTTAACTGGGCACCTGGCAGTGACACTCCCGGATTACCAACAGGGCACGCCGGGAAAGATCATTTAGCATCATCCTGCCATTTCGGCACTGGACAGAAGCTAACCTGTGGCACCTGGGGGGGGGGGCCTTTCCGCCATTTCTAGGCACGGTCCAAGGCAATTCACGCAAGTCCTTGATTGCAGCCACCCATGACGTCTGTCTCAGCGCCAATTGTCCCTCGACGAGCCTTTTTCCGGCCTCCTCTCTCCACCCTGTCCAAATCTTGCCCAATGAACTCTAGCAACAGGAGATTGCATCGAATACCCCGGTATTGTGCATCATCATCTGCTGCACCGCCACAAACTGTGGCTTGACTCGCCGCGATAACCTTTGTCTTGTCACTCTGTTCCCTTTCTTCTGCCACATCGTCATCCTGCAGCCAGTTTGACGTGGGATACTGGGTACTGTGGCTCATGCGGCTCGGTGGCGGCCGAGTCTGCCACAAGAAAATGCAGATCCAAAAAAAACACTCTCATGAGACCTGTTCAACGTGGTAAGATCAATCTCGAAGCCTGGGGCATCAGCAGATGCAAAAACCAACCATTCGCCCAGACTTACTCAGATCTGTTCGTGCTCCCCATGCCGAGGATGGGAGAAGTTGCCATACGAATACGAGGTACGGAGAACAACAGCAATCAAAAAAATCTGACCCATTTCGTCATCATGGAAAACGAGGGGTGTCTCAGAGTGTTCTATATCGAGTAACCATAACCCAAGAGAAGAGCAATGGCAGTTCACGTGAATATTTCTTTTGGTCTGATTTCATCACCTGTCCGGGCCGTTCGGGTCGCTAATGAAGTTGGCCAGGGCCATGTCTTTGGTGTGCATAGGATGATATCGGACAGGGCAAGACAGGGTAACCAATTTGTCTCGATAGCACGACCCGACAATCGACCTCTGCCTTAATGCCTCGGTGGGCTGGGACCGAACCAACAATGGTTTAGCCAAGTGGCACAAGCGAACCAACTATCTTCCTCGCTTGTTCAATCCTTCTTTTGCACTGAGAAGGATGCCTCGTGCCTTCCCTGAGCATGTACAGTTCCCGAGATTCCCAAACACCGTTGGCATGGCAGACTGCAGGCTACGTATCATGTCTCCCATCTCGGATCTGCGCCTCTTCTGAGGATAATTGACTTCGACCCAATGTAAGCTGCGGCAGCGCGATGGCGCCAACCTCGACGAAGCCTCAATTCCTTCGATCTCTCCCGTCCACCTCGTCGCTCAAGCCGACAAAGGACAAGCCTCGAGTCTACATCGTCCTCTATCCACGCAGTGCCTCGTCGACGAATTCTTCCTTTCGCAACGTCCTCAGCTGCGACTCCTACCATTGGTCTATCGTCGTCGGGCCCCAAACTGCGCGGCGCGCCGACAAGGGAATTCGCTACCACGTCGCCCACCTCAACCACGACACACACAGGCACTTTTACGAGGAACAAGACATCCCTTCAAACCCCATTGCCCAAAGCGGTCTGGTTCGCGTTGCCGTCTGCAAGGTCACCGACGAAGAGCGCCTTCATTCCATCCTTCGAGAACTCCCGATCCCTGGGGAAGACTCGGCGTTCAACTGTCTGACCTGGGTCCGTGAAGCATTCTGCAAACTCCATGAAGATGGCAAGTCGGTGAAGAGTTATCTCAGTGCAGACGATTGGCAAGCCGTGGAGGCGTGCGCCCGCAAGTATTGCAAGCGAAAGAGAGACGCGGGTAGGTTCCAGGAGGGCAACGGTCTTGCCAACAATAATGGCGGAAACGCTGCGTGGAGCGCGGAAAAAATCAGCACCTTCAACTTCTGGGAGAATCGCGAGACTACGCCGTAGGCTGGGCGTGGGAATTCTGAGTAGGTTTGGGACATTTTGGGTGCGCAGACAGCTGTAACAAGGCAGCTAGCTGTAACCCGGTTGAAGAGGACGTCCAACGGAGAAGGCTTTGTTCCGCCCCCTAGAGGAATCTGCCCTTATAGTGCATATGACGGGATCTCTCAAGATCTACAGGTACCTACCGATTGCGAAGCCCAATCTCGACATTTTGCGATCTTGCGAGTAGAGATAGGGTAAGCCAAAGGGGAAAAAAAAAAAAAAAAAAAAGAATATGGAATCGCGCAAGAAGAGGTGAGCCTGGAAGAGCGGAAGAGCAGAAGAGGATCTTAGACTTTCTTTTTCACGTTTTGTTTATACAATGGCACATCACCTTTTTTCTTCTTCTCCCCTCTTTCCTCCCTTTTCTTCTTCTTTTTCTTTTCCTCTCTTTCCTTTTCTTTTCAAATCGCTGGCTGGTGCCGCTGTCGGTGCCAGTGTTCCCAGCTTGCTTGCGGGCTCGTGGCATGCAGCATTCCTCCACATATAAACAGCAAACCAACCAACCAGACAAACAAACAAATAAACAGACAGACAGACGAGTCTGGAGACTCCCTACCTCGCGGCTTCTATACACGACAACTACAAGTACAACTACAAGGACCCGCCCGTAAACATTACACTGTTTACCCCCCCCCTTCCCCCCTCTCTCTGCCCCTCCCAGGGCAAGATAGATATCTCCCGATAGTCTCCCCGCAGCGAAATATAAGCACGAGCACGAGCGCAAAGTCCACGCATACATGTGCAGTCACGGTCCGCATCCAGATCTCTACCAAGGATGCGAAAGACATGGAATCTTCTGTTCAATTTGAATTCTCTTGATTGCGATCATGATTGTGATAGTGGCGCTGACGGCGACGTGACGTGACTGTTGATCTACTTCTGTATATTTGTAGATGTCCTCCCTGAGCATTCCATGGCCAACGCGATCTGTGCAGCCAAAAGATCGATAACAAAAAGCCCAAAAGTGAGCGGGACAAACCCGAGGCAGCCTGAGTAGCCTTGCTGTGTTCGAGAGCTTTAGGACGGAAATATCCCCAATCAGAAACACATTGTCTGTTTCCATATTCATGGTCCGCAACGAGATTTCCCGGTTCCAGATCCCATAAGCCCAAGCCCATCTCGACCTTGAGACTGAAGTGAACGCTCTTCCCTTTCCCTTCCCCTGAGAAAACCCACTATAGAGCCCTTTGCAGACCGTGAAAACGCCGGGCAGCAACGCTACTGCCGAATCAGAAAAACAAAAAAAATATTGCAATCCCGTCGCGCGTGGAAATTTGCTGGATTCTCTCCATCATTCACAACCATGCCGCCTCATCTAGAGGCCGCGAAGCATGACGGTCCGTTCTCCCTCCAACTTGGCCGCATTGCGATCCTTGTCTGCTTTTCTCGCGTCTTCCAAGCCCTCGCAGTTATGAGATTCCAACATTCGGTGTTTCCCGCAGAAGCGCTTCTGGCAGAAACCGCAGTCTCCCACAATCGGTTGAGCTGGCGCTTTGCATCCGTCCTTGGAACACCGTGGTTTGTTTGACTTTCTCTTTGTCGGTGTTGCCGCCCCCGAGGGTATCGGTGTGGACGATGTTGATGTGGATGTGGATGTGGATGTTGACTGTGACGCGATTTTCATGTCTGTTGACGCCGGTTGTGGTAGAGGTTGTGATGCATCCGTGGGCGTGGTACTTCGTGGCGGCGAAGACAATTTGAGTGTCGGCGATTCTTGGAGCTTGAGCTCTCCGACGGTGGTAGATGGTTCTAGGGGCTTCCCGTCAAGCATGAGTTGAACGTCGGCGGGTAGGTTCGTGGAGGCAGAGAGGAATTCCAATACGTTGGAGACGGTGTGAACAGGCCGAACATTCAATTTGATGGCTGCGAGGCACAGGTTAGTTCTTGATCCAACAGAGCGGGTGGTCCGCAAGGTCCTGCTTACTCTTTTCATCGCTGATTTGCACCTGGATAGCCATATTATCAGCCGGGAGGTCTTTGCCGGTATTGGAGGTCGCAGAGCCTGATCGTGAGCGATTCATGTCGAATGTAGGAGACGGTGTGAACGTGAGAGAGAGGTAAGTCGAGGAAAAGACGAGGTTTATCTGGAGGCGACTTTGAAGTTGCGGGTGAGAAGGATCCGGTGCAGGTAACCAGGCTCGTGACCGATGACGAATTCTGAGAGGCTAGGGCTGAGGGCAATAACTCGGTACTACTTGTAGTTATGAGAGATAGCGTGATAGTGGTAAGAGGCAATAGGAGCGTTTGAGATAGAAGGAAGATGATGTTTCGTCCCAGTGTTGGCGGGTTGAGCGGCGGTTGGACTGGGGTTTGGTTTGGTGGTGGAATTGGAGATGGAGGAAAAGAACAAGACGATGAGTTCGGAGCTTGGTGCAGATGAGTCGTGTAATGTACTGGGTACTGCCTGGGCAGTAGCGAGTTTGCTAGTCAGATGGACACCCAAGCCAGGGGACAAGGGCCACAAAATGAGGCAAGCAGGTGGCTAGTTATGGGTGCCAGGTGGTTATGGGGGGGTGGACTAGTGACAAAAGTGGCTTGCTTGGAATTGAGGCGACGGCCACCGAGGACGTGGGAATCTGGATGAGCACGGTGGATGTCAGTGGAGCGGATGGCGGATGGATGTACGGAGCCCATGGAGCAGCAAGGGACCCAGGGTACAAGTAGAGCCACCAACACGCAGCACCAGGGGGGCCGTTATTACCACTCGTTCCAAAGAGCCAAATAAGTGGAACCCGTAGAATGCAGTCGCAGCTCCAAGAAGAGAAGGCGAGAGGCGAACGCTGAGTCCGTCCTTGGGAAACTCATCTACTGTAAGCACGAGCCGTGGGTTGCGAGGTCGTTGCGCTGGTAGCAACGAAGCCACAAGCTTTGCAGACACACAAGTCAACCGACCGACCTGATGGCCACTGCCAACTAAAACAAGTACTAATTGCTAACCAGTCGTGACCATGCACAGCTTCATCAAACCGTCAATCATGAATCAAATCATCGAGCTACAGTACTTGTACATACTGGGTAGGCCATCTGCAAACACACATTCTCCCTCCCTCTCCTCCAACAGTACAATTTCCTTGTCTTCTTTCTTGAGCCTGTTCCTTTTTCCCTCGAGCCGCCACACCCGGACGCTGGTGACGGAATCTTTCAACTCAATTCATTCAATGCGGCCTTTCCCCTGGAAGGTCCAGATCGTCGTTCTCAGCGCTTGGGTCTCTGACCTGCCCGTGCGCCCCGTCGCTGTCAGGACAATGCTGACCCGTCCGTCCCTTGAGCTTCCAGCAAAACAATAACTTGCGAGTCTGGCCAACCACCAAACCCGCCTGCACACAATTGCATTGTTGGCACCTGTAGCTGGCGTCAACAAACTCTGGCAAACTTGGTATGCAGCTGCCATTAGTCTGCACCTTTCCGACCATGTCTGGTTGGCTTCCTCCGAATGCGGGCATGCGACATCGCTTCTGTTTCCCATTCAGATTCGAGACAAACATCGTATCTGTTGCTGCCACATTTTCAACTTCAGGTCTCTTTGCGAACGGCATCCACCGTTATCATGAACTAACCATCTCGACAGTAGTCACATCTTCAACTGATAATTTTCTGGTCATGTGCTGGGAAGGGGACAACTCGGAAGTTCCAGACGAGTGCCGGGGATCGATCTGCACCTGCATCTGGACCCTGCATGTTCTTAATCGTCGCCTCTCTGCTGGGTTGGTCCAATCCTACTTGTAGAAAGTCCAAGGGAATAGTCCGCCAAAAGCGTAAGATGGGCGTCTGGGCCAACAGGCCAAATATGCGACATCGGCCCACTGCTGTATCCTCCTGCACACCAAGATCCCTGCCTCCTCAACCTTGCTTGAAACATCACTACATGCGTTTCAAAAAGTGGTCTCACTTATCCCTCCCACATGCAGCTGTTATCTCGGTGGGTGATTGTCGTCGTGAATAATGCCAATACTTCCTCACCACTGTGCCGTCATTCGAGGTCAAGGACTCTTGGACTTTCTCTGGAGTTACCATCTAAGCACCATCAGCTTTCTTTTCTCCGGCCTCTGGATCAAGATAATCGTCCTTCTCCGCTGCCTCATATTCGCCAATCAGGCCCATCACCACTTCCTTTGCTTCATCGAATTCAGATAGCCCTTCCGCGAACGGAGCCTCCTTCTTATATTGCTCCAAATAGGCATTTCGTTTTCGCATTTTCTCGTACTGGACCACTATTCTCCGGAAGAGGGTCGCAACGCTGGTGTGGTTCGCGAGCATGAGGCCCGAGACCCGGTGCGTGTTGGGGAGGTACGGGGATTTCTTGGTCAGAGCCACCTGGATGGAAGCCGGGCCCCACGGGATGAAATTTGCCATGCGCCGTTCTCGGATGCGCAGAAGAGACTTGTGCACGTCGGTCGGGTCGGCCTCGCCTTGGATGATGTTGAGGATTGAAATGTAGCAAGAGGATTTGGAAGGGGTGATGGACACCATTCGATTCTTCGGCTGGAGCAGTCGGCGCATCACGTCGAGTACCGTAGTCTTGCGCACCGTTTTGGCCTGGTCCACGTTGTCCCCGGTGAAAGGCGTGTAGGCGGTCATCAGGAAGTGGCATCGTGGCGTAGGGATCAGAGATGCGATGATTCCCACCAGGTCATTGTGCATGTATCCCGGATATCTCAGGGTCGTCGTAGAAGCCGACATGACTGTAGAAACCAATTGGTTCGTCTGCTGAAACGAAGGCTCTTGAACATGCAGTCTCTCGGAAGCAATGCTCGACAGGGCGCCGTTGTCGAGAACCACGACGCAGTCCGCGTTCTGTGTCAACCGCCGCATGGTGAGCAGGCTGTTGTAGGGGTTCACCACGACGTCGCCGGTCGCGGTGTCCGGAAACACCGAGTATGTCTGGATGATTTTCTTTGGGAACCGATCGTTCATGCGCTCGAGGAGGTACGACCCGAGCCCGGACCCCGTCCCGCCAGCAATCGAATGCAGCAGCATGAATCCCTCGAGCGAGTCGCTCCCGTCCGCCTCTCTGTCAATCATGTCAAAGATCTCTTCCTGGACCCTCTCGCCCGCCGCGTAGCCCGCGGCCCAGTTGTTGCCCGCGCCCATGCCGTGCTCGCCGATGAAGAAATTCTCGGGGTTGTAGATGTTCTTGTACGGCCCGCTCTGGATGCTGTTGATCACCCGGGGCTCCAGGTCGATGAGGATCGCTCGTGGGATATAGCGTGTGTCGTCGCTCTGGTAGAAGAAGACGTCCTTGCGGTCGCCCACGCCGCCCTCGCTCGCGAAGTCTTCGAGGTTGCCGTCCCGCGAGATCCCGTGTTCTTGACATAGTTGCTGCCAGAATCGAGAGCCGATTGCGTTCCCGCACTGGCCTGCCTGGATGGTGATGATCTCGCGCGGCATTGTGACGAGAATTCTTCTGCAGAGGGGGTGGCTAACAGGTAATGCACGCAAGTAAATAACAATTTGGATGGCGACGCGTGGATTTCACGCGTCACTTCGCGTGGGGGGAGGGTTTGGGGACTTTGGGGTCTAGATGCATAGGGGTTTCGCAGCGTCGCTGAGCACCATTCAACGCGGCGCACGTTGCACCAATGCAAATTGTTAGATAACTCTACGGAGTACAAATGAACTGGTGTACTGCCCCGACATTTGCATTCTATCGTGTCGCATAATTAGAGAGCTTTTTTCCCTCCTCGATCTACCCGGTAGCCGTTCAGATCACACCAGAATCATCACTCCTCAACAGCCTCGACCATCTTGACGCTCAGACTGTTCTGTTGCATGAGATGCTCTACCGTCTCTGGAAATTTGCGCCGGAAACGCCTGGAGAAAACCGCAATCATGACCCATATCCACACCGTGTAGAGACATTGAATCCAGGTGATTTGGGCTTCTGGCTCTCTTTGGTCGTCCCAGTCGTCGCAGATCCTCTTAAACGTTTTAGGGTCGTCTGTAATGACTCCTTCCAGATTGTGTTGAATACACCATTTCATGAGATTAGGGTCATTGACACTACAGTTACCACCAGGTTAGCAGCGCAGCAATGCGTATCCAAGGCACAGGACCGGCCCAGGCGAAAGAGAACAAATGTCTGGGAGTAGAAAGACTTACGTCCAAGCAAAGAGTGGGCGATGAGCTCTGCGTACATCGCGCATGAACCGGGCGCCCAAGGGACCCAACAGACTTTTCTGCAGCATATTGAACGACACGTTCGGCACCCGCAGGAACTGCCGGGCGTACATGGTCGAGAATCCGATATGTGATATCGGATAGCCTGGACAGTATTGCATGCATAGAGGCAGGAATTTGGCTGCCCAGATTCCGAGCACTACCCTTTCTTCCCAGGCTCGTTGACCGGGATCCACTGAGGCCAGGGTCTTTGCTATCAGTCTCATCACATCGTCCGAGTTGTTGTCCAATTTGATATCGAGGAGCAGCCAAATATGCTCCAGTCCGGGTTGTGCAACATATTCAAGTAAGTCTTGGAGTCGTGGCATGGGTACGTGAGGGCCCTTGACGGTGCGAAGGGTACTCAAATAGTCCCAGTCACAATCAATTATCTTTTCTTTCTTACCAAAGCACCGTTTCAGATCTGGGTCGTGAGAGAGTACGACCACGCCGTCTTTGGACAAGTGAATGTCAGTCTCAAGTGCGTGGGCCCCAACCTCAACGGCACCTCTGAAAGCATTCATCGTGTTCTCAGGGTGTTCCGCCTTGAAACCTCTGTGCGCAATGGTTTGAGGCAGAGATCGCTTGCCCTTGTATGGTTTTGCCCAAGTCCAGCTTGCTGTTGAGAATCAGAAGTTAGAATATAGCAGAGGACAAGGACAAACCCATAGGGAAATCCAAAGCTGTGCTTTGGTTTGGGTCCTGAGTTCCATATTCGGGTTTCGCAATCATCGGCTGGGCCAACCCTTTGTTCAACAACGGCTCTGTGGCCTGGCTGTCAGGAACATAATGCATCTTGAAACGGCGCCTCTGTCGGAAGAACGAAGCCGTCTTGAAGCTATGTGAGGATTCAGGGATAGAGCGAGGCTTTGATAAAGCAACGGCTAGTCAAAGTGATGGTGACATTGACAGTCGTGAAGAGGCGTCCTCGGAGCAACTCCGTGTCCTTGAGGCGATCGAGTGCTATAGAGCCATGTTGATTGGCGAGAGATGGGTTGAGGTTGGATTAAGTCAAAACTCGAGTGAAGAATGGATACCGAAAGTCTCACCTCGAGTCCGAGAAGCACACAAGCAAGATATACAGATACTCCGTACAGAGACAGGGTAGACGGTATCCAAATCAGCGAAACGGTTAAACGCCCCCCCTGGGCGAAGAGACTGTGGTGAATGGGTGAAGAGGTTGTCCTGTCGATCATCAGGGACTGGTTTCAAGCTTTCGTGCAGACCGCCAAATGGTCGCTTCAGGCCGGGGAGGGGGGGGGGGGTCAGCTGCTTCTACCTCGTAAGTAGGTAGAAATCAAAGCCATGTTTACCAATGGCAATTGAGGGACTGTCCCCGAACCAGGCCAGGACATTCTCAAGGAGCCACCAAGAGGGCGGCGAAAGGCCACCTGTGAGACTCATTAGTACTTCGGCATGGTCATGCTCCGGTTTTAGGGCACAGGAGGCGTTCCCGGGACCCGGTCGCTGGGGCGCTTGCGCAACCACCAACTAAGCCTCTGCGCAGTCTCTTGCTTGTCGTAATAACAAATCCCTCCACGTTCTTGGATAACCAATCTTAGGGGACCTTCGCATCTCGTGGCGTTAATTATGACCCTTTGTCAAAAGCCGCCGGGCAAGATCTGCCACGTGGAGGCACCTTGCTTGTCTGAGATAGACCCAACCCTCTTTGTGCACGGCGGGCTCAGAGATCCGCCGGGGGGGGGGGGGGGGCATCAGAATCATATTTGTACCAGACTTGTCACAATATAATGGTTGAAGGGCGACATGTCGGCAGGGGCACTCCTTCATAAACCACGAGAAGTTATTACAATTCCCGCAGGCGGAAGAGATCTCACATCCGTCTGCGTTCAAAGCGGATACTGTACGAGTTCTTCGTCGCGCCTGTTTCTACTGTATGACTTTGCTCGCGACTGCCGCCCGCACTGATCTTCAAGTGCCGAAGCCAAGGACAAGAGCCTGGTCCTGGTCCTGCGTGGCAGTCAACAAGCCGCCTCGGAAGTGGGAAGCCATGCAGGCGGCCTGGAGGTTCTTCAACTCGTTATATCCGAGAGGTGCATAAATCCCCCTTTCCGTGCCCAGCCACACTGATGAGCGGGGACTGATGTATCCGTGAGACAAGAATGAAAGGTACATCAAGAAACGGGCGAAAGATGACATACCTATTCATTGCCGATGCAGAGGGTAAAGTCGGTCATGGACTGGTGGCATGGTTGAGCCTAAGTAAGAGCCCTTGGATGTACGCTATCCCTGACTCGAGCACAGCCTTGCAGCTCTGGATAAATGCCGGTGGATAGCCTTGGGGTTACAAGGTACACATCCTCCAGGAGACGGTTAAAACAGAAACAGAAACCAAAACAGCATGCTAGGCTTGGTTGTGTTGGAAAGAGGGTGCTTTGACATGTTCGACTCTCAGGATACACGAGAAATGATTTTCTTTCCCCTAGCGCCAACAACACTCAGAGTGTCTTTTCCGTCATTGATACTGCGACGCGGATTTTGGTTTCTGGAAATTGCATCCGATTTCAGAGCTTACTTTCCCCCGAGTGTAGTCACCCTTGCTTCGCACCCATGTCCACCACGCATCGGATGCAGTCACCAGCATGCATGTCGTGGAATGCATCGTTGATCTTGTCAAGAGGCTGACGATGCGTAATGAACTCGCTTTGCCAACCGTTAGCAATGGACACCCGTATGAAGGAAGACAAGAATACGAAACTGCCGGACAAGATGGGAGGGAGAGAGACTGACTTGACTTTGAGTTTACCATCCATATAGTCCTTCACGAGTCCCGGGAGCTGACTTCGACCTTTCACGCCACCAAAAGCACAACCTCGCCAGACGCGACCCTGCAAACATTTGTCAGTCTGGTTGCACCACCATGGGCCAGGTTTGACGGCAAGGAACTTACAGTGACCAGTTGGAAGGGTCTCGTGGAGATTTCGGCACCGGCTGGGGCAACACCAATGATGATAGACTGACCCCAGCCCTTGTGGCATGCCTCGAGAGCAGCTCTCATGACTTGGACGTTACCGGTGCAGTCAAAGGTGTAGTCACATCCACCATCCGTCATTTCAATCAACTTCTCCTGGATAGTCTGGCCTTTCAGCTCGGTAGGGTTGACAAAGTCGGTGGCTCCAAACTTTTCGGCCCATTCTTTCTTCTTGTTGTTGACGTCGACAACAATGATCTTGCCGGCCTTGTTCTTCACGGCACCCTGAATGACTGAAAGGCCAACGCAGCCCGCGCCAAAAATGGCCACGTTGGAACCTTCCTCGACGTTGGCAGTTATCACTGCCGCCCCGTAGCCGGTGGTAATGCCACAGCCGAGCAAGCATGTCCGGTCCATGGGGGCCTTGTCGGTAATGGCCACAACGGAAATATCGGCGACGACGGTGTACTGGGAGAAAGTTGATGTGCCCATGAAGTGCAGAATGTCTTTGCCTTTGCACTTGAATCTCGAGGTGCCATCGGGCATCACACCTCTGCCTTGGGTAGCACGAATCTTCCCGCACAAGTTGGTCTTGCCAGATATGCAGAACTTGCATTCGCCGCACTCCGGAGTGCTTTCCACGGTCAGTATCATGATTTGTGCAGGAGAGAAGACGAGACATACTAGAGCGCAACGACATGATCACCGGGCTTCACCGAGGTGACACCCTCCCCCACCGATTCCACGATACCGGCGCCCTCGTGTCCGAGAATGATTGGGAACGCGCCTTCGGGGTCTTTCCCGGAAAGAGTGTATGCATCTGGCTCATCTTTCAGTTCCCGATTCATACCCGCAGCAGCACGTTCAGCGTACCCGTGTGACAAACGCCAGTGTAGTAGATTTGGATGCGGACTTCGTGGGCTTTGGGAGGAGCAACTTCGACGTCTTCGATGGTCAGGTCCTTGCCGGCCTCCCAGGCGACGGCAGCCTATACAGAGTCAGGTGTTGTTGCGGTGGGGAACAAGATGTCGTCAGTGTCTACCTTGCAAGTAATGGTCTAGCAATTCGGGGAGTCAGCACATGAATTCATTCAGCTTCCGGAGGGCATTGATCAATATATCACCTTTCCGGCAGTGGCAGCAGCCATTTTGATGGATTGGGTTGTAGGAAGCTGACTCTTCACGAAAGGTGCAGTCAAGAATGAAAAAGCAGAAAAAGGGTGGAAAAGGTCAGGGAGCAGAAGCCATCAACATGCCGGTGTGGGGTGCTTGTTGTTTTTCAAGTGAGCAGACGAGCGAGCAGACTCTGAGGTGGGGTTCATGTAGCTATGATGATATTCCTGAGGGCTAGTGACCAGGAGGGGCCACCACCGGCGAGAAGCCATCGGATATGAAGAGGAGATAGTAGCAAGAGCACCATCCGGGATCCCACCCGGCCATTTTTCGCATCGAGACGGCCATTGCATAAGCAGGGGCCTTCCATATGTCCTGGCGGGGTGCATTCGAGCCTCTGAGTCGTCGCTGGACTCTCCGTCTTGGTGGTGTTTGTGTGCAGATCTATGTGCTTGAAGCACCGATGATGCCAGATGGGGAAGTCATGACAAACAATTCCCCCCTCGGCCCCCCTCTATCTTTGTGGTATGCATTAATACCGAGTATTCGCCCTGGTTCTGCCTGGTTGTGGCAGGCTCGGAGAAAATTGCCCTATTGGGTTAATCAAGTCTGGCCCAACGGAGTTGATTCTTTTGTTGCCGCAAAAAAGTTAGAACAACCCGTAACCACCAAACAAGGCTGATGAGTCGACCGATGGCCATGCGAGATGGACAACCTCAACTCAGGCCATGGCTCCTCGTCTGCCGCACCGCCCTATCCCTGGATGGCCGAGCTCTCTCCGGCCGCACTAGACGGGACACAACGGCCTGCCTCCAGGCCGCTGGCGCCGTCATCGTCGTCGGTGTTTGAGGGCCATGTGCCGAGCCTTGCGAACCCTCGTGGTGGACTGCCTCCGCGTCCACCATCACAGCCATCGCAGCCATCGCAGCCATCGCAGCCATCGCAGCCAAATCCAGCGTCACTGTATCCCAGCTTGTCTGCCAGGCGAGTGGTTTTCCACAATCCTGCATCCTTCCTGCAACCTCCAGCGTCGTCAGCAAACCAAAGCTTTGCTTTTTCTCAACCCCTACTCGCCTCCGAAGCATATGTTCTGAATCCTCCCTCCTATCCGGGGCAACCTTTGAGTCAGCTACAAAGTGCGTCACACCGTTTACCGATTGACCAGTTTTGGCCAAACCCAGGACAGGGCGCCCCTTCAAACTTCATTCCATTTCCCCCCGAGACGTTGCACCATCTCGACATCGCTCGGTATGAGGATTCGAGTCAGAATGACAAACAACTTCCGGAAGCGGAGAGAACTCCAGTTGAGGAGGACAGTGACACGTCTGTTGACGATCATGAAATCCTAGGACTGTCCAGAGGAGCGGCTGAAGGCGGCGGTCTCATGCTCAGTAAATCACGGAAAAGAGGCCGTGCAAAGTTGCCGCTGTCAGGCAACCAGCCCAGGAAGCGACGCAAGAAAGGGACAGGGCCTCGGGGTGGTTGGAGCAAAGGCATGAAAATTGGCCCTCGACAAGCCATCGATCCCGGCCCCGAATTCAATGACCTCTACAGCCAGGCCATGGTCGCCTTTATCGACGATCAAGACACCGAGAAGGCCCTTGACCTAGTCTTACAGGCTATCGCGGTCAATCCCGAAATCCATTCTGCGCATGCGCTGCTCTCTGAGATATACTTTTCTCGAGATGAAGACGAAAAGGCCATTGCCGCCCTCTTTAGCGGTGCTCACACCATCCCAACCGATCCAGAAGTATGGATTCAAGCAGCCAACGCCTGTCTCCAACGGTCCAAGGGAAAACGCGAGACTGCTTTGCAACAAGCCAGTTACTGCTATGCTCGAATCATCCACACCGACCGGGAGAATTTGGAAGCTCGCTTTCAACGAGCTGCCGTCAGCAAAGAGCTTCAAAATTACAGCAAAGCTATGAAAGACTTGGAGACTATCCTCGAAAGCATGCCCCGAAATTCCAGCGTCCTGAGGCAGATTGCAGAGATATGTATTGAAACAAGAGATCTGGCAAGAGCAAAACAAGTCTATGAGGACACCCTTAATTACTACCGAGAGAATGGTTTTGAGGGCGAAGAGTCTTTCACCTGGGCCGACATTCTCGTCTATGCTCAAATTCTTGCTTTGGAAGAACCTCCTGACCTAGCCATCGCGAACGCTCTAAAAACTTTGAAACAGTTGGCGCGGTGGCTTCTGGGACGAGAACGAGAAGACTACTGGGATCAGTTCACCGATGATGACCGCGAGTTTGATTCGGAAGACGAACCTCGACGAGTGCTCGTGCCTGAATTTGTGCCTGGCAGATATTCATCCGATGCCTACGGCCCTGGACTTCCCTTGGAGCTTCGAGTCAGAATGGGAATACTTCGGCTTAGGCAGGGCCCAGATACGCTGGATGAGGCACTGGCGCATTTTGAATGGCTTGAACCCGAAGCCAGGGATGAAGGGGCAAGTATCTATGAATACCCGGATTTGTTCCTCGAGGTTGCCCAAGCCTTGCAGGAAGCTAAGGAACACAATCAGGCGCTGCGTTATTATGAAGCTCTGAAGGACACCAACGCCTATTCTTACACGGGGTTTTGGTTAGGCATCGCAACTAACTCTTACATTTGTGGCGACAAGCTACAAGCAGTCGAGTGTTATGAGGAAGCCAAGGCTGGAGATGAGAAATGCGTTGAGGCAAGGACTCAGCTGTCAAAGCTCTACGCCGAATTCGGCGACAAAGAGAAGGCAATGGACACCGCTCGGGAGGCGGTTCGTGTTGCCGATAGCTTACTTCCCAAGACTGACCGACGCAAATATGAGAGAAAAGAACAGCGACTAGCTCGTGAGGAAGCAGAAAAGGCTCTCAAGGAAGCATTCAACCTTCCTGGCAAAGCTGTTGGTGGCACCCCAGTTGAACGTATCGAGGCCAAGCTTAGAAGGACGAAAATGAAATCCAAGACAAGAAAGGCAATGGTGATGCCGCCGTCAGAGTCGATGCACGGATCAGAGGAGACAGAAGGCGAGTTGGAAGATGAATACGTAGAGGACAGAGAGGGGATGTCGCCGACAATGGATCGCGAGATCGCCAGACAGACGGCTCGGAACGTGGCACGAAGGAGGAAGGATCGCCAACCACCTCGCTCGCGAGCTCAACCCAGACCCGGAACGAAACGAATGACGCAAGAGGAAAGAGAGACTCATCGCACTGAAATGATCAACCGACTCTATAGCGACCTGGTCTGTGACACAGAAGCCATGAGAACCGGCGACGAAATTGCAAGGAATACCTGGATGGACTGTGCCGACTCCCTCATCACCGATTTCCGAAGCAATCGCCTGTTTTACTCCAAGGAGCGAAATCAGGCAGGAGACAGCTTTTACCGGGGGGCTGCCAACGCCAGCTCGCGCCAGAGATGGGAGAGAGAGCAAGGAAGCGGACAAGATGGCGTGGAAGTGGATCGGGACTTTCCCATCCCTTCCGTCGAATCGTCCATGCCCACCGAATACCGCGAAATCGCCTTCTCAAACTGGCTGGATGTTTTCCTCGAGTATGCTCTTCTACTCGCCCAAACTGCTGACCTAGACGCTGAGCATCGGTGCTACACCGTCGTCAATGCAGCCTTGGATTGTGTGGTCTGGAACCAAGACCCGCAAGCTCTCCTGCAGATATATGTCACATATCTCGCCTGTACTCTTGCCTTGCAGGATGAAAGGACCCTTTCCAACGTGGTATTGCGATGGTTTCTGCGAACTTTTCAATTCAACTCTGATGCTTATCGCCTCTTTGCTGCCATGAATCTGGTATACTCTCGTCCTGGTGTCGTGTTTCGCAATCGCGGTACCCATCAGTTCCTCTTCAAGCAGATTGTGCAAATGGATGCAAATCTGCCGATGGATTATGCCCCCGAAGGTTATGGACCAGTCCCAGAATTCATGCGCCAGGGGGGGGTGGAGAACAATGTCCGCAGCAAAGACGACGAGGAGGAGACGCCGGTTCCTGCCCAGAAGGACATTCAGGGCCAGCAGCACCAGCAGCAGCACCAAGATATCACGAAGCCGGAGGAAATGAATGTCGCACTCCTCACGCTCTACGGCCATGTCCTCTACGCTGGCGGCGCGTTCGCCAGTGCCCTGTCGTACTTTTTCCGCGCGCTCTCTCTCGACCCGGAAAACCCGGTGGTGCTGCTCAGCATCTCTCTGAGCTACATGCACGAGATGCTAAAGAAGCACCACGAGAACCGTCACATGAATTTGTTGCAAGGATGGGCATTCTTTGAAGAGTACGCCGAGGCGAGGAGACAGTGGGTGGGACGACACAAGTTGCTACAAAAAGAATGGCGGCACAAGCGCAATGGTGACGACAACAACGACGACGCAGATAATACGGTGATGGTGGCGGACTCAGCAGACGGCGTGGATCGGGACCGTCTGGAGCTGATGCTGGTCGAGCGAGAGATCGCATTCAATCGCGCACGATGCTGGCATATGCTCGGCCTGTCCGATCTCGCTGTGCGGGCATATGAGGAGATGCTTTCGCTCGCCGTCGTCCCTTCTACATCCCCTTCTTCTTCCGCCGCGCCGGTAACTGCTGATGAAGGGGATGGGGGCAAGGATACCGTGAATGACGTGAGGTACGCGGACTTGACCATGGAAGCGGCATATGCAATTCAGACGATGTACGCGTTGAGTGGGAATCCGGAGATGGCCAGAGAAGTCACAGAGAAGTATCTGGTAGTTTGACATCGTCAATGGAAGGGTAGTGAAATGATGTTTCATTTGGCCATGGAGCGACGGCTGGAAAAAGGTGGATGAACTCGACGTGCTCTTTTCCCCGGAGATTTCTAAAGAGAGCTATTTTATGTACAACAATGAATGCCATTCCACCACCTTCCCCCTCCAAAGCACATCAGGCCATGTCCACGCCTTAGACATTCCGCTTCATTCTCCCCAATCACCCACCCATCTGGTCTCCCTAGCCAAGTCGGATCATTCGCTTTCTGAATCTACTGGCCCTTGCTAGCGACCAACTTCTCAACATCCGCCACTGACTGGTTCAAAATCTGCTGCAAAACCTTGGGGTTCTCAAGCTCTTTGGCGACCTTTGCGATGATGCTGTCGGCTAATTCCTTCTGTTGCCGCTGCTTGACCTGACCCTCATAACGGACCCAGCTGTCCAGGACGTTCTTGGCTTCGGCGGCTAGGGCGGTTTTTTGCTCGAGTTCGAAAGCCTGGACCTCGAGTCTTGCGGTTTCCTGGAACACGAGCCGTCAGCAACTGGGTCCGAAGGAGGATTTTTCCTTTCGATGCCTTACCTTGGAAACGTCAAACAGCTGCTTCGTGATCTCTACCACGTTGCTCAAGGGCTTGACGTCCTCGATTCGCTCTTTAATGGCACTGGCGTGATTCGTCCTGGCCTCGTTCAACAAGTCCTTGATCTTCTGCACCTGTCCGTCCGCCCAGTCCTTGTACATGGGGCCGGTATATTTAAAGATGCCGTAGAAGACAGACAACAGACAAAAGGCGATGACGCTCTCCTCATTCACTACGTAGAGCTCATTGCTAATTGCCCAGATGGAGATTCCAGCGCCGGCGGAGAGGATGGCGGTCTTGCTAGCGAGAGAGGACCCGGGGAGAGCATCGACAATGGATTGAGCTGTCTTTTTGGGATCTTGCGAGGGCAGGTTCGAGGAGGACTGATGACGGACGGAGGTCAAGGGTGTGCTGGCAGCGAGTGATGGGAGGGCGCGGATCGGAAGAGAAGTCGATGGGCGGAGTTTGCTGGCGCCTGGGATTTCATTGTCAGCTCTGCTTTTACCCATGCTGAGCTCCAGTCAGTATAAGGCACTCACCAGCCGCACTCCTTGCCAGTCGAGACGCCATTGTGGTGATGTTTGTAGTCTGAACAAATTCGACCCGAAGCTCCTCCTGACGTTGAAGTTTGGATGAGAGCTTGCAATTGAGGTCTGGGCGCGCTATTCTGCAATTGGCCTAGTGCTTGGCATACATTGGCGCCGTCAAAAAATGTTTGTTTTCGAGGCGAGGGGCCACCAGGCCTGGCAGCCGCAAAGCCGCCTGCCAAATACATATTAGGAGAGTGAGGACAGCAAGCACATTAGGCACGGAGGAGGGGTGATTCTCTCGCTTTGTCTTTGGGAGCGTCTGCTCTCCATTGCTCTCACCCACCTTCATTTTCTTTCCGCAGTTTGCCCACCATGCCATCCTCAACCGCCATGGACTCGTACGCTGCTCAAATCGCTGCTCCCATGACGGCGCTGCAGCGTAAGCAATTGCTCAAGCAGCTTCAGTCGCCCGAGGCCATCAACAGCCTCCGCCGTCCAGAAATCCTTATGGACTTCTTCACCGACAGTCTCGACACCCGGGATTTGAGCCTTGCGGTGCCAGCTCTCACCGGCCTCTTCCATCTCATCACCACCAAGAACCTCGACTACCCCTCCTTTTACCCTCGACTCTACGCACTGCTTGACCGGGATCTTCTACACAGCAAATACCGCAGTCGGGTACTGCGGCATCTCGATGTCTTCCTGTCCCCGACGAACCACTTGCCGGCAGCAACAATTGCGAGCTTCATCAAGCGGCTTTCGCGGCTGTGCCTCTTTGCCCCTCCATCCGCCATCGTGGCCATCATTCCCTTCATTTACAACCTTCTCAAGCAGCACCCCACCACGACCTTCATGATCCACCGCAATCCATACCCTCCTTACACAAAGTTCAAGCACAACCTTGGCAACGACCCCTATGACCCGAACGAGCCGAATCCGCAACTTACCAATGCCATCGACTCCTCGCTATGGGAGCTCGAGACATGCCAGTCGCATTACCACCCCACGGTGGCGAGCATCGCTCGGATCATCTCCGAGCAATTCACAAAGCAACAGTACAATCTCGAGGACTTCCTTGATCACGGCTATGCCACACTGCTAGAGAGCGAATTCAAGAAGAAGGAGAAGAAGCCACCCGTCGTAGAGTACAAGATCCCCAAGAAGATCTTTGCTCCCGCAGATGAGAGTGAAGATGATGCTACTGGGCAAGACAATGGTATGGACGAGTTCCTGGACATGTGGGACTTTGAGTGTTAGGGTTCCAGGTAATGATTCATGGCAAAGGTGAAATAGACATAGAATATAGACATAGATGAAATAGACGGGAGGAATCTCTGCAACGCGTTCAAGCGATTGAGTTTTAATTTTGACGATGCACGAAGCCAAGGGTTTAGACTGCATTCGTGGCTGAGAAGTCCTTCTAGGGCAGTGAAAGAGAAATAAATATAGATTTCAATTCTTGAATGCCTTATCGAATCTGAAAGACTGAGGAGTTAGTTATTCTTGCTTGGGGGATCATCAATGTATATCTGGGAGGGTTTCTGAATTCCAACCTGCTTGTCCTTTCCCCCGGTTTCATGGCGGCACATCCGAAGCAGAGCTCAATGATGGGCAGTGAGACAGGTCCACCAGCATGGGATCTCACACTCCAGACTCCGTTCTTGATTATTTCTTGCTCAGACAGACGGTCAGCCCGGTCTTCGCGCCATGATGTTGCTTCATTGTGTATGTACAACAAAGATACGGTTCTGGAGCTTGCTCCATTTATTCCTTGTGCTTGATTTTCCCGCGCTTCTCGTACCTTGCAGCTTGAAGCTGTCGGGCAAACTGAATGTTGTTTACAGCGCCGAAGAATCTGCATACCAAAAGAGTTCTCCTGGATATTTCGCCCTGTCTCTGATCATCCCTACCGAAACTTTCAAGCTTTCAACACCGAATCACTGCGCCCAACAGACTTTGCTCGCCGGGCAGCTACGACTGGTTCTGCAACATTCGAGGCTACACCTTAGGGACCACGGGGGCTCACAGATAGGATGGAGAACCCAAATGAACTGAAATATATATGAAAGCTGCGCGAGCAGAGAATCCGGCAAGATGTGGTGGGCGTGCCAAGGCTGCGACATTTAGGGTTCGGCACCAGAGTGAGAAAGTTTTGGCATCGAGCACCGACTAGGCCAAGCTAGGTTTGTTGTCAAATCAAATAGCTGTCCCAACCCGAGAACAAGAAGGCCGCCGGAGCCTAAACAAACACTAGAGTGCGGGTCGAAAGTCTCCTCGATCTGCGAGAAAGCTGGTGGTGGTCGGGGCTGTGCCACTAGGAAGACAATGAGAGTCTAAACTCGGTCGACGGCGGCGAAGGAATGAACAATGAATAACCTGCAAGGACATAGCAAGCCGAAATCAAAAGACAACTGGCACGCTCTGACAAGGTCGAAGTATGTTTCGTTACTCCGCGCGTGTTCCGGACAGGGACGCGCATCAGAGGCATAGATATCGTCTCGGAACGTCGTCCTCAATCTTGAATGACCGGAGGAAGGATTGTGCTCTTGATTGGCGAACGTCATGCCCTTGGGTGCACGGAGCGTCACCGAAAAGCATCCAGACTAGCTGTTAGCTTTGTCAGTAGTATTCTGTATATCGTCTCTTTGTCTTCTCCAGGTCTCGCCCCATACCCTCCGAATAAAGACGCACACGCCGGCAACGCCGCCAGTCACCAAGGCAATCACGGTATAGCACCACCCCGGACCGATGGCGTCGATGAGCGGCTGTAATGCCGCAAGTTCTCCTGCGGCAAGGGCACAACGAAGCAAATTCAGAGCCGCCTGGGCAGTCGACGGACGTGTCGAGTGCAGGTCGACGTGGAGAGTCCCGCATGCGTTGAACACAATGGTCATGGCGCCGCCGATGAAGAATTGCAGGACAAGTGGAATGGAAGGGTGCACGTGGTACTCCAGGACCCAGCCGTACGCAAGAAGAGCAAAAATGGAATAGGAAGCAGGTAGGCCATGCTTCGTAGACGGGCGTGGAAAATCGGAAACGCGAGTCTCTGGGACGCAGACGTTTCGGCGCTGGAGGTAGGAAGACAACCGTGGCGAACGGCAAGGCAGCGATAATCATGCGTGAGAATGTTCCCTTGGGAAGTAGAAAACCGTGTTAATTACATGATACAATAAAAGGGTGGGTTTCGGGTAAATGTTGAAAAGAGTGCCTTCGTACTTACTGGAGAGTAAGGACGCAACAAAGCATCCTACGCCAAATGGTAGGTAGATCAAGCCAGCTTCCAACTCCTTGTACCCGTATATTGTGATGAATAGAGACGACAGGGAAGCTTGCAGGCAGCAGTATGCGCTGTAAAAGACTCCATTGATGAGGATAATGGGGGCGCTTTCTTTCTGCAGGAATATATGCACACTTCCCAGAGGATTTGGTATCCTCAACCTCGCTATGCGGGAAACAGCTTCTGATGCAGCCGTGCGATATCCTTCGGGGGTCGACAGGGGGATCTTCCTTTGCCTGTTTTCTTGCCAGAGGAGCAGAAGACTTTTGTTCAAGGCAGGGACAGGGCGGGAACCATTGCCAACAATGTTGCGCCCAGTTTCTGGCAGCAGGACGGCAATCAGCACGAGGCTGAGAGCGCCTGAAATCTCCAGAAACCCAAAAATCCAGCGCCAGCCTGCCTTCTCGGCGAGCACGCCGCCGAGCACAGGTCCCAGGCCAGGTGCAACGTTTGGGCCGCAGCCTAGGATGCCCATGTATGATCCACGCTCAGAAGGCTCTGTGATCTGCGAGGCACTGTCAGATTCTCTCTCGCCATGACGGGGCCTATGGTAATAACTTGGCACAAAGGTGAAACGGTCTTTTCAAGAAGAGGAGCTCACATCACCAACGACACCATATCCAAGACCAATTGTAGCCGAACCGCCGGCACTCTGGAGCATGCGGAGCAGCAGTAGAGCTGGGTAAGTACTCTGCAAGGCTAATCAGACGTTGGCAAGAACGTAAAGAACAAACATGAGAAGGTAAACAGGCTGTCTTCCCACCTGATCTGCCATGCTCCCAAACAGCGTAGGTGCAACGCCCGACACGATCATGTAGGACGTTATGGTCAAATTGACCTTGGACAGAGTGGTTTGCAAGTCCTTCGCGATTGCCGTAAGAGCAGGATAATAGATGAAGCTGCTCAGTGGAGAGAGGGAGGATGGCAGGAGGTTGGCCCCCTCCTTCTCAAGCCTATGTACCTAGTAACAGTGACTGCTGGCCACTTGATTTCTTTCCAGCCCACCCTCTATCATCGTATCAGCCTGTCAATCACTCTTCTCCAGGTTTTGATCATGCTTGGGCTTTCTAATGCGTTATATCCTAGCTAGATTATGTACACAGCGGTTGCCGCCATATTGACAACCACACTACGCCTGGCTCGGTCCGGGATACATGGCACCCCCGCAGCGATAAGCGTCCGCTGTCCTAAGCTTCAAGCACATTTCCAAACAGGCATTGTCTATCCAAGGCAGAGCGGCTGCATGACGCTCTCACTGTCGACGACTGAAGACTGCTGAAATGGTGGGAAGAACTGTTGATACTGACGTTTCTCATCCAACTAAAGGGCTACAGATCTCTCTCTAGGTTTCGAAAACAAGAAAGACTCGGGTCGCCAGCAATTGCTGTCAATTCTGAAGTCCAGACTGCACAAGCCAACGATGTTGGCCAGGATGATAAGAAGGCTGGATGGCCAGTAAACCGTTCAGATACGCACAGAAGTCATCTCTCCGGCTTGGACCTACCACTTCGTTTGGGACGTTCCCAGAACTCGGACGCTAGGCAAAAGGAGCGCTCAAATGAGCGTCGCGCGGACCCCCTTGGTTTAACAGTCCTTTATGAGCCAGATCCTCTCCATCGGCCGACATAGTCGTCGTACATGGCTTGGGGGGTACAAGTCGCCATACCTGGTCCAAAAACCGCGATTTACAGCTATTCTGGCCCCGTGAGTGGCTCCCATATGAGCCTGACCTATCATCAGCTCGTGTCATGACCTTCGGGTACAATGCCCATTTTTCCTCCTTGTCGCGCGGGAAAGAGAATATTCTCAACATTTCCGACTTTGCAAAGGATTTGTTGTTCAGCTTGAAATTCGCAGTTGGGAAGGGCGAACGCAAACTCGACATTGGGACAGTCCCCATCATATTTGTTGCCCACTCTAAGGGAGGTCTGGTGGCGAAGAAAGCTTTCATTCTTGGCCAGCATGACGAACACTACCAGAACCTCATTGAGGCGGTATCGGCTATCGTCTTCCTTTCAACACCGCATCGTGGGTCGGATCTTGCAGAAGCCTTGAACAGAATCCTTTCTGTATGCATCGGCTTATCCCCGAGGGAATTTGTGTCCGAACTCGCTACAAACTCGCGAACCCTCCAGGAAATCAACGAACAGTTCAGGAACTTGGCTCCGAGAGTGTCAGTTGTTCCCTTCTTCGAGACCTTAGAGACGGCCATAGGGCTATCTCGAGTCATGGTGCTCCAGAAGGACTCTTCCATTCTCGGTTATCCTGGGGAGATCTCAAAACCTCTTGATGCTGACCACCACGACGTTTGCAAGTATACAAGTCAACTGGATCCGAACTATATTAGCGTCCGCAATATCCTCAAATATTTAGTAGAGAAATACGGTTCGCAAGATCCGGCCAAAGTGGAAACCGATTCCGTCGATGAACTCCGTGAGATTGCTTCGGCTTTTGGGCCCGCGCAGGAACCAACGGACGATCTCATGTTCTTTGCAAACAGAAGGATGGCTGGCTCTTGTGAGTGGACAAACAGTGGCCCGACTTTTGTCTCTTTTTTCGACGATGAAGCGGAGCATCCTCGATGTCTTTGGTGCACTGGCCGTCCAGGATCAGGGAAGTCCGTTCTTGCATCATCCATTATACAATCTGTCCAGGAGAGTGACTTCGATGTGGCATTGTACTTTTTTCGGTTCGGAGATCACATCAAGAACAATATTAATACTTTACTTTTGTCCTTGGCATACCAGATTGCAACTAGCCTACCAGAATATCGCCGGCGCTTACTCCGTCTTTTTGACGACGGCCTCAATGTCCAAAAGTCGGCGCCCCGAATTTTGTGGCAAAAGCTCTTTATTTCAGCTCTTTTTAAAGTCAAGCTCTCTCGGCCCCTCGTCATCGTTATTGACGGACTAGACGAATGTGATTCGGCAAGCCTGTTGTTGAAACTTTTGGAAGATCTCCATACGTTTCCGGGTCCTGTGCGACTTATAGTCTTCAGTCGCGGTGTCCAAAATCTATCTTCGGCATTTGACAAGTTATCGAAGGGGCTACCAATCCGCTATCACTTGCTTGAAAATATGGCTGACGACGTTCGATTGTATGCGGAGGAGGAAATGGCGACCATGCGTGGCGATGAAGAATTTAAGCTCACAATTGCAGAGGAGCTCGCGCGCAGGGCTGATGGGAATTTCTTGTGGGCTAACCTGGTACTGGCTGAGGTGCTACAATGTCACACAGAAGACGAGGTATTCAGGGCGCTGGAAGAGGTCCCCGACGAGCTCGAGGCGTTGTACGAGCGCATGGACCCAACGCTCGCGAAGAACTGCCGCCCATCAGATCAAGCCATGGGTAAAACCATTATCATGTGGATCGCTTGTGCCAGGCACTCTTTGACGCTGTTAGACTTGGCCGAAGCCTTACGGCCGGAATACACCAACATTCTCGACCTGAAGTACACCATCAGTCGCGTTTGCGGAGAATTCGTCCTCGTTGACAGCAAGGGTGTTGTTTCAATGGTTCACTCATCTGCTCGGGATTGTCTGCTACAGAACCCTGACCTCAACTACCACGTTCCTCAGGGCTCTTCTCACCAATCCCTGTTCTCCAAATGCATCGCCGAGCTGATCAATGCGAGTCCCAAGATCCAATCGGGCCAGATCAAGTCTCAAGCGTTCTTGTTATACGCGGCAACCTCATGGCCATTCCACTTAGAACAGAGCTCTGAGTTCTCCGAGGTCTCCGATCAGGAATCGCTTGTTCTTCTGGCACGTTTCTTCCGAAGTCCCGCTGTCCTTGGTTGGATATATCTGTTGTCGGTCGCTGGGCAATTGCGGCTCTTAGTCCAAGCTTCAAAAAAATTGGCCAGTTTCCTCAAAAATATCGATCGATTAGACGAAGCCCGAAATCCACTTACTCACCGTCTAAGGGATAAAGAGGTCTTAAACCTGTGGAGCATAGATCTTATCAGGCTGGTCGGCAAATTCGGCCCTCATCTTAACGAGCAGCCAAAGCTCATTTTCAAACTTGTGGCACCCTTTTGTCCTCGAGATTCTATGATGTACAAGCAGTTCGGTGACCGGACGGCTAGTTCCGGTATGTCGGTCTCCTCTGGCCTATCTGCAAGGTCTTGGGACGACTGCCTTGCAAAATTCACTGTTCACGGTTTCAAGTCCCCCCTCCAGATCAAATGTGCAAACCGCTACTTCGCTATCTTGCTATCGGATGGGACAGTGCAGCTGTACCATGCAAGTACTTGCGAAGAAGCGAGAACTTTTCATCATGGCGAGAGGGTCCTGGCGTGGTGCTTCAATGCCGTTGGCGACAAAATGGTGACATGTGGACTCACTAAGACTATTGTTTGGGTTACTGCCACTGCACAGCAGCTGTCTTCTTCTGCCAATCCTCGTCGGTCCAAAGCCCTCACCATCACATTTGTGAACAATGATGAGACGCTGTTAACGTGTTGCGATGACGATTGCACCATCCGGAGCTTATGTTTTGACATGCCAGATGAAGGCTGGCAAGTCGTACAGCATGTGCTTGGAGAGGGCAGATTCTAGGGGAAGGAGTTAGGCTCTCCTCGCTGCGCTTCTTTTAATCCTTCAGGCTCCCAGATTGCAGTAACATATCGCGCAGTCCCGCTCACGATATGGTCGCTTGAGGAGCCACGGCCCCATTTGTTAGGGAGGTGCCAAAGAGTCGTTGACGGTCGTCAAGCACAGCAGTACCACTTCAGATATCCAAACGATCACTTGGCACCCAATGACGGGCCATGTGGTTGGTATATATAACGACGGATGTGTATTCAAGTGGCACCCCTTAGAAGGCGACTATCAAGAATCAAATCTGTCCGTTGGCAAGGTGGAGTGTAGCCCGGACGGGAAGTTCTTCGTGACAAGCAGCCGGGATGGTACCCTGAGGATTTGGGACTTCTTTCACTTCTCGCCAATCTACCAGCTGTCGTACTCGGCTCCGGTGGCAAATCTAGCTATTGATCCGAACGACACTAGGATCTATGACATTCGAGAATCCTTCTGCAGTGTGTGGAAGCCCAACGCCCTGGTGCGTATGTGGGAGACGGAAGACAGATCTAGCGAAACCATGAGCAACCGGGAGAGCACTCTGACTTCTCATGTCTCGGAGACCAGTTTCGAGACGCTCCAACCTATCACTATGCTTGCAGTGGAACCTGGTGGTCTATCATACGCATCTGGTAACGATGACGGCCTCGTGGTCCATTTCACAAAGGGAGGAAATGCCGTGTCCGAACTTTTCCAGACGTTTATGGCCGTCGATCACATTTGCTGGAGTACTGATGGCCGCTTCGTAGCAGCAGCGTCGAGCATGGGGCGCAGACTGTTTGTGAAGCAGGTCAACCATTCGGATCCAACTGAGAAGCCAAAGCCAGTCATGACGGGTAGGGAAGACGATGCGATCAGGCAAATACTGCTGAGCTCGCTGGGAGACTTTCTCTTGGTCGCTACAGACCGCTTCATAAACATATGGGCTACCCATGAACAGCAAATTATCTCTACAAGACCACAAACGGCATTGCACCGATGGCTCAATTCTCCATACGATGCCACCAGGGTGATCGGATTCTCTTTTCAGGGAGTCCAGATAATCGATTGGCAAGATGCAACAACAATGAGACGAATAGCCCTCGACCGGTCACTGGTGGATGGGGCGGTTGCCCAGCCGGGTCATGTATGGATGCACAGAAGACCCTCATCACAATACCCTATGAGCCCCTCTGAGACTCAGGAGGTCGTCGACAAGATAATCTACACAGTCGACGGTACAATGGCACTGGTGGCGACCTCACGCAGCACGCATCAAGGCCGGTATGAAAGGCAGCACATGCTCATCAACGTAACCAACTTAACAGGGATGACACACTTGATAACCATACCGGCAAATCCCTTCCCTTTGGAGCTGCAAACACATATGGCCAAGCCTCTCGGCTTCCTCGAGGTCGACAATATGGCCCGCGGGAGGTTATCCGCTAATAGAATACCGTCAACAACTGTAACAAGGCCGACGACACATCACGTCCTGGCGTTCTTAGACCACAACTTCTGGGTGTGCACGTACACGATGAATGAATCGAACCAAGGCCATGGGCGTGTCAAACGCCACTTCTTCCTTCCCCGTGATTGGATAAACCTAGACTGGTTGGACCTGGCCATTATGCGCCCAGACGGCGTCTTGTTGTGTCCTAGAAATGGAGAGATCGCGCTGGTCGAGAACGGTGTCCGTGAAGAGTGGTTGGATTGAATTTTTGCAGAGTCACAGCTGCACTCATTCCAAAATAAGCGATCACAGTTCTGATAACACAGAATTCATGTGTGGCGGTTCTCTGCCATTCCATATTTGATTGTCTCACCTTTATACCTCGTATGATGAAAGGATTTCCTCAGCCGATATAAATCTCGCCTCCCAGCAACCCCCCGTGGTCGCGCCACAGGAACGACCTGACACATCTGGAAATCTCTCCTCGCCGAAAAACCTGTTGCCCTTTTTGATCTGCCTGTTCTTGGAGCTTCTAGTAAGAATTGTAGGTGTCTGGATCAAGAGATGTAGGCTGCTGAGGGTATAGTTCGCCGTATGGCGCGTTACAATAGGCGAGTTCGTAGAGTGTTGAACCGGGTGCAAATAAATTGAATCGAACTGTGTTTGGATCGTTTAGATCCCTTGGAAGGAAATGGGTTGCCTTCTCGTAATTAAGTGCTGGTTGTCTTTCGACGCATTGAAGTCGGAAAGTAGAGCATCGAAATTTCCGTCGAGCATAATTTGTTTGAGATTGAGATCTAAATGAATAATGTCCTTGGCGTGGATCACAATGACGGCCTCGATGATCTGCGAGCCCCATTGTGCCTTCAAAGCAGGTGGAACATGATCTCAATACTGATCGAGGTAGTCAACGATATTGCCTCGGGTAGTACTCGAGGTCGATGTAATCGTGACCATCGCTGGGGATCCATCGCGTAATGCAAGGGTGATTGCCTATTTACTTGTACACGACTTTCTCATTACTTATAGCGATTGTAGGGTTCTCCGGGTATGTCGACCCTCAGGAAACTTTCGAACAATGTTGCCGTCAATGAGATACACCCGGCTGCAAATTCCATGAAGTGCATGTGAAGTCTTCGCTTACATCTGGATCGAATTTGGCCTGGAATTGATCAGGCCGGCTGCTGTAGGAGTGCCTCAGATACTTGGAACAATTCTGTCCTGCCCAAGGCGTAGGAATCCATGTTAGCGGTGCCGAAAGTCGCATCGTCGAAGTGTTGAATGGTGATAGAGAAAACGTACGAGGTACAGTACAAGGTACAGGAGACGTAGGCATTAAAGTTAGGCCGAAAGCTTGGCAACCTCCCGTTAACAGCTAGACTAACTTGATTAGATTTAGCGCGATTGTATAGCGGAGTCCAAACGCTCCAATAACCTTTAAAGCGTAAGCGTGCAGTATCGGCTCAAGGAGGACTAGATCGATTAGTCCAAGAAACTGGTATTTGTTTGGACCCCCTGGATCTCAGATTGTGAACGCACCATCAATATATGCTTCAACACTGAGCCGGGGATCGCCCCGGAGCACTCAACTGGAAGGCATCACGAAATCCAGTAAGCCCTCAGATCATGCCTTCCAGTATACATTGTATGGAGTATCAAAGAGGATAAAGAAGTGTTGAAGCGGACCATATGTTTTCTATTAGCACTGCAGATGGGACTGTGTTGTCGGACAGTTTCGAGCGGTTATGTGTCATGTATCATCACCTCGAGCTGATGTTAGGTGCGACCGCCACAGGTTCTCTATCATTGATGCAAAATAGCCCCGCATACTATTCAAGGCCGTTGCTGATGAAGCATTCTCCCCTTCGCCTCAGTCAAACATCGTTGGTGGTGGCGGCTCTCCACCTTCCTCGTGCGTTTTACGACAAGCATAGTTCGACCATTCTGTGTGTCCCGAAACCTGCGCCAACTCCTTTTTCGTTGGCACCCATTGTAGGTCGGGAAACTGCTCGTTTGCTTCGGCATCGTTCCCTGATTCACGTGCAGCATACAATCTCTCCAGTCTCTACTTTCATTCGAACTTATCCCGGATCCGGTGCCCTGCGCGTTGCATGATGCATAGCGAGGACGGGCTTTCCTATTTTCTCGTAGCATTCGCTCGCCTCGGTTTCCTCCGTTTCTTGTAGAACCCCATACCAGCCGCGGCTGATGGACGTAATGACCTGAGACTGGTCCTCGATGAGATTACAAACCAGCTCCAACTGCTTCGCAGCGCCTGAATAGTCGCCTTCAATCATCGGGACCTAATGATTTCGAAAGGTTATGTTAGATGGCGCTCATAACGACTAAGCAATGTGGCGTAAAGCAAAACTCGCAGATGAGAGGTAAAAGCGTATCCACCATTAGTCCGCAATGGACGATGAACGGAGTGATGCATTGAGACAGTCCAACAGCCCCGCTTTCGTGTTCAAGAGGCCCTGTTCATCCCGTGGGTTCGTCGAAAGAGACACGGTTGCCCGTCGGAAGAAATTGCGTCTCCTTTCCGGCATTCTTGATGGAGGTCGTCTCGGTTCTTCTCCTTCCAAAGAGTTGATGACGTCGCGAACCTCATTTTTCCACACAGGAAGCAAGGGAAGGACACGTGATTTCGAGTCGAGCTCGAGCATGCTATTTATGGCCTTGTTAGCTGCGACGTGACTGCTCTCCGACAATCCGCAGTGCCCGGTGAGCTTGGTGAATCGTAGAAATGCACTAGTTTCAAAACGTCAGAGGATTGGACACTTTTAGAAGAGGGCACGAAGTTTATTGAGCCCTATCCGTTTCTCGCTACAACGCCATGGAGGTCAAAATGAACCAGATGGTAGTAGACTTTGCCTCGAGACTTCGAGGCCTGCTTCAATGCTTCCTCAAATGCTGAGAAAGTTCCAGGACGTACGATATCCACATTCAAAGTATTGGGTGGCAGCAACTTGGATAGACGGATGAGAGAGCTAGCGACGATTCGGAAATCGATGTCGCTCTTCCCGTCGGGCCGGGCGGTGATCAGCAAAAGATTCAGACCGTTATTTATTCCAGTCTTGGGCTGGTAATATACTAAATCATCAATAGACGATGTGTCCTGCTCAATGGACTGCGGAAGAGGCTTGAGACATGTCGAATACATCCGTCGGACACGGCCATTTATCTTGGGCGTCCGTCAGAGACGTTAATTGGCCGTTCCAAGATCTTCCACGGCATGAAATGAAGTCTCTCATCCAGGACGTCAACTCTCACGATTTTCTAACCCACGCTGTTGGGCAGATACTGCGTTTCGTCGTTGAGGGGAAGAGAGCAATTCAGATCCACGGTTAACTGGGAGAGACGGGCACGCACCGACTCAATCTTTTGCTGTGAAAACGGGTCATGCTTGAAATGATCCTAGAGATACCAAGCCAAGAGATTGTGATCCGCATCCGTCCATGTGGCCCAGAAATCCCGCCCGAATTTCTCTATCACCGTCGAAGTTCTCTCATCGATGATCCTGAGATCAACTGGCTGGTTCAACTTCCCTTTTCCTTCCGGAGACGAAGAACCCTCAAAGGGATGAAGTTGAACGACTTGCACAGTGTGGCTCTCCATCCGCGCGATAACTTGGAAAATGTTGGAGGTGGGAAAGATCAAAGAGAAAGGCTTGACTGGAAGGCCGTGTTTATGCGCGGGCCATTCAAATCAACAAAACGACAAAAATGAAAAGAAAAAGAACTAACCGAGATGTAAGTCAAGGAGTTCAAAAGCGCGATTTGTTCAGTCGAACACTGGGACTGAGAGCATAAGAGATCGTGTGCCTTCTAGTGAGGCGATCCGGTCTTGATAGAAATGAAGTGGAACATTTTCTTATTGGTGATGAAAGTCGGCTCGATGGACTGACCACGCTTGGAAGCAGCGCCAGTTGGTGTGATGATGAAATATGTAACGTCCAAAGATCGTCCGAAGTCTGTTCTGCAGCTGAGCAGTTATGGTTATTTGTGTTGAATGATCAAAAGGTTGTCCCCCGTTATTCAGTACGGGGACTACGGTAGACTATATAGACAGTACTGGGTGGCTGGGCTGGATCACGTGACTTCTCAACCTTTTCAGTTTAACAATTTGTAGAGGTCGTGATATTAGCAATTTGTCGTCACGAGGTGCTCAATTCGCGCTGCTCGAAGAAATACCAACGCGTTCCCACTCAGCAACAAGGGCATGGCCGCAGCCCTGAAGGACTCCTTGCAGGCGTTTCTCAGCAGGAGACGCTCTGGAGAATTTGTGCTTGATGCCAAAAGAAATCCGGACCCTCAGCCTGGAGAATCAAAGTAAAGCACTGCAGAACCTGCTTTCAAACGAGTGTACCAGAAGCGCAGTTCTAGAGCGGCTGAAGAGGGGTCGCAGTTGGCACATGGTCGTCGGCATCAAGACGTGCCGCGGAGGCGTTGTGCACACTGGGCAAGGTGCTGCCAATATAGTGCAATTTGAAGCGAAAGTTCCGGCAGGAAAGATGGCAGCACCATTCGTTCCTGGGGCTGGGTCTGCGATATCACAGCTAGACTCAAAGATCATAGCGTGGAATGACGTGAGTTGGAGCGCCGTTTAGAATGGACGTCTCGACGCAGAGACAACTTTGCCGTCGAGTACCGGGAGCTGATGCCACCCTCAGTGTTCCCAAAGTTGAAGGCGGCGAGAAAAGGGAAGAAAGTCCCTGAATGTGAGTTCGCGGAGGAGCCGCTGGTCCATCCTGAGAAGCATGCGGTATTCGGTGTGGAAGACGACGAGAGCCGGATCGAAGAAGATACTGGGCAAAGGCTGGATGTGAAAGAGGACGATGAGTTTGGCCAGTTCTTGGAAGATCGCGGCGTCGAGATGGTCAGCATCGATCCTGGGTTAGAGTTGCCGCTGGCACAGATTGACGTTTTAGAGGCACCTCACACGATGAGACTTGAAGACACGAGTTTCTCGTTGTTTCCGGATGATATAAGTGGCTGATAGCAATGATACTAGGACCATCACGGCCGATCTTGGGAGTTTTGAAGGCGTATATGCAACCCTAGTGTTATTATTTCAGTGTGTAATATTTTCGATTCTAGAGATCCTCTAACCGATGCCCTTCCTTGTCCTTTTTGAAGTTGCCCTCGGTCACAGAATACGCGAAACCCCCTAGGTAGTGATGTACCTCAAGAGGGTTCGATGGCGGCCAAGTGGCCGCTATACCGAGTCAATTTGATGGCTGTCCTTGTCAGACTCTGCGTCTCCGTCAACAGATTCATCCCAAAAAAGGAAGCCTCCGCCTGCTCTCGATACATAGACCTTGCCAACGCTGGCAGAGACAATGGCAGGTCCCAACCAACGATAACAGATGGGGATATGATGGGCTCAATCAATATCTAGAGCACCAGGTCTCATCAGGACTGTCGGGTTCTTTCTACCACCAAACACAACGCCCGGGACTACCAATCTGTAATATGCAATATATAAATGCTGAAAGGGCGAATTACTACCACCACTCTACCCCATCCTACCGCCGACAGAATCTAAAGGAGGACAACAAAAAATATCGAGCGTGGCTCAATTCCGCTTCCCTGCCCTGTGCCTCTAAAACTGTTTCCTATGCGCCCTCTTCTTCTCCTGGCGTCTCTTTAACTGCCTCTCCACTTCGACTTCCAGCTCGACCAAGTCCTTGCCTCCGAACCCCTTTCCCACATTATTATGCTTCTTCTCGAGCGCTCTGATCTTCTTGCGTCCCGCCACGGGCGCAGAGCTGTTCATCACCTGCGCAATCAAGTATCCATTAATCGTATTGCCCGAGTTCTCCAGCGCGTAGAGCGGACATTTGCCGTCGTCCGCCGAGCAGTGCACGGTTGGCGGGCAGCAGATTCCAACCGAGTTGGGGCAAGTCTGGCACAGGGGGTTGCTAACAGTGGAGTTGCTGGCGGGGAGAACAGTGGAATTGGTGGACGTCGATGAAGAAGAGGTCATGTTGAGGATTGGTCCGGAGAGGGATGTCACGTTGGAGCCACTGGCAAGGCGGAGGATGTCGTTTATGCCCATGGTGGACTCCGGGCAGTAGGAGAGATATACGCTCACGGTTCTGATCGGTCTGGACGTCGGAGTTGGAGTGGTGGTAGGCGTGATCACTACGGGTGAGCCTGTCGTTGCGACGAAGGTGCCGGAGCCGGTCTGCAAGAGGGCGAGAGAGCATCTGAGTTAGTTCGTAGGTTTCTCTGTAAAATGCCCCCGTAATGGGGGAAATCGCATAGCATGATACGCACCAAGGTTCCGCAACCACTAAAATTACCATTGCCGCTGACCGTGCCCGAGGTGACAAACGAGATATGTCCACCTCCGTAGGCTGGCCAGACTGTTCCTGTGCCAGTCAATGTACCAGTGCCAGAACCCGAGCCACCTATGCCATGTCAGCTATTACATACTATTACTGACCAGTAAAATGGAGAGAATCACGCACAGCCAGTAATCTCAGCAGACCCTGTAAACGTTCCGTTCGTAGCAATGATGGTGCCGCAGCCAGAGACATTGCTCGCCGAGCCTGCGTCGCGAGTGTTAGAACTTCGTTCTGGGGGAACAATGAGAGCCTGTCAAAGAATCGAGCTTCAAAACCGTACCACTTGCAGTTCCCGAGGTCACTATCGGTGTGCCTCCTAGGTATATTGTGCCTGTGCCCACTGCAACAAAGTCAGTCGTATGCCTGATTGATGGAGGGATTCGAAGCACCTACCGACAATGCCACTTCCTGAAGCTTGCCCGCAGCCTATGATGGTATTTGGCATTGTTGTTGTAACGAGCGAAACCGAAGTCGGAGTGAATGATGCGCTTGACGCGGTGCCGGTAATTACGGTCAATGTAGACAGTGAAGAGGATGTTCCACTTCCGACGGTTGAAGCGACGGCACCAGAGTTCGTGATTGTTATGGTTGTGCTTGAGACAACAATGATCGATAAGCTGGTGGTGCTGGTAGCTGGGCTTGACGTTGGAGAGGTATATGGCTGACGGGACAATACAGAAGAGCTTGTCATGCTTGTAGTTGCTGTCATAGCTGAAGTCGAGGTGGAAGTAGTCGTGATGACTACTTTTGTTCCGCTGATGACAGTTACTGTACTCCTTGTAGATGTTGACGAACTACCATTGTTAAGTATGGGCCCTTGAGACTGAGAAGAAGTTCCCCTGGTGCTGCTTGCCGTGGTCAGGGAAAATCTGGATGTTGTAGTTGCGGAGCTGAACGCCGTTGTAGTAGAGGAGGTTGTCGGCCTAAAGACTCCAGTCGAGGCCATGAAAGATGCGCTAGTGGTGCTCAATGTGCTGTTGATTCGACATGATGCAGGGATCGTGAAACAACAGGGCAGGCCAGAGGAGGACGAAGTACTCGGCTGGAACACGCCACTGTAATTTGTATCGTAGCAGTATGCACCTGTTGCTGATGGAGGAAAATCAAAGACGCCCTAGAGAATCCTGTCAGTCTTACCAACATGGGATATGACCTCGAACAGACTCACATGATACGTAATGGTTGTGCAAGACAAAGTAGAAGAAGCTGTGCTGGAACCACTATAGCTTACAGTCCCACCTCCACAAGGAGTGCATGTCGCAATGGGCGGATCGCTGGCAAACACTCCGCGCTTGTCGAAAATACCACTTCCTTGTCGTGTCTTGCTGAAGTAATGGTGATAATGGAGGCTGTACATGGTTTGGTGGCTTCCATTTCCCGCGATCGTGACTGAAGGGGCAACGGCTGTGATCATCGAGGGGAGAACCTCATAGCGAAGATCATAGTCGTCAGGCAACTGGTTCGGTCTCGGAGTAGGTTGGTAAATGGGTTCAAAAGGAAGAGTCAAGGATCCGAAATCAACATAACCATACGCAATATGAAATAGAACACCTGCCAACAGGACAAAGGAGTGAAACGGAGACATCGTAAAAGATACCCACAGCCAACGACAACGGCAAGAAAACGACAGACACGGTGAGGCTTAAAGATTGAGCCTGCGGATGGAATTCATCCCTGCCATCGCTAGAGCCGCGTTGTGATGCGCACAGACCGCGAGGAACTGGAATGGAATGTTGGCCACTGGAGGCGAAAGGCCGCCCTACCTCACTCTGGATCATTTGTCGCGGTCTTGCAGGTGCCGAGCGCACGACGAAACCCTGATAGTCCCATTGTCATCAAACTGCGCACCAGAGTCCATATGGATGGCTTGTGAGCTGTAAGCCATCGTTGACAGACGTCGGGTTCAATATCAAGAAGAATCTGTTAAGTTTATCTCGGCTAAATCGTACATAGTAGATCCGATGCCGCTTTAAGAGCTTTTTGAAAGGACATGCCGTGAGACCCGTTGAGGATCTCAAAGACAATGAACGGGGAATCAAAAACGAAAGTCCGATGGTTGGGAGACTCGAAACAAGAGCATAGCTAGTTTGACCCCTCAGGCAGCGCCTATGACAGTGTACACCGTACACGCCATCGCATAAGCAGTAAGCCACAGGGCCGATACAGGGCCATGCAAGCAAATTGTATTAGCCCATTCCTTCCAGGAAAATTCTGACACGAGGATCTGTTGTAGTCTCTAGGATGATGAAAAGTTGTTTTTTTCCTCCGTCAAGGGAGCAGAAAAAGATGGTTAACATTAATGTAAAGGTCAAAGTTCGAGTGCTGCGGGCTGAATATTACCCTCTCGTTTTTCCTAAATATAGTTGCTGAGACAAAGACAGTCATGCTCAGTTATCCAATTCCTCGTCGATTTCAACCCAGCATTCCTTGAAATGCTTCAAGCCCGTCTGCGTTGGGCCAGCGGCAGAAACCGTGACCGTTACACTAACTGTCACCGTTTCAGGAGATCCAGGAGAAGGACTACCCCTGCTTACGCTGCTGGAAGATTCTGGCGCAGCTGGAATGGAAGCAATGCTACTTGTTGTTGAGGCTGGCTTCACGACCGTCGCCAGAGTCGTCCACGACGGTGAAACAGAGGAGCTTGTAGTAGGAGGGGTCATAGATATTGCTCCAGAGCTTGAGGTGCCAGCAGCGCTGGTCGTCCAGGATTGCACGTGGGTTGCTGCAGGTGCCGTGGCAGAGATGAAGATCGAATTGGACGAAGTCGTAGATGAAGACGCTGGTCCCCCAGGTGTAGACGGAGCGCCTTCAAAGATGTCATCTTGCGGACCTGGCGTAAACCCGTTGCGTGTATTGTATGCTGGCGTTTGTGAGCCGGTTGTCACGACGTTGTTTCCAGTCAACTGGTTCCACACAATCATTTGCTTCGCCCCTTTGACGCATTTGGAAGGGTCCGTGTCGCACATGACGGGTGCTTGAGCCTTTCCCAGGGGAATTGTGGACGTGGCCCCTGTTACCACGCATTTGAAACCTTGCATGTAGATATTAGGCTGACCACATCCCCTCGGCACCCAGAGCCAGGCACAAGTCTGGAAACATATGTTAGCCTATGGCCATGTTGACCGAGTCTCATGAACAAAGAGGCTTCGAGATACGATGCGGTCTCGCAAAGACAAGGAAGACTTACACATCCGCCTTCGGGGCAGGCGGGCATTGCCGCTGGGACCTGGTAGGTTGCTGCCCGTTTCCAGGGTGTGTGTTCTAACACAGTAAACACAACCAAGTCCTCCAACGTGATGGCACTAAGATCGCTTTCATATGCAATAGCAAAGGCAGTCCCTTGAGTCATGCTCTGGTTCTGCACGTGCATGTAACCACCATCTTGGATGCAGCCCTCACCAACACCGCCACCGTTCCAGTCCTCTGGGTGAGTGCCGCCATCCGGCCACTCGGAAACTTTTGAGCCCCCATAGGATAGGTTTGAAAATGCTTGGTTATTTGCAAGGTCGACGTCGAAAGAGCCACCGGCAGGTAACTCGAGAAAGACGCCAGGAGGTGGTGGGACAGCATCACAACCTCGATCGTGTTGGAACCACCATTGGTCCTGGGTAAGGTTGTACAACGGTGCCACAGGCGCATTGGAGTTGAAATTCGGGTTGGAAGGGTCAGCACCGTTCTCGCAGTACATTCCCTTGGCAAAAGCGGCAATATGGGCTTGGGCCACTCCAGCCAGGGTCAGTCCTGCAAGGATCAATGCTGCACACATGCTGTTGAAAGTAGTTCGTGTCCGGAAAGCTGGGCGAATGATTCGAGACAGTATCTGTAGCAGAAGCAGATCTCAATGGCTTCGGCTATCGAAACGCAGATTCGAAGCCTGAAGGAACGAATGACTGAATAGATCTGAAACGAATGGACGTGCGCACTGCGCAGCTAAGAGAATGAAGGAAAGGACTCTTCGGGTGCCTGTGACAAGAATAAAGAAGTGCTTATGGAAAACAGAATACCCGTGCAAAGACGGCGGGAAGGTCCATTTTGTACTGATCGAGGCCGAGGTACAGTCCTCCATCTCCCTGAGATAGACATAGTTCATCAGGATAGATGTCGCAAGGGGAGATGAAGGATGGAATAATAAGCTGCCCAAAAGCACACCATCGTCTCAGGCAGCCAGAACCCCATTACCTACGGAGTACGGAGTACCCAGCACACGTGAATGAACTGGCAGGTCTCCTTCAGCCTTTGCTTCACCCATGCGAGTGTTCGCAAGCGAATGACGAGGCTGAGGGGAGCGGGGCAAAGGATGTTGACATCCCCCGTGAATCTCAATGTTCCGTTTCAGATTTGCACTAGGCCAGCAGTTTCGGGATATTTTCCCAGGAGCCACCGATTTTGGCCCCAACCGTGACAGAACAGGAATGGACGAGCATGGAGACTCCGGATGACAGATTTCTTCCTTCTTTAGACCTTGTGGACCAAAGACGCTCGGCATGATCCTCCGTTTTGAATGAGATCCTCAGGAGTCGCAGTTGATTTCACGGAATGGCGACGTTGTATCCCGGGGAAGTCTTGCAGGAGGCTTGCACGGCTGAATCATCGAGAAGGTCTACTCGATGAGGCCAGCCCCGACAGTTTCTCCATTCGCTCTGAGCACAATCCTTGAAGGCGGCTCCAAGGGCACAGCTTGGTCTAGCTGCACAATGATTCGCACAACACTTCCTGGTTGGACAATTTTGGGCTTCTTCTTCAATACTGTGCCTGATGATTTGTCTAGAACGCCAACGAGCTGACTGATTCGACCCGGCACATGCAAACGCCCTTTGTGCACGTCGACGTTCATGGGTGTTAGGTGATCGAATGCGAGTATCTTCGCTTTGAATTCGCTGATGTTCTGAATCGGCGACAGGGGGCTGCAGAGAACATCTCCTGACTTCAGGTGAATGGGGTCGATGTCGGTCAAATTGAGGACCACATTTTGTCCCGCCACTGCCCAGTCTTGGGATTCTTCGTCGACCTGCAAGCTCCGAATCTGCGCCTTTTCACCACTAGGCATGATGACCACTTGCTCGCCGACCTGAATAGTGCCCGCATCCAATCGCCCCGATACAGACAAGGGATTCTGCACACCACCTCGGAAAACGTCGTTGATATTCATTCGCAAAGGTTTATCCAGCGCGTGCGTTGATGGTTCCGCCTTGTCTAGCTCCTCAACCAATGTCGGGCCGGTATACCAGGACGACCTTGGATCTGAGGCTCTAGTCAGAATGTTCTCGCCTCCGAGGCCAGAACAGGGAACAAATGTCACGTTTTTTGACTGGAAACCCGCACTGCTCAGGAATGCGGCCATCTGCTGACGAATTTCATTGAAGCGTTCTTGGGACCATTCCGCAACGTCCATCTTGTTCACGGCCACTATTATTCTCTGGACACCAATGGACCTCACCAGGAGAGCATGTTCTTTCGTCTGTCCTTTCAAGCCAGATTCGAAGTTTCCCGTTGAAGCGTCGATGACAAGGACTGCGAAATCCGCCTGACTAGCTCCTGCAATCATATTCGGCACAAAGTCCCGATGACCAGGGGCATCCAGGATGGTAAAGCTCGTCTTGTCAGTCTCGAACTTGTTGGTGGCTATGTCGATAGTCACGCCTCTTGCCCTTTCTTCCGAGCCTTGATCTAGCACCCACGCGAATGCAAATGAACCTTTGCCGATACGTTCCGCTTCTTGTCGGTACTTGTCCAGGGTTCTTTGATCGACAGCTTTCAAGTCAAAAAGCAGCCTGCCCATAAGGGTGCTCTTGCCTGCATCGACATGGCCTGTGGGAATTAGTGCAATCTTGGAATCCGCCGAATGGGGACGGCCTACCGATGACTACAAAGTTTGCCGCATTCTTTCGTTTCATTTTCTTGTACTCTGCGAGCACGTCAATATTTTTGCTCTTGAATTTGGGAGCCTCCTGGATGGACAGGTCGTGGATGCCACCGGTCAAAGTTGATTTTGCCCGGGTTGTATCCCTGGCTTTGGCTGTGGCCGATCCCGTGGCTACATGACGACTGGGTTAGCTCATCTCCATATCGATCAACCTTGTCCCCGACCTTTTGCATTCTGTGCCTTGGTCACAATATCGTCCGGGCTAGGCTCTGCAAAGTTGAAAGATTTAGCATTCGCTCTAATTGAGAAGAAGTCGGTTGATGATAGGAGATAAGCGTCAGCGTCGCGGCTAGTCATGATGCTGGCAAAAGGCGAGGGATGCCCCCGAAGATGCTGATCAACCGCGAGTGAGCCATCCGAAGCCCTTTCAGCTGCTATCTGCTTGCTTTCCATTTGCATGTTCTGGTCACTGCTGTGATTGCGCTCTTGTGACTGGGGCTGTGGCTCTTCTGTCAGAGAGTCTGACGCATCAGCTGGTCCAGACTTTGCTCTCGATGGCTGGCTAATCCGGAGTTTGTTCAAGCTAGACAGGTAATCCTGTTGAGATCCGTCGTTGGCTGTAGTTTGAGCATCCGATTTCTCACTTTCTTTCTGCCGTCGCTTAGCAGCGAGAGCAGCTAGTTTGGACATTTTGCTGGTGTTTGAGGCACCACCCAAAAGACGCAAACGGGGATACAGTGGCGTGATGATGATCTCTGCCTTTCGGTGTTCAGGAATCCGCAGCCACGGGCTATCCTTGAAGAAGTCCGCGGAAGAAAAGGGGCTCGAGCAAGGGGCGGAGGTGGTGGGATCTTGATGCTCATCAGCACCGTTTTCGAAGTGGCTCGGTCCCGAGCTATCATGACCACCACGACGCGAAGACGATGCAGACGAGGAATATACAAGAACAAGCTTACTCTTTGAGCCATTTGCCTCCTTCTTTGTGGCAATGGGAGCAGGCTTCTGTTTGTCTAACGCGGTGAGTGTCCAAACAAGATCAAAGAGAATGCAGAATTTCCATACTTTTCAGATAAGTGACGGATTTCCCAATGTCATAGTAATAATGCCAAAGCGCCTCTTGGATCTCGTTTTCTGTAGCAGGAAATGCCGGTCCCAAAGCTGCACGGACTTTGATGGTTCCTTGCCGCAATTGTTCCTTGTCTTCTGCAGAAAGTTCGTTATCACCGCCATCATCTCCATAGTCGTCACCATAGTCCTCATAATCATCGTAATCGTCTTCACCAAGCGCCAGAGACTTAACTCGACGATTGGACATGATGTCGCTTGACGAACAGGGAGGAAGTTGTTATCAAGACCGAACACGAGGACCGTCGTGGTGGCGTGGGCTTGAAATTGGGAAGGACTCGCCAAGTCGCTTGGTGAATGGAATTGTGCGGCTTTTGATTGAGCCAGGCGCGGGGTGGAGATCCGATAGATCAGGCCTTGAGTTTGATGAAGTCGTTGCGAGAGTATCGTCATGCGGGTGTTCCAACGAACGTCCCGTCAGGCTGTTTTTCTCTTTCCAGTATTGTTCAATGCCCAAAGGAAAGGATGAGGAAAGAAAATACTTCAAGCGCTCAGGTCGCTGGGAATCGTGGCATGTGTAGGGAGAGGAATGTGACTCGGGAAAAACTGGCGACTGCGAGATGGGAGAGGGGCGGGCAATGGGCAGATGGGCCACCTCCAACACATGCCAGTCACTCATGCCGCTTTAAACATTCTGCTCGTGGCTCCCATCTTTCTCTATCCAACGACTGAGAGGCCATGGCTTTACGTCGCTAAGTAAGTTTGAAGCCTCATGAAAGGCTGAGACGTGCCTGGAGTTGTGCACAAACAAGAGCTTAGAAAGGCTTAGGTCTAACTCCAGCTCGTTGTTGAATGACCATAACCTGGTGCGAGCAAGTATCTATGTAGCTGCAAGCTTTCTCCGCGATACTGATGAAGTATGAAAGGCACATAAAAAACGAGGAGCCGCATTATTCTAAAATCAATGTCCAACTGCTCATGTGACCGAATTGTTCCACATTTCATCCACCAAAGATTAGCAGAAAATGCACGTAGCTTCGAGATACACACGCATGCAGGGAGCATACCCTCCTTCTCAACTTTGAACGGCATGAACTTCTCCCTCGGCCAGAGTTCGCCCTCGCAGACTTTGCATCAATGCTAACCTTGAGTGAGCCTGCACTTCCTTGCTCATCTCCTGCGTTCATGCGATCCCATTGAACAGCATCATCGTTGCGACGCACAGCATTGCCTTCCAACTGATGGTGAGCGGTAGGGCAAGAGAGGTCGGAGTAGAATTGGTTGCATTAGAGGGAGTGGCGCGTTTGCCGACTTCGGTATTGCTGTCGCTGACAACAACTGGCGTGTTTCCGTCGCAGGTGTAGGTGCCCACACAAGCCCCGTTGCACGGTCCCCATTGGGTTGAGAACGCCCACTCTGTGCCTGTATTCTCAAACTTGCAGACACATTGCTCGGTCTCGCCGCCATCCACGAGAGCAAGGTAGAAATTGTACATTAATATTCCCGTGCAGTCGAACTCCCTTCCATATATCTGCCAAGCGTTCCCAATCTCGTTCACGCCTAGGCAGGCACTTTTGTAAAGTCCCACATGTGCTTCATCATAGCACAGTGCTGCGCCTAGGTACGCTGGGGCAGTCATTGTCGCAGTGTGGTAGTAGCTGGTCCGCTTTCCAGAGAGAAGGAGAGAACCCGTTCGTGCTGCAACTCTGTTAGATTATTGGCAAAATTCCAGTAGAGCAAGGTATGGGAGGCCCATAAATCCGAACTCGGGGGCTCCCCCCGAGCAAAAGGACAATGATATACCAGGCAGGATTACGAGCTAGAATTGGGTCGAAATTCCTGTGATGCCAAATTTCCGCGTGGCTCATTGTTCATGCATCCAGATAGGTAATTCGAGTGTCGAGCCGTGCGTTAGCATGATCAAGTCGCGACTAGCCGAGTTCAGCCTCACCAGCTCTCGCTCCAGCTTTTCGCGGTCGGCACATGAGTAGAGAGACGGTAGGCGTAGCATAGTGGATGCCGGATTCGACAAATGGAGCGAGGTGGTACAGCCAGGTGATTGGGACGGATGGAATTGAGCCGCAACAACGTGGAGGCCGCGTTCAACATGTCGCCTTTTCCGCCACGAAATGAGCTTGATCTCCAGCCGAGCTGCCCAGTTAGGCGAAGCGTTGCCCTTTCTGGGACAGCATTTCTTGTATTCCTGCAGGGCATGAATCAAGGTTTCTCCAGGTGGGTTGCTTCGTTCGCACCCAGTACTAGCAGCTCAAGGTCAGGCTGTGAAATAGGTGTGCTTCACGTGATCTAGACCCTGCCATAAAGTCGGGCGTGGTCTAGAACGAATCTCTTTTGGCGAGACTTGCAACATCACCGATATGGTTTCAGCTCGCTTCAGTCCAACCTAGGCCGTTCTGCAGTTTAGCAGCTTCAAAACTGTAGGCAAGCTGAGCAATCAAAGTTTCTCGTCGCGTCCTGCCGCCTTTCTCGCAACTGCCAGAAAGGCCCAACTTTGTCGCAAGACAGCACTGTTTGTGAAGACAATGTGGCCGAACGCCCTATGTCTGACACAGCCTGGGTCAGTCAAGGTTGACGAGTGCTCAAGCAGCAGCTTCTCCACTTCGCCATTTGACCGGTGTGGACAGATATTCATGCTATTGTCGAACTTTGACATATTGGAATGCATAGAGGTCGCAAGAAAGCAGCTAAATAGAGCGGAGTCCGGCGCCATTTATCCCGTTCGTCGGCCGACGTTACTTCTGCAATTGGTTGTTTGATGGTCAAGTCAAGTCCGAAATTCGAGACAAGGTGAAGCCCAGAAAGCTTGACCAGAACGTGCATGGAGTCTTCGTTTCCCACTCGAAGTCGAGAATCGAATATTACTCCTGCTTCGTCCCTCAAGAATGCCGAGCACAAACGCTTCACAGGCTCCTGTTTTTTTTTGCCACGCGCCTGAATAAGGCGATCTCCCGGAGACGATTTATTCGTCATAGCTATGTGAATTTCCGAGGGAACTCTTGAGTGAGATGTTCACACACAAGACGGGTTTTCCGGCTTTCACAAGTCTCATGCACGCGTTGACAATCAAGGATGCATCGGCTTCTGGAGCTTCTTCGGTGGAAGGGTGGTGGTTCTCGAGGATTTCCACAGTCTTGGGTGGCCGTTGAGAACAAAAGAGCCACGAGAGAGTCCTTTTGCAAAAGTCTGCCCTGTGAACTCCTGATTCAAGGAATGCTTGAGCACGCTCGGGTAAACAGCCCGTAGATGGTGCAGGCCCTCATAGAGCACCACATGATCTCTTCAACGGTAGTTTTATACAGAATGTTCTCGGCCGGTGAAACGATGAGCGGAAACCTGTAATTCACGAGAACTCTGGATCCCTGTGAAATTGAAGACAAAGGGAGAATGGCGTACATTTCATGTTCCACACCTGTTGCAATTAGAGTATCGATGATCTGCTGAAGCAAGTGCTCGTTGCCTACTAGGCGCATTCGGTAGTTCAGCGTTGGCATAATAGAGCTTGATATGCCCCTTAGACGGTGCAATGTCAATCTGCGGGCTGCTCTCAGAGACGTCTGAACGTCTGGTCAGATATTGAATGGAGCGTGAAGAAGCGTTGCAAATCTCGTTTGTAGTCGGGCGGGCATTGGTCCAAGGTGTCAAAAATAATACGGGTAGCGGCAATGCCCAGACACAGCTGGGAAGTGCAGAGGGCCTACGTGAGAAAAGGAATATGTTCCGACCTGGTTGCTTCGGCCTCGAGCTGCATCACTTCATCAACTGCTGAAGAAGACTGCAAATACAATGGCTCAAGTAGCACCAGTGTGACATCCCGATGGGGATTGGCAGCCCAGATATAAAGTAGAAGTAGACCAGGCCAGTGTTCAAGAAGCTACTGTTCTGCTGCTGCATTCGGCATTCATCAGCTACCAAAGACCTGTAGGTCCTAATGTTAGTATCCTAGCCATGGCATGAATGGGGAGAATAAGGTTGTAGGGCTGCCCCTGGAAGGCTTTGCGGAAATATTGCATCGCACCGCTAGTATATTTTAGGCTAGTGAGATAATGGGCTGTGTCACCAGACACGCTGCGTCCAGCGGCACGTGGTCCGGACACCAAGTCGACGACGCTAGCTGCGTCCTACCAGGATTTCAATGAAGGTCAGTGAAGAACTTTCCTCTGCCGGGCTTTTGAATGTCGGCAGGGACACCGTCCAAAGTTTCAATATTCTGTAAATTGTCCGTGGTAATTGTACGGAGTACTCGGTACTGGGTACATACGGAGCTCTCCAAGGGTGGGGTTGGCCATGACATTATTTTTGGACCGCGTGCGCTAATTGGCACATCGTCAATCGTCGACCACGCAGACCACGGCACGCGTAGGAGTTCCAAGGTGTGAACGCAGTTAAACGCAACCGCCCACTCTTCAACAGACTTTCTCTTTGGTACTCGATTGTTGACACATGCTCATCGGCTTGTTGAAAATCTGAGGCCAGCATCTATTCCGCGCAACATGGTTCATCTCGACATCATCTTAATGTTTCGGTAACGCGCACAGAGCCTCAGCAATGTCGACTTCCATCGTCCATGCCCCGCCTGTTGGGCTGGGTCTTTCGCCGACTAAGTCGAACCTCACACAACAAATCGAACAGAGCGAGGGCGAACGTACCCCTAGATCCTCTCGAGCATCCACCAAAGGCTCCCCAAAGCCACGCTCTCTCTCAGACGCTCCCAAGCCCGTCCTCTCCCCTTCGCCTGCCTTTCGAGAACCTCTGAGACGAATCTCCAAGGATGACTCGGCTATTACGACTCCCACCACGCCCGTTCGTCCTCCAGTCCATGCTCGGGGTCTATCCCTCCATATGCCGTCTAAAGACACCTCAGGAACAAGCACAGGTGCCACCATACCGCGGATTCCGTTATCGCCCAAACTAGATTCTTCCTATGTCTATGGTTCACCCTCGTCCATGCTCCCCAGAAGATCGCGAGGGCTGGACTATACAAGAGCGTGTACCAATCTACACCATTCTACGTTGGCAGAAGCATCTCCTGATGCCTCGCCAGTTACTGGGAGAGGAATACAAATACCACAAAGGAGAAGTCTCGGGAGTAATGTGCTTGACTCCCCAAGCAATCAATCAAATGCTTTGTGGTCCTTGACAAATGATAGAACAAACCTGTCAAGCTCCGTTAGCTCTGTTAACATGTTGGGCTCTGACTCTGAGTCTGAATCTGACACTTCTTCAGATGACATGGCTATCGACCGTGAAATGGATGAAGCGATCTTGAGCACACCTGCGGCGTCGAGACTGAATCCAGGTCCCACACCGGCCTGGGTGAACAGCCCCGGAATGGAATGGATGAACACCCAACCGTCTCCGGCACAGGCAAGCCTGATGAGTTTCCAACCCAATCTGCTGAGTTTCAGGAGAGCCCGTACACGGAAGGGGAAAAGTCAACACAGCTCCAGCAGTGTGAGCATGCATAGCTCTAAGCCGTCACCGGGACCCTTGTCACCTGGTGTCTTGAAAAGTGTCGAGAGCGCAGGTGGCAGTTACTTTGGAACGGGCTTGACCAAACAGCAAGTCCAGTCTCGGCGTGAGAGTCTGAGTCTGGGCACAAACGATCTGCATCTTTCAGATAGCGAAGACAACAACACTGCCCAAACAACTGGGGGCCAGTCTCTTTCGGACATGGACGGTGGCGAGGATCCCAGAAAGGTCATTCGCAGAGCTGTTACCCGCCGAAGCAATCTGCTCCCCAAAACAAAAGGCTTTGCTCGAATTCGTGCACAGCTATTGGAAGAAGCCGCTCCTATCGAGAGTGAAGCGCGACGTGAGGCAGAAGTCATTCGCCAAGTCCATGAGAATGAGCCGGCCGTTTCCCAACCAAAGTCGCCGATTATCGCTGGCCATCAGACCAACACCTTCTTGGCCGAGCCGATAGAGGAGTCGATCGAGGATATGGTCATGGACAACAAAAATCTGCTGCCTCCTGATAGCTTCAGTCGCCAGGCCGAGAGGAACTCCGCGGGAATGGGGTTTTGGAACGGGTTCGATGGGCGCTATCGAACACCACCGCCATCTTTACAACAGCGTGACAGCTCTTCCGCCATCAGTGATGATATGATAGAGACTCCAGGTTCCTCACTTGTCGATAACCCTGCCCTCAGGCATTTCAACCGATCCAGATCGAGATCGACCACTCCGTTGGCCTCTAACCCGCCTACCGCAGGAGATGTCGCCCGGCGAGTCAACAACAAGAGACGACGCGAAGAGGACTTTGATCCATCATACACCAAACGCCGAGCAGTGTCCCCCGGCATGAGCGTCCAAAGCAGCCCTATCCTGCCGCAAAGCCCTGTTCTAACAAGTGACAAAACATGGTCCAAACTGCCGTCGAAGGGATCCGGACATAGGCATGGTGATCGCAGCAATAGCGGGACCAGTCATAATGGGACAAAGAAAGTTGGGTTGCAAGGCATGACCGAGACGAACGAAGGCATCATGAGTATGAGCATCGATTAGGCTTGATTCATATCCCCTACCCCCAGGTTGATTTCTGACTAGCGAGGCGCTTGGAGTGGACTGGAATGGCATGAACTGGACAGGACGGGACGTGGTTGCTTTCCATCTGGAACAGATGTATGATACTTGAGTTCAGTTGCTGTCCTACATTTTGGTTCTTGCTGCACCCGAAGCGACGACATATCTTACTCGCACAAACTTCAAACTCCAAAACTTGTAGCTTCTTTGGGACAACTTTAGTAGCCCCGCGTCAGGCTGCGCCTCAAGAGGCCACCAGGCTTCCTCCCGGTGTCTGACACTCCCGAGTCTATTCCCGCTGCGGCACGAGCCTCGAAACCTGCCCCTCCACCAGGATACTAACAATATCATTGTTACGAACATAGCGGAGAATCCTCCACAACCCTGTCCAGCCTTCCAACATCCTTCTAGTCCACCGGTATGAGCTCGACGGTAGACATCACCTCGTCATTTATTGAATGCGCGCCTCCCGGCGAACTACAAGATGTCATCAAAGACATCAAGGCCCTTGCCTCGGACGACGACCCAACCCTGATTGCGAAGCTGAAGCCTGCGTTCGAGAAGTACAATGAAGAGCAGATGGTGGCGACGAAACTTCCTGGGGCGAGCGATTATGTACGGAAAAACAGTTCTATCCTTCACCCCCCCCCCCTTCTAGACAAGGATCCGTTCAGTTCTCACGAGAAAAGAAATCTCCATTGAAACTTTTGGCTGCAAACGTCCCTGAAAGCTGACCGCGAGCCCCTGGCATTAACTACAGGTCCTAATATCCTCCTACAACAGACTCTCCTCGGGCCAATACTACGACACGCAGTCCTCGACCTCTTTCTCCTTCGACCACACAACCTCAAAGGCCTCGGCACCGCAGTCCTACACGCACGACACAAAACACAGCGACCTCGTCTCGTCGATCCTGAAGCACCTCTCCGCACACTTTGCAGAACACTACCCTCCCACGTCCTCGCCCTCGGCTTACACCGTATGCGCGGCGCCCGACGACTCGCAGGTGGCTGTGCTGATATCATCGCTGAAAGCGTCGCCCAAGAACTTCCTCAGCGGCCGCTGGAGGACCGCGCTTCTCTACAACCCCTCGGCGAACACGCTGTCCGGCAGCATTAGGGTGAATGTGCACTACTACGAAGACGGCAACGTCGCGCTGTCGACGAAGAAAGACTTTTCCAACGTGGCCGTCGATGGCGGCAGCGGTGGTGATAGTGTCGTGAGGAAAATCGCCGCCATCGAGAAACAGTACCAGGAGGAGGTAAATAGGACGATCGTGGGCATGAATGAGACGAGCTTCAAGGCCCTGAGGCGGCAGCTGCCCGTCACGAGGCAGAAGGTCGAGTGGGAGAAGATTAGGGGTTATGGGCTTGGTGGAGATCTGAGGGGAGAGGGTAAGCGGTAGACGGTCGAAAAGCGTTGGGCGGTGATAAGCATCTGGATGGCCTCGGGGCAGGCTGGGGACGAACATGGACGGGACTCGGCAGGGGTTGTTCTACATTTGCATACGAGAAGGTCTCCAATACTTGTCAACGGCTCAGAAGGGGATCCATTCCTGGACTAGAAGCTCTGGGGCGAAGGAAAATGCCATGGACCATTCATTTCAACATGTCCCCTCCCTTCTCCTCGTTGTCTATGGCAATCCTCTTCCCGATCTTGTGGCCTTGGCGACCTCGCTCTGCGTGGTGTCCTCTGCATACCTCCGGTAGGCATCAACATACTGGTCCCTTTCACTCAAAGTGTCCAACACGCTCTCCCTTCCTCCCACTGCTTTTGCCCACTTCCTCCATCTCTGCCACACCTCTTCATCGTCACCTCCCTTCCCTTCCTCAGGCACACCTGCTCCGCCTTTGTACACGTCAAAAAGAAACATCCTGCACAGCCAAGGGGCGAGCACAATGTCCACAAGACTAAATCGCTCACCCAAAAAGTATGGTCCCCGGGGGTCGCATTCTTTAACGAAGGTCTTGATGTGGTTGAGGAAATCCGCCCTTGCTTGATCCAGACTGTATGGTTTGGAGTCGGAATGTTGCATGAAGCGGTAGAAGGCGGGGACAATCCTGGTCGAGATATGGTCGATCCAAATGCGGCATTTCGCGCGCAAGTAGGCGTCTTCTCTCGGCAGCAGATCGGGGCCGTTCTTAGAGGGGTCGTTATATACTTCGTCCAGGTACTCGCAGATCACGAGACTCTCGTACAGGGGCTTTTGCTGCTTGCCATCCTTGTCGAGGGGGACGGCGAGTGTTGGGACCAATCCCCGAGGATTGAGCTTGAGGAATTCGGGGTCTTTGTGGTACGGGTTGATCTCGAAATATTGGTGCGCGATGTTTTTCTCGTGCAGGGTGATCCAGCTGCGCTGGACGAACGGGCAGAACCAACCGCCGTAGAGAATCAATGGGTTTGGAGACGAGTGTGCTTCTGCGAAGCGGGCAGCGCGGCCCGATGTGTGGGGGTGCAGCGAGGTGTCTACAGAGCCCATGGCGCGGCGGGAGAGGGCGAAGGTTCTGGGTGGGAATTGTGATGGAAGGTGAAGGAAAGAAGGAAGACAGCGATTGTTGTAGGGGAATGACCGAGCCAGAATAGAGAGAAAATTCATGCCATGTACCAGGTAATGTAGAACAGAGAAGCGCACTGATGTTCAAAACATGAACGTGGTAATATGTATGCTATGCGATGATGATGCGGGGATGGCGTAGTAAAGAATGACGTACCAAGTACTCGGTACATACAGTATGCTTCTGGTGCTTGGTGATGCTTCTAACAGGGGCTGTCTTTGGTGCTCCTTTCATTTGGTCCAGCACGGGTAGGTATTCGGGACATATAACGAGTTGATGCTTCTAGATGGGGTGTATCGAATCACACCAAAGAGACAGCCTTCTCGGAAGAGAACTTGCACTCGTGCGCACATGTACACATGGATTTCGTCCTCAGTCATGGTGGCTGGCCCTGGTGGCTCTCTCTGGTGGCTCTCTCTGGTGGCTCTGTGGGGAGACCGAATAGATGCAAATATAGATTTGTCCTTTTGGGAATGGAAAGGGATGGCACTTTTTGGATTTGCAAAGAAGAGAGTAGATGCCAGGCTGGCATCGATTCAGGGGCAAAACAGCGTGTCCAAAAGCCTGGTGAGCCGCCTCCTTAGCCCTTTGACCGCCAAGGCTGGGGGCACCAGGGGGGGGCCAAGCGCCCATTGTGTCGGCGGCGAACAAAGTACCGCCCCGCCAGTGAAGATCGTGGAAAAGGACAGCGTATCGATAACTGCGTCCCTAGAATAAATATTTCCCTCCACCACCCTCTCCAATCTTCCTCCCAATCACTAACACATCACTCTTTTCCTTGCCTCTCTTTCCTCTTCCTCCTCGTCACTGACAAGATGGCGTCCGGTAACGTCCAGCGTCGGCCTCACAGAGCCTCTTCCGCTGCTCTGCAGTGGACAACTCTATTCTACCTCCTCCTCATCTTTGTCTGTCCCTTAGCCTTGATCGGGAGAGTGAATGCTCAGGATCAAACACCCCTAAATGACTCGGACACCAACTATGGCACCGTCATCGGTATCGATCTGGGCACAACATACTCCTGCGTCGGTGTGATGCAGAATGGAAAAGTCGAGATCATCGTGAACGACCAGGGAAATCGAATAACACCTTCATACGTGGCGTTTACCGACGAAGAACGGTTAGTAGGAGACGCAGCAAAGAATCAATATGCTTCGAATCCTACCAGGACGGTTTTTGACATCAAGTGAGCATCTTCGAGCCTCTTACATTGTACCTGCGCTTTGCTGACATGCCCCTCTCTCTAGACGTTTAATCGGTCGCAAATTTGACGACAAGGATGTTCAGCGAGATCTGAAACACTTCCCCTTCAAAGTCGCCAACAAAGATGGCAAGCCTGTGGTCAATGTCGAAGTTATGGGCAAACCAAAGGCCTTCACCCCTGAAGAGATCTCCGCCATGGTTCTGGGTAAGATGAAGGAAGTCGCGGAGGCATACCTTGGCAAGAAAGTCACCCACGCAGTTGTCACCGTCCCAGCATACTTCAATGACGCCCAGCGACAAGCCACCAAGGATGCCGGCACAATTGCTGGGTTGACTGTTCTGCGTGTTGTCAACGAGCCTACTGCCGCAGCTATCGCCTATGGTCTCGATAAGAAGGGTAAAGAGAGTCAAATCATTGTTTACGATCTTGGGGGTGGTACTTTCGATGTTTCCCTTCTTTCGATTGAAGATGGCGTCTTCGAGGTTTTGGCTACCGCTGGTGACACTCATCTTGGTGGCGAAGACTTCGACCAGCGAGTGATCGACTATTTTGTGAAGAAATTCAACAAGGAGAACGATGTTGATATTCGCAAGGACCTCAAGACTATGGGTAAGCTGAAGCGCGAAGTCGAGCGAGCTAAGCGAACCCTTTCTTCTCAAATGTCGACTCGAATTGAAATCGAAGCTTTCCACAATGGAAAGGACTTCTCCGAGACCTTGACCCGAGCCAAGTTCGAGGAGTTGAATATGGACCTGTTCAAGAAGACGCTCAAGCCGGTGGAACAAGTCTTGAAAGACGCCAAGGTCAAGAAATCCGAGATTGATGACATTGTCCTCATTGGTGGCTCTACCCGTATCCCCAAGGTTCAGTCAATGATCGAAGAATTCTTTGGTGGCAAGAAGGCAAGCAAGGGTATCAACCCTGACGAAGCTGTTGCATATGGCGCAGCCGTTCAAGGTGGTGTCCTTTCTGGCGAGACCGGCACCGAAGACCTCATTCTCATGGATGTCAATCCCCTTACTCTCGGCATTGAAACTACCGGTGGAGTCATGACCAAACTCATTCCTCGAAACACCCTTGTCCCGACCAAGAAATCTCAAATCTTCAGTACGGCAGCCGACAACCAGCCCGTGGTGTTGATTCAAGTTTTCGAAGGCGAACGAGCAATGACAAAGGACAACAACCTCCTGGGCAAATTTGAACTCACTGGTATCCCTCCGGCTCCTCGTGGTGTCCCTCAGATCGAAGTGTCCTTCGAACTCGACGCAAACGGTATTCTCAAGGTCTCAGCTGGCGACAAAGGCACTGGTAAGTCTGAGTCGATCACCATCACCAACGACAAAGGACGCCTCACCCAGGACGAAATCGACCGAATGGTCGCAGAGGCCGAGGAGTTTGCTGAGGCAGATCGCGCCATCAAGGACAAAATCGACGCTCGCAACAAGTTAGAGAACTATGCGTCGTCATTAAAGAACCAGGTCAATGACGAGGATGGGCTTGGTGGCAAGATCGACGACGAAGATAAAGAGACTCTTCTGGACGCAATCAAGGAAACGCAAGACTGGCTCAGTGATAACGCTGATTCTGCGGACAAGGACGACTTTGACGAGCAATTCGAGAAGCTCTCTCAAGTCGCATATCCTATTAGCAGCAAGTTATACGCAGGAGCTGGTGGTGCCGGTGGCATGCCAGACTACGGAGATGATGATGACGAGCCTGCGGGACACGATGAGCTGTGAGAGCGGGACATCATATCTCGGCTGTGGTTTGGAATGATTTTTGTACCAGCGTTATGAATTGAGGACTTGATTACAAGCATCTAGACGTGCACGGCCTACGGAAGAAACCGGTCGGACATGCAAAAGGGCGTTGGTCTTCTCCCTTTTTCTTTCTATCACGGAAGGCAGAGTTGTGAAAACTAGATACCACAAGAAGCCAAATGGAAAAACGTTCAAAAAAGCACATATCTTTTTCCTCGTGCTCAAGGGAGCTAATTGAATCGTGACTTCGTGGCCTCTTGATGTGCTGTGAAGCCTTCCAGGCCCTTCCCCCCCTTGCGTGTGCATTTTCCCTCCTCTCAAAACCTCGTGCTATTTTCAATGCCTACCCTTCAGGTCCACGTTCAGCAGGCAACGGTCCAAACCTTACGACTACGATTCCGACCATCGAGAGTAGCGTGCCGAGCATTTCGACATCATCGCCCATTCCCGAGTTCGCACAATCACCGACCGAAGACGATCTCATCGCCAGCGAGGTCAGTGTTTGGACGCTCTCTGCACACCATGTCCAGCCACACAGGAGCCACTAGCACCACCGCCGCCGCCGCCGCCGCCAGCAGCACAGATGACAAGACGATCTACAAGCTGACCTTCTACGTACCGCCCGCGAACACACAGGCGTGCCTTTCGGCGCTGTGGGCGACGGGGGCGGGGACGTGGCCGAACAACGACGACGACGACGACGACGGGCCCGCGCTGTACACCGACACGGCGTTCATCAGCCGCGGGACCGGCCAGTTCAAGCCCTCGGCCGCGGCGAACCCGCACATCGGCGCGCCCGGGCAGGTCGAGCACGTCGAGGAGGACCGCGTCGAGATGGTCGTCGTGGGCACCCCGACGTGCAGGGCGGCGGTGCAGGCGTTGAGAAAGGCGCATCCGTACGAAGTCATCGCGCTGTTCGTGGCCAGGTGCGAGGATTTTTGAACTAGGTAGAGAAGAAAAAAGGGAACCAGCACGGCCGGGGGAGAGATGGATGGATGGACTGGGGAAATGGAGCGATGCTACGTATGCGTTCTCAAAGGCTTCGCGGAACAAACCAAACATCTTTATCAAAGGATACTTTTGTTGTCTGTATTCTGTTGGCATTTGCTACGGCAGACGAGGTTTGAAGACAAGAGGAGAGATTTCCTAGATTCGACTTGCTTGCCGTCTTAGTAGTCGAAGTTCTCGTAAACAATCGTCGTCCCTGGCATCCACTCCTGCACAATCTTCCTCATCGCTGGCGCTGTGCATAGATACCAATTGTCCACTTCTGTTTCCCAAACCACCAAATCCTCCTTTGTGACCCGCCTCCGCAGAACCTGCACACCAGTGTCAAGTAACTCCTGCAGCTTCGCCTTCTCCTTTCCACCCTCACCGTCCAACAGGGACTCGTCGCCGGTAAGACAAATTGTAAGCGAATCTTTCAGACCGGGATATTGCGTAAGGATGTCCAAAGGCAAGGCGACGTCACGGATCCCCACGCTCCAACTGACCTTTAGTTTGTCGAGATCCAGGCTTTCCATCTGTCCCAGCAAAGGCGTGATCCCAATTCCAGCGGCGATGAAGGCATTCCTGGAGTGGGGTTCGAACACGAATTCTCCGCCAAAGCCCCTAATACCGATCTCACACATACCCTCGCGCTGCCATTCTAGCCATTTGGTGACGTTGCCGACTTTGCGGACCGTGACTTCGAATTCTTCCCCGTGCAGGCCCAACGAGTTTGGGATAGATGAGACGGTAAAAGTGCGAATGTAATCATCATTCAGACTGGTAGGGTCGTCGTCCCGCATGTGCGAATACCCCATGTCCATCTCGGCTGCCAGATCCATTGCGACGTACTGACCTGGCTTCCAGGGGCCGAATACTCCAGGATCAGCAAGCGCGAAGCGATATCGCGTGACAGTTGGAGTGATCTTTGTCTTCTTGATGAGTTTTGCGGTGGTAGGTGGTCCGTCACCAGCAGTCTTCGCGAAAGCGTCTGTTTTTTCTGAGGTCAAGTATCGCACACGTGGATTATAGGGAGAGCGGCCTTGAGACGCATCGTCCATCAGTCTGCCCCTGAAAGGCAACCCGTTCTCAACTAGCCGCGCTGCGGTCACTTTCAAGCTTACCGCAAGATTGCTTTTTGTGATGACTTTGCTCGCCGCGGCCCCGACAAGTGTCTCGGTGTCCCCGGTTACATACAGAACATCACCAGTCTCGAAGTCCGGGATCACCAGGCCCGCATGAGGAGTGCTTTCGAGATTGCCGAGTGTTTGATAAAGATTGTTCCCGCTATATTCCGGCCACACAATAGTGCTGCCTTCGTCCGAATTAGTAGGCTGCTGCACGCGGATGAAACCCGGAGGGCCGCCACGGTGATTGCAGTCCATGTCCTCATGCTTGTGCGTGGAGGTGACGAAAAACAGGTCGGCACTCTGCACTAAATCAATTGCTTTTTGAGTGAGGTGTGGTGAAGAAGACAATAGTCTTGGCTTGGGATCAGCGGCAACAATGTGCTTCTTGTTGAGATACTTTGGACAATTTCCGAGACTTTGGTCGATCTTGACGACGAGCTGGACTTCGCCTGATCTGCCTGACTGCAGATCGCCCTTTAATTCACTGCTATCCGCAACGGCGTCGTTCACGGTTAAAGCGCCGGCAATGACCTGCCCAGCCACCTTGACTCTCCCTCTTTCTTCAAGATGAATGCTAAGGCCGGCCATTAGCCTCCCGTTGCCCTCCTCTCGCATCACTTCTCCGTCATCCTTGCCTTTGTAAATTGCCTGGACAACGGGGTCGAAGCTTGCATCGACGGTAGTGCGGACACCCATGACGCTCTGGGCCACCGGCTGCGCGATTGGTAGATGGTCGGAGCCCCAGACTGTACACCAAGGCCTGCCATCATCATCGAGCGTTCCTATAGCCATCATGGGGTACCGTTGGATCATGCTTGCAGCCCGAGGGGTGAGAAATGGTGAAGTCGGATTGTCATAGCCGCCGACACGAGTTCGTTTATGAATTGCGACTTCTCCCTCATGCCAGGAAGCAGCTTGGAAGAAGGCCATGTTTCTTTTCCTGCTCACCATGAAATTTCTTGATCTGAATGCTGATACAAGGCTGGAATAGAGAGTGATGCAACGGCCTCCTTTATACCATGGCGGGTGTCACTTGTTTCCGTCCGTGTCGAAGTTCGAATGCAAATCAATGAAAGCGTCGCTGCTAAGGCAGACAGACAAACCGACGAATATAAGGGCAGAAAAGACTGGTGTGCCTCGCAATCACCATGACGGGTGCAGGGTTAATCATCTTGAATACGACAGCAATGGCAGAGGATCGCAACCGTGGCACCCTCAGGTTTCGGCAAGGGAAAGGTTTACTAAAGCAACAACTGTCAGCATGCATGTGCCCATGTCCCCCATCTTTGGCCGCTTGAGCATCAGGGGGGAGTCTTCCTCAAGCGGCGATGAAAGCTGGATGTTCTCATTGGCTTGCGCATACACGGGAGGAGTAGCCAAGAGGCATGGGGCGTCATTTGCGTGACGGGAAGCAAATCAGGTTCTTTGACTCGGCTGGTCAGATGGAGGATGATGGGAAGAGGGAGGGAGAAGAGGAGGACGCTGGTGGATCTCGGTCGACACCTGCCGAGGCGCCTTTCAAATGACGCTGTCACTTGGCCGACAAAGCAGCGAGAGCAGCAGCATCACGAGAGCAGCAGATGGCGAGTGGCGGCGCAATCCATGTTCATTCAGGTTCCATTCCCGCAAACCATCCATATCATTACCTGCCTAAGGTACCAAAGCAAACCGTAGACGACACCTCCGTCCCAATAAACTACGAGATACTGCGTGCATTCCCCCATTTCATGTCTCCGGATAGGACACCCCCCTTGTGCGCCAGACCGACTCCAGTTCCTCCAGGAACAGCAATTCCTCTCCAGAATACAGCTTGTGGAACCGTTGTCTCAAGTCGTTTCGAATCAATGCAATGTCCTCAGGCTTGTCGACAGCGTACCCAAATATCAAGGTCGGCCACGACCCCAGGTAGCATCTCGACCATTCCTCATTGGCTTGCGGACACTGCATGATCTCCAATCCTCTGCGAACCTGCCATGTATCGCCCGCGGGCGGAAGCGGAGATTCAGTCTCGTACACCTCATGTGATCTTGCGACCCAATCCAGAAGCAGTGATGCTGCGAGAATGTGCAAGCTCGTCGAGTGTCGGTGGAAGATGCGAGCTCGTTCAGCCGGTGTTTTGGTCAACCATGAGTCCTCTTCGTTCACGCAGTGCCCCTCTTCTAGGATTGTCTGCTCCCAGTACCCCAGTTCACGTCCAAGTACCTCGAGTAATTCAGGCTCAGGCTTCGCTGGACTTTTGCAGAGTTGGACGATCTCGATAATCAGCTTTTGGAGTGCCAAAGGAAAACCTATCACGGGACTATTATCGGCTGCCGAGGCATCTGGGAAGGTCAATGACTGCAGCGTCTCTTCCGCCCGTGCACAGAACTCAAAATCAGGCTGGAAGTCTACTGCAAAGGGCCGGTTGACTGTTTGACGAAAGACCTGGTAAAGGATGCTCTCCCAGATGATCCGATGGATCGGGCGTGGCATTGGCGGTCGGCGTGAATGCGTGCATCGGAGTTTCATCAGTTGGATCGCCCCCATCACATGTTTCCCAATGTCTTTGTTGGTCCCGATACTGAACACCTGTTTGCACACAACACAGGTCAATCAAATCGATCATTTGGCGCGTTTGAATGAGGCGGGGGAACTCACTCCGTGGATGTAAAGAAAGATGATGGCCACCAAGAGAGCGTCATTGAAATCGTCGCGGCCCCAGTCGATCATGCTGAGAGAGCGATTGACCTCGGAGACGGCACGGGCATAGTATCTGATCCCCACCTCGTTCATTTGAACATTCCCGGTGAGTAGATGCATGCGCGACGCGCCACACGCTAGTGCAATGTCTTTCATACCCTCAAATTGGAGAAGCATTTCCACCACCTCCGGGATAAATTGGGACTGAAATCCCGGATGTGTGTTTGAGAGGATGAGGAGCGGTAGGAACCCATCGAGAAAGTGCCGGAAACAGTCAACTTCAAGGTCGGATTTGAACACTGGCGAATTGAAGAGGTCCGAGTTGAAAGAGATTTCGCGGCATATGAAAAATGGCGACGCATCAGCTCTTGTGCTGTCTTTGATGTCGTTTGAGAGCCGCCCCTGTACGTCGATGCTTTCCGGCGACTTCCCCGGCGACGGCGACGTCGGAGATCTCGAAGCTCGACTATGCCGCCGGTCGAACAGATCGTCTTCGGCAGGCCAAGTACAGACTCGGTTGGATTTGATGCACTTTTCGCACCGCGGCCTGCCTTCGTTGCATTTTTTCCGTCGCATGCGACCCAGGGGTCTGTTAGCTGCAGACGACTCCAATTGATGTGATTGCCACTCACAGGTCAGACATCCAGTCTTCGTCCGCAGAGTGGCTGTGGATTGAGGTGCCATACCAAAAGATAGGCTTGCGCAGCCTATATGCAGGTCAACATCTCATGGCGGGCGGTTCGGTATTCTCGAGACGTCCATTGAAATGCGACAAGAGGAAGCCAGATATGCCAGGTTGGATTAGGTGAAACCGAAAAGCAAGCCGAAGTCGACGTCTTCAGTCTCTTATCATCGAGGTCGAATCGCTTGGAATTCTAGGCCCCAAGGATGTGGGCTATCACCCCGCATTAACGAGACTGGCCCGGCTGTTGCCAATCAACAGACCCGGAGCGTCGGCTCTGCAGGGAGGAGAAGCGGAATTTTGGCGAAGCTACGGAAACTCGTCTGCCCACACCTCGCCTCTAGATGCACATTTGGCCTTGGGACGAGGACGTCTTGGACAGCGAATACAACGATAGATAACTAACATTATAATCAAAGACAGCCTCCGTGTTCCACCTGACGCCTTTCCCGTCGAAACGATGGGATTCTGTCTCTCGATGGTCGAATCACCACTATCTGGATCGATGCGCTTCGTCGTGGCTCAGCCTCCTCGCATCGCCCCGGATACAGATGGGCTTTTCAGCGCCAGACTGCCACATCACCTTCCTCAACTCAGATCGGGGCCCTCGTCCGTGCCTGCCCGTTGCCTGTCTTGAACTCCACAGTATCAAAGGGAGCCCAGGGCCTCTGATATCAACTCCACGGCCGACATTAGCTCTTCATCGTGCTCGGATCTTGCAATGACCTGAATATGACACGGCGCGTTATCGACAGCTTCTGGTAGATCTGCATTATGTCAGACCAATAACTGTGCAACCTGCTCTTGAGCAGCTGAGCTACTCACAGTCTGGAATCCTTGGGTCTGGAAGGTCCACGTTCTTATCTGCTTTGAGATATGGGATAATGCAAGCAGGGTACTGCTCGAATTGTTAGCCTTCTTCCCTGGCACCTGCTCAAATCAGCCTTTCACTTACCGCCAGGAGATTGAACATGACGGTGTACGGCGGCATTCTGAAAGTGTCGTGAGGTACCGCGGTTTTGTGCGATCCTGGTGCCACAATAACATCCAACTTGTTCTCTACAAAGAGCTTCAACCACTCAGCCCGAAATTTGAGGCGCTGTTCATTCATGTCAAATAAATCGCCCAGAGTCTTGTCGGGTCGGCCTTCAGGCGGCGGCGTGTACATGTCCTTGACCGAAGTGACCCATGGCTCTCCCGAGGCTTCAATATGTTTGAATCCGGTGCACTCATTATCAATGTCGAAGAGTCTCCACGACAGCTCCGTGGCTTCTTTGAACGAGGGAAAGTTTTCGAGCATCACGATGCTGTGGCCTGCTTGCTTCAGCTTTTCCGTTGCCGTCTTCAAGGTTCGCAGGATGGGTGGCTGGACAGGCCAGGAGGGACACTCGTGGATGACGCCAATCGTCAGAGTCTTCTTCTCTTCAACCGGATGCCATGGCATCGCGAGTGCCGTATAGTCAAAGTTCCAAGGTTTCGAGTTGATGACGGTTTCCAAGAACAATCGCAAGTCGCGAGGGCTTCTCGCCAAGGGCCCTGCCGCTGGTATAATGCCTGTCCAGCCATCGAGTACCGGATTGGTCTGGCCACCGAAGGGAATTCGATCAACAGACGGCTTGAACCCGAATGTTCCGCAACAAAAGGCAGGTATTCGGATGGATCCTCCAATGTCTGTCCCTACGCCTAGAATTGAGCCTCGCATGCCGATAAGGGCTCCTTCCCCGCCACTACTACCACCGGCAGTGAGTTTGAGCTTGTGGGGATTCTGAAGCAGGTAAGCCCGTTGTTTGCAACTCTAAGCCATCATTCTTACCAGCACGCGGCCGAAGACGTTGTTTTCGGAGTCCGCCGTCATTAACGTTTGTGGAATGTTGGTCTTGACATAAAGAACGGCTCCATTCTGGAGCAGAATGTCAACCAAAGGCGAGTTGAAGTCCGCTGCTGGTCGGTTGATAAATGACACATAGCCGATTGTCGAATATGTGCCCTTCAGGTTGAAGGAGTCCTATGAACCTGAGTGTTGAGCAGTGAGACTCCTAGGGAGATCTCTACCGTACCTTCAGACTTATCGGCATCCCGTGCAACGGGCCCATTGGCTTACCTTCTCTCGCTAGATATTCATCGAGATATGTGGCTCTTTCGAGAGCCTTGTCGAAGAAAATTTCTGTCAAACAGTTCGTCTTGAAGTCTCAGCGATCACCGACTGGAGATGTGGAGCTGTTACTGACCACTTGATGGGCAATAGCAGCCCTCTTGCAGAAGGCCTGGGTAACTTCAAAAGAAGAAAGCTCGTTTGCGGCCATCTTGGCTATCAAATCGACAGCGTCATAGTTTTCGGTGATCTCAAGCTCCTTTGGTGTGAGAAGGCCACACTTTGCAGGAATGTCGAGGACGCTGATATCGGCGTCGGCATTGACGGAGTCCAGAATGCTTGAGGGCAACCGCCATTCTTGCGGGAGTGCTTTTGCTCCCTCGGCACGTTTCTTCGCGACCAGAGTTCTCCAATCTTGGTCCATTTTGATTTCGGCCAAACAATCAGGATAGAACTATCACAAGGTCAAAACGGGCTATATCTGTGAATGGAAGTGTACAGCTTTATATATTCTCTATCTCTTCTCGATTCCCTGATGACGGGCCTCAAAGCGGGGAAGCTTGGAAGTTATACGGGTATTCACTGATATTGGAGGGTGTCGGAACAGGTAAGGGAAGTCTCGCTTCAGTGTTCGTTCAGTCTCTTGGTATCTTTCAGCCATATGATAACTCCTCTAGATCCCATTTGGGTATGGACGAACGGGATCATTTCCACCACCAAGCACATGGAAACGTCAATCACACGGAATTGCGCGATGCTTGTTTCCGACCAAGATCTTGAAATGGGAAGGCCGCGTCTTAACCCACCGCCCTAATCAAACACCAATCAGACAGGATAGCGCAACCAGGTTTTCGGACTATCGCCGGACACTAGCCCCCAGCAAATATCTGTGGCAGTCGGATTCTCTGAAAGCCAGGCCCTGCCTGAACGGGCAGGAGAGTTTTTCGACAATGACCAAGTGCCCCGGCCATTCCATAGGACACGAGCCTGCAACTGTGCGAGACAGAAGGCCGTGTGGCTTCATAATGGCACGGTGACATGATATATCAGCGGGAGATCAAATCTCTTCAACCCAGGCTCCGACGACTTTCATCCATGTCGAGGGAGATAGTTGGCCATACCGAAGCATGTCTTGTCACCACCAGCCTACTGAATATGTACCAGTAGGTCGCGCTTGTCCCTGTGCGTGCATTGACCTGCATGTTTATCTCCAACGGCAACCAACTTTATTTCGTCTGCAGCTCCGGGCCGCTGCATCGATACATGATCGTCGACCGCTACCTCACCGTTAACCAAGTGCACCATGTGGTACATCCGTGCGGTACAACCGACCACATGCGGAGATCTCAGTATCTTATCTTTCTGCAATGCGCTTTCATAGGCTTTATCATTTCAGTCCATGTCGAGAACCAGCCGTCTAGGCCTATCTCGAAGGAACTTCAGCTCTTATCGACGAGATTGCGTGTCGACTCTTCTATCGCTGATTCTCTGGTACGCGGAGATGGCGTGGCGTGGAACTTCTCGCGCGGACTTTTGCGATGTGGGAGCACGGACTCATAAGTCAGTGTTACCCTCATGATGGCGATCCTATGAAGATCACCAACTCGAATCTCCTCTTCTACCGGGTACGCTCCTCACTTCTCCGTTCTTCCTCTCCTTCCTTTCATCTTTGGGCTTCTACAGTCTAAACCGAGATGGCGCATTACGACTTGCCAGTTGACACAGTCCCTGGGACAGTCCACCTCGTGGACATCGAACATACCATGCATACCCGACATGCTGGATCCGGGGACAAAGACATCGTGCTGGTGCCCACTCCCTCAAACGATCCTGATGATCCCCTGAACTGGTCGCCTAAACGAAAACTCATGTTGACCATAACAGTCAATGTGTACGTCTCATAACTACCTTGTTATTGTCCACTACGATACTGACTGGCATCAGCTACACCTTGGTGGTTGGCATTGCTAATTCTGTGGTCTATTCGGTGCTTGTTCCACTTTCTGAAGCTTCTGGGGTGTCCATCAGCACCTTGAACCAAGGCACGGGATATTTGTTTCTTCTCGCCGGCTGGGGGTTGCTTTTCTGGCAACCTTTCGCCTTGCGATACGGCAAGCGTCTGACCTACCTCCTCTCCATCTGCGGAACAATCGGTTGCACAATGTGGGGCCCATATGCCCGGGGCAATGGGGTATGGATCGCGAAAAATATATTGGGTGGTTTTTTTGCCTCACCGATTGAAGCTCTTCCCGAGATCTCTGTGACAGATGTGTACTTTGCTCACCAGCGAGGAACGTACATGGGCGTCTACGCTTTCTTCCTCGCTGGCAGCAATTATTTTGCGCCGGTGATCTGTGGTTTCATCGCCGATGACCAAGGCTGGAAATGGGTCTTCTATTGGCCTACGATGTTCCTGGGCGTGGCTCTGATCTTTTGCTTCTTCTTCATGGAAGAGACAAACTACACACGCTTAACGGTTGGAATAGTCGAGACCGCGAGCGGCAGCCAAACGCCGCTCTCCGGTGCGAAAGGCGAGAAACCGACGGGAAAGACGCCAGATGTTACGAACGAACCCGCCGTCAACGTCGAGAGCGGCATCGTGGTCTATGGTAGCAACAAAACATACCTGCAAAGAATGTCGTTGTGGCAGCCATCTCCAGGGGAGAATATGTTGTCAAGAGCTATTAGGTCGTTGAAGTACCTTGGCTGGCCCGTTATCTTCTATGCTGGGTTTAGCTATGGCAGTTATCTCGTGAGTTAACCATTCACTGGGTCCTGCTTGTTAAGATGAAACGGTTCGGCGCCTTACTGACAACATATCACAACAGATCTGGTTCAATGTACTGAATGCAACCGCAAGCATCATTCTAGGAGGTGCGCCCTACAATTTCAAAGCCTCCATGGTTGGACTGTCATATGTCAGCACATGCATAGGCGTCATCGTCGGATGCTTCTTTACTGGTCGGTTCAGCGATTGGCTCACGATCAGGCTTGCGCGTCGCAACAATGGCATCATGGAAGCTGAACACCGTCTCTGGCCTTTTGCGGCTTGCATCATTATTGTTCCTGCATCCCTCATTCTGTGGGGCGTAGGCGCGGCGCATCACGTCCATTGGTTTGGCTTGATCTTCGCCATGGGCACTCTGGCCGGTTCGACCTGCTTCGGCATAACTCTCAGCGTCAACTACCTCATCGACACTTATCATGAGATCAGCGCCGATGCGATGACCACAGTGATTCTGGTTCGCAATACCATGTCTTTTGCCATTGGCTACGGAATTACCCCTTGGCTCGACAACCTTGGTTTGCAGAACTGCTTTATTTCCGCTGCATTCATCGGCATGGCAGCTTCGTCGGCGTTTTTGATCATGATTTTCTGGGGCAAGACTTTCAGGGAACGTAGCCGTGTCAGGTACTGGAACTTGGTTGCGGAACTGATGGCAAAGGGCAATGTGGCCACTTGAGATGTGGATGGATGAATACGTTAGAATATTCGCAGACAATGGCTCAGATCGAGCGGTATGTCTCATCCTAAACGATAGGTGCAGTAGAGTACAGCCGGGGTGCGTGGCCGAGGAACCATAGAACACGAAATAGAGCTTAAGGACAAGGCTGCGTAAGGCTGCAATTAATGGCAAGGCTGTGCACGTGATAAATATATAAGCCTCGGTTTGATTCGGACTTTTCTCTTCACGCTTTTTCTCAACGTCATTCTCATTCTGCCAGTCATCGCAAGCCACCATCCACATCCGAAGATTATTGCCAGTGTCACAGCATGTCTTAGATGATCTGACTCTCGAGAGTGTGCAGCGGATCCTTGATACCGAACCGCTCGAATTGGCGTGCGCACTGGTTCAACATGCTGAGCCTTGCAGATTTTCCGCTTGTCCTGAAGATACGCTCCTGTCGGTGTCAGAGTTCGTCGTATTGGTGGCGGCCTGGCTGATAGATCTTCATGAACCAACTTTTGCGACCACATCTCCACTCTAGGTCTAGACTGAAGCGTTTCTCAAGCGCGTTGAAAACGCGATCGACTGCCACCATGAGGAGCATAATCAATAACCGCTCTCACCTAGCTTCGTTGCCTTACACAAATTGTCACACACGCATAGTCGACCTCCACGACCTCGACATCCCTGAACACGCACCTGATGAAGAATACCGCGCCATATACCTCAAGTACATCCTCCATCCACCTCACAGCAAAACCGAGAATGCAGCTTTACTCAGAGACGCCATCGAATCCATAAGACAAGGCATTGCGCCCCCGGTAGCCTTTCCCACGGAAACTGTATACGGCCTCGGCGCGGACGCGACCAATGAGCCCGCCATTTCAGGAATTTTCGCTGCCAAAGGCCGTCCAAGTGATAACCCCCTGATCGTTCATGTCGCAAGTATCAAACACCTGGAGCAGGTTACTGGTGAACCTTTACCGGAAATCTACGCGCCAGTGGCGGAGAGATATTGGCCTGGCCCTTTGACCATCCTCCTCCCAGTGCCCCCGTCGGGGATCTTCGCCAAGAACGTGCACCCCTTCCAGTCAACCATTGGATTCCGTATTCCGTCATCAAAATATGCGCGTTTCTTCATCGCCGCAACGGGCAGACCTATCGCCGGACCTAGTGCGAATTCTTCAGGGAAGCCGAGTCCCACTACGGCACAACATGTTTTGGATGATCTAAATGGCAAGATCAACTTCATCTTAGACGGGGGAGGGTGTGATGTGGGTGTGGAGAGCACGGTTGTGGATGGCTTGCATGATCCGCCGCTTATATTGAGGCCGGGAGGTGTGAGCTTGGAGGAGCTGAGAGGTGTTGGGAGAGAGATTGGCAATAAATGGACGAGGACGGCGATCGGGTATAAAAGGCATGCGGCCGGAGCGGCAGACAGCTCAAGACAAGATGGTTCAAACGCGACCGCGACACCCTCGACGCCATCTTCTATGGATGAGTCTACTCTTGGGGTTTCTGCGTCCTCGGGAGACACGAGTGTGCCTCATTTCGACGGCATCGTTAGTTACGAAGACGACATCAACGGTGCACCTCGCGCACCAGGAATGAAGTACAGACACTATGCGCCTGTAGGGCGACTGGTTTTGTTTTCTGAGGACGCCGTGCGCAACGGTCGCGTGTCAGAGAAGCTGGATGAGCTCGTCAACAATTGGCAATCGTGTTCCAATGAGGACGGGCAGGAGAAGAAGTCTCGCGAAGTCAAGGGTGGGATCATTTCCTGCCACTGGCCACCCTTTGCCGGACAGCCGGTCAAGACGATTCCATCGACTTCCTTGTCTGCGAACGCTAGCAGAGATATAACCTTTGGCGCTCTCGTTCCAGATGCGATCTCAAACTCGATCTATGCGCCAATGATCTCGATCGCGACAACGGTAGTCCACGACATGAAAGTCACGTTGTTCAACGTCCATCTTGGGCCCGACATCTCGACATTAGCGCACTCACTATTCGGCGTCTTGCGACTATTTGACGAGCTGGACTGTGCATTCATATTCGCAGAGACTGTGCGGCGAAACGCGGCTGCGACGAACGGCCAACAGTCAATGACGGGGCAACAAGAACCCAACCAGACACACCACCGGGATCTCGAAGACGCCGTGATCGATCGGATCGAAAAGGCCGCGGCCGAGAGGGTGGTGGATTGAAAGAGTTTCAACCCGACTTTGACCGACTGATCTCATCCACATATTTCCCTTTGTCGATGCTACACACTTACAAGCCGTGGTTGCATATTACATCACAGCCCTCATGAACCTAGAATCAAGAGATGAAGCCTCATTTATAGACGGCAGAAGGCCCAAAGCCACACACTCACAGCTCATTTAGTCACGGATGAATGGGACGGCAGGGAGAGCAAGAAGGGTCGGGGGAGCACAACAAGAGCAAGGACTGCTGCCGACGAAATGCGTGTGGCATGCATACATACATGACAATCTAAACGCACCGAGTCGAAAAATGGTCCATGTCCATTCACGAATACTTAACTACCTACTCCACCCACATTACATGGTCATTTGGATATGTAGTGGTTGGACTACCTAGATTACTCGCGAATGAAAGACTTAATTGCCATAGGTATTCGGTTTGATCCTAGGGGGTGAGCCAAGGCCGCAGTAACCTGGGCCTTAACCTGAGCTTTAACCGAGTCATTTGCTGAGCCTGAGCCTAGTGAGCCTCACAGGGTTACAAGGAGGGCTGGTGGGCCCAAGGTAGCCCCTCAGCGATCGGCTACACCTGAAGGCTGAGATATTTGAGGTGGATCATAATAGGCACCAAATGGAAGCTTATTGAGTTATGCTTCCCTTGGCTTCCCGCAGGGGAGGCGAGGAGACACGTGGGAGGTTCGGCCCGTGCAGCCCACCAGCCGTAACTCTAATACCCAGGTAACCAGCGCCCGGTGAGGTACTTAGAGGCTCGAGAGGTGTCTTGAAATGTCCCTAGCCCATTTCGTAGGGATGCTAGACTAATAGAGTGACCTGTGGTAATGATGTGGTGATTAGGAGTATGGTGGATGCTATTAATAACTGGGCGTCTGGCTGCAGCTCGTAGTAATAGCCTCGATCCAGCATTGCAACTACCATGGTCTAACACTAGGGAATGAATTTGGTACTTTTGGGAAGGAGCTCGCAATCCGCTCCTCAGCTTGTGCCACGCAGCATGCGTCGTATTTCTTCGGACACTCTTGTTTATATATGTAGTGTCCGCGTTACGCTTGCTCTTGAACGGCTGCACCTTTCTTTGTTCCATTCATTGCTCGAAGTCATGCCCGCAGCTCCTCAGCTCTGAGGCCACCGCAAACCTCACACATTCGTCCCAATGCCTCGAGGGAGGAAGGCGAAGAAGACTCCGGCCGCATCAAAATCCGAAACGACCTCGAAGAGGGTCAGACCGGTCACTTCTCGGGGAGCTCGCGAAGAGGTAATATCAATATACAATGCTTATTGCCTATTCCCCCTTCCCCCTTCCTTGCCTTGTCGCCGTTGGAAGCTTTTGCTTTCCATCAAGTGAATGGTCAGAGATCTCCCAAAGCCCAACTTCTGACGCATTGCATCTATAAAAGGTTTCCAAAGATACAGATACTACGCCAAATCCCCCCCCGAAACCTGACATTAGATCTAGACTGAGGTCTCATCCGTCCGCCGATTTGCAAGACAGACCCACTGCTGCAGACCCAGAAGCGTTGCTTCGAAAGGCACGCAAAGAGCGAAGAAAAGCAAAAGCTGCTACGGCTGCTGTAGAGGTTCAGGAAATCCCTGAAGAACACTACACTAAAGATCAGATTGGAGGCCTTGCTCAGAGTATCGAAGCTGCTCTCACAGGGGTTTCCCGCCGTGTTGACGAGATCAATACTGACAACGAGGCCTCTGAGGAGGGGGAAGGTCACGACATATCACAGGATATAGAAGAGCAGGAGTTCAATCGCAGCTGGGGGTATCTACCTCCCTTGGACGACGAAGCGGTAGCGATAATAGAAGCTATTATTGCAAATCCAGAGATGGCAAAAGATTACTCAAGGATCACCCCAAATCACCGGTTCTTTCCTGAGGGCCTCCGGGACAGAAACGTCTTTCTATCCGAAAGCGGCCATCCCGACCCCCATGCTGATGAAATTCGACGTCTTAAATCACCCCTACTTCTCGAGGAGACCAAGATAGAAAGCAAGTCACATGGACAGCTCTGGGCCTTAGATCAAGCGAAAATTGACCAGGGGTCGAATGAGGCGCTCTTCCAGAGAACCCTTATGATGAACCTGATAGGACGACACCTTTTCATCTACAACAGACAAAGTGTGAAGCCATGTTGTCTCGATTTTAGCGTTGAAGAGTTATGGACCTGCCCGCCGATGCCGACTCGATCCTACAATCAAGGCCGCAACTTTCTGACACAACCGAAGCCAGATCTTGCGGTTTGTTTCCGTAGAGAAGCGGCCATACCTGACCGGCTGTGGAATTCTATTCCAATGGCAACAAAGATACTCGCCTGCTATGAGAGCTTCAACTTGATAGGTCACGACAGGATATTCCATTTTCTCACCATTGAAGCTAAGAAGGAGAAGACTTCAACCAATGACGATGTGGGAAGACTTCAAAGTCTGAACAACGCAAGTCAAGCGCTCCATAATATGTTCGAATTCTTTCGAGACGCCGGTCACGAGGATACCTTCTTTGCTAAGGTGAGATTCTTCTCGGCAGTAGCTAGTACAGAAGGCGTATGGATTCGTATCCATCGAGCAACCCGAGAACCCGAAGATGGGTCTGACCAGGGATTCATCTTGCCGAAACGAAAAGATTACCCGCTCCGGTTTGAATTTCGAAATTTCGCGCACGTCATTAGAGCCGAATTCGAGCGTGCCACGGTTCTGGAGATATTTGAAAAGATCCTAGTCGGGTATGGAGTAGGAATACTCCGTGACCTGATCTATAATGCGGCCAAAGCTATCGTTGGGAAACTAGAGGGGAATCCTGATGCGTATTTGGCGAGAGGCGATCCTAATTTCTATCGATATGGTCAAACCGTTATTAAGGCAAAGAGCAGGATCCCGACACCGGTAGCAAGCAGACCGGAATCGACACGGGGGATGTCCATCGACACGACGATCGGCACCAGGCCAATGGAAGCAACCAGCCAAGATTTCTCTCAGACGAACGTCTCCGTTGACATGATGCGAAGTGGCACAACAACACCGATTCAGAGCCCGCTTCCCGTGCCTAAGCAAACAACCAAAGGCAAAGGGAAGAAGCGACCAAAATCCCCATCACCGCGTAAGATGTCGGTTTCCGGACCGGAACAAAAACGAAGAACCGAACGGTCCTTTTCCTCCAGTACTTCAATTGAGAGCATCTCTTGATGTGCCTTATCAAGCACCGGAGGGTTCGATGAGCCATGTTCACTACGTCTTGGTCGAATGTTGAAGACGCCATGCATGGAGATATTGGAAGCTCGAAGTCGACCGGATAAGGCTGGGGAGGAGGGTTCTGATGCGTTTTGAAGGGGTCCGGAAAGCCTTGTTGTGCGGTGGTTCTGCGAAATGACAGGCACATCGGACAAGGCAATCTACATAGGTGCACAGTGTTGACAGATTGTGGAATGGGAGGCTCAGGCGGTGGTAATAGTAACCAAAAGGGAGGGGAAGATTTCTTCAATGTCGGCCATTATAACCAGGTTGAGAAATGTCGAATCTCAGGCGACTGCCTACAGAGGCACCTCACAAATCCCTAGCGGGCGCGATATCTATGTATTTTGGGAAGGAGGGAAGGTAAGGTCGGCGGGGTGTGTATTTTGTGCAAGGTTGTTCGTGCTGAGCACACATAGAGAACAGAGAGGCAGCAGCAGAGAACGGAGGACAGAGGACAGAGCGCATTGCACCTATGTATGGTATTCACTACCTAGAACGGAAGGGTATAAACGGGACGAGCGAGGCCGAATTTCGTTGTTGACACATAGAGTCACAAAGTTCAAGGTCGATTGAATCACGCCGCAAGAAGAAATCTTTGTCTCCATCTAGCTCTGCCGTAGGAATTATGCCAGGAAAGAGACCGCCCTAACTTTCGCCTATACTTCCTCCCCTTCGGCGCTGCGAATAGTCTGCTTCGCGATTGACATCATTGTCCGCATTCAGCTTCGCACGACATCATTTCTGGTCCAGCAGGATTGAGAATTTCAGAGCTCAATCAGACTTTCCTCGATAGCAACTGGTTGCTGTTGTGTCGGATGCGTGGCAGGTTGGTTATATGCAGCCGGCAGATGTTGCGGTGCAGAAGGGAACTGGTCTTGCGTATAAGTGGGATATGTGGCTCCATATGAACCACCTGTAGACATTGGTGGTGGTTGTTGCGCAAGCGGCGGTTGCTGCTGAGGTGGCTGCTGATATTGCGGACTAAATTGTTGTTGCTGAGACTGTTGCTGTGGATAAACCTGCGATGGAGTCTGTGTTTGCTCCTGAAGGGCCGGCTGTCGTGGCTGGTAAGACTGCTGAGGCGGTTGTTGAGGTGGAGGCTGATGTTGATACTGGGGTTGAGGCTGTGGGGTGGGAGCCTCAGGCGGCATCTGCGGCATTTGAGCGTAAGTCGTTGGAGTCTGTTGAGGATCTGGGGGAGGCATCTGAGGATACACGGATGGAGGCTGAGAGGACTGCGATGGATAGGGTGGCTGCTGAGCTGGCTGGTGTTGGTACATCTGCGGCGAAGGTGGCTGATTGAATTGTGCAGATTGCGGCATGGGTTGGTTCTGCTGCGGTTGCTGCTGCGTTGGGTACTGATACGGCGAGGCAGGAGTATCTTGTTTCTGGCTCGAATACGAATACGAGCGCTGAGGCTGAGGAATCGGCGTTGGTTGAGTGGGTGGAGCGTAAGACTCGACTGGCGCATTGTTGAAATAATAATTCTCCGCACCGCCAGGACCGGTATTCATCGCCAGAGGGGGTCCCGGCGATATTGAGGGATACATGCTCTGAGGCGCCGCAGGGGAGGGCATTCCATAGGCGGCGTATCCCGGATTTCTCTGGTTGTAAGTATTGTTCAATCGCTCTTCAAGCATCCGATCGTAATATCGCACGACTGTGGATAGTTTGGCATGTAGATCGAGCAACGCGTCATTTTTGGACATTGTTTCGCCTAGGGTCCGCGCCAACTTTGGTCGAAGCTTTCCAATGCTCTCGTAGAGCTCTTGGATCTGCGGTTCACGCAGAATTGTACCTGGCGGCTGATGTTGCAAGCGGTCGACCAACGTGGCAAACAAGTTAATATTTTCGGCCTCCATCACGGATAACTCATAATCGTTCTTTGGCATGACGAAAGGCTGTGCGGAGGTTGCTCCGTCTGTCGTGGTTTTCTTGAGGGAAGCTGCATGCTTCTTGGCTTGTTCTTCGGCTTCCTTCAAAGACAGTGCTATGGCGGCTTTCAAATCCGGATCGTCTTCTTCCTCGTTGGATACACCATTTGCCTTTGCCGGCTCTTGCTTCGACTGTGATTGCAGAACATACCCTGAGCTTGAGATTCCCTTGGCCTCCTCTAAACTCATTTCTAACGCTCTTTTTAGGTCCTCGTCAAAACTGCTGTTCTCTACCCTGGCACTTCGGGGCTGCATCGAGCTCGGTTTCGGTGCGAAGGAGACACGGCGATCGGAACCGCCGCTCGACTTCTTGGTCAACTTATCATAGCAGCCGTCGTCGACCCGAACTGGTTGCATAATGCCTAGATGCGGGAGAGGAATCGACTTTGACGAGCACTGTTGATCGAAGACGTTGCCACAGTTCCTGCAGTGATGCTTTCTATTCGTCAGGGTGAATGAGGTTCTGCATCGCATGCAAACATCGCTGTCTGTCCACTCGGGTGGGGCACTGCTGTCGAGCATACTGCTGGATATCTCCACCTTGGGCGGGAACTTGAAGCCCTCCATTTGCAGGCCCTGGTATACCTGGTTGATATATGACAAATCGTATCTTCCCTGGGTAGCACTGGCCCAACTCTGGATCAGCTCCAAGATCTTCTGTTTGACCTCGTCATTGACTGCGGCGGCCCCGTAGGCTTTGAGTAACGAGACCAGATTGTCCATAAATTCACGAGAAGCGATCTCTGTAAGGAAGTGGGACCCGCCATTCTTGACGCAAGTGTCTGTGAGCTTCAGGGCCGACAGTTGGACGTTGGGATTCCTGTTGCCTATCCGCCTCTTCAACGATCGCATAGCCTCTTTAGGCTGCACTGTCTTCGATCGGATGAGGTCCGTAATCTCGAGGGAGGTCGCAATATCCTCCAAGCTAGAAGAAGTAGCTTTCTCAATCTGCTCATCGAGCACAGACGTGCCTGAGGAGAACCACCCGGCCATTGTGCGGGATGGACGAATACAAGGCAGCGACGGTCAGTTTGGGATGAATGAGGAGGACTTTTCGGCTTGGAAACGACGCTGTTTAGCAGCTGATGGACTGCTGCTTGACAGAGAGAACAATAAGACCGTCTGCAAAGTTCGAAGTCGGGAATTGGAAGTTGGGGTTAGAAGGAGTCTGTGTGTAGGATGAGTTGATGGTTGGATGCAGTCAGTATCTGGGGAAGTTCTGGGTGCAGGCCACTCGGTGCACCATCCGCCACATGCGCATGCACCAGCCACTGAGAGCCTGTTGGCCTGGTCAGCCTGGAGCCCACTACCAGTAGGCCACTCACCCACTGCCTAGCAGCCTTGCCGCTCCGGCCACCAGGCTTCAGCCTCGCCTGCCGTGTCATCAGTCATCAGTGGACACTTCGGAAACGGCCATTTCCATTTCCCCATCCATCTCGTTCTCGGCCTGCGGCCCTCAGCGAGCCAGGAACTCACTACAGAGCGTCATGCATCTTGCTCGACACTCGATTTCCCATACTACACATGTGTCCGACTGACTCCCGCCTTTTCTAAACGCCCTGTCACCTCGACTCCACGCACGTTACTCTCCTTACTGACGTCTCCGGAATCTCCTGCGCCCCTCTTCAGTCAACCGCAACCAGATCTGACTCTCACATGCCTGGTGGATTAATCGTTAAACGCCCAAGACTAAGGAATTAATTTTAGAAGCCTGCCACTGAGACGGAAGGTCTTGCCACGGGTCTTGCGCGCAATGATCTTACGGTAGGAACGACACACACATCGCCATGGCGGCGTATGCATCCTCGTCCTCCTTATCCTCCCACACCACTTCCACCTCGGCCAACGCTCGAAGCAGTTGGACCGATCCACGAGACTTGACACCAGGTCCAGGCTCCGGCGCGGGAAAGGTCTACCCTCATATCAGGGACATAATCCAAGATGCCACAACTTCCTTCCAGGCGGACGGCTCGCTTCCACAGTACCTGACCGAAGTCGAACATTCTATCACCGTGGCAAAAAGCTCGGTTGACTTTGGCCGCCACGATCTGGCTTACAAGAGTTATATGCGGGGGTATGAGATAGCCGTTAACCACATCCCAAAGCACAAGGAGTTCGGATTTTGGGACAATAGTCCACCTTGGAGAGCAAAGTACAAGGCCGCTCTCCAGAAACTGGTGGACATGGAGGCAGAGATGACCCGGATTAAAGCCCTGATCGAGGATAACAACGCCCGCTATGGAACCCAACCTCAATCTCGCGCAATGCCCAGAAAACTAGTCTACTCTTCGGGCTTTGGAATCCCTCAAAATCTGGTTCCTGGCCGGCCTACCTCTTCAGGTAGCAACGATGCTACTCCACGTGCGACCTCGCCGAATTCATTTGCGGACTTACCTGACTCCCTTCGAATCCCTCGGGCACGTCCGTCAAGCAAACCAAAACCCGAGAATTTGCAAGGCCGACCTTTAACGGAAGCCAGTAACGACCTGGCTCAAAGATTTGCGAAGCTCAGAGGGCTGGGAAATGCCTCCGAACACTCAAACTTATTATTCATGCCCAAAGCAGGTGATTTTCAGCACGGAGCAGGATATAACTCACAATCATATTCCAATGAAGCGTCGACTTCGCGACCAAACGGCCCCCGCGCGATTCCTGCTTTCAGTAATGGACCCATGGTCCCTCCAAAGGTGCCGGCTGCACCTCCCAAGGTTCCCATTGAAACTTCCATGGCAATGCCCAAGCCTCCCAGTCCCACATACAGCCCAATCAATACCACTTCGGCCAGTTTCCATGCAAACAATCATCGACTTTCTGCGGAAGGGGGCCGTCCTCCCACTGAGAGAAAGCAAACTTACTACAATCAATCGCAAAATTCATCCACCGCCTCTCTGCACCTGCAGAGGACCCGCGACGAGCTTTCTGCTCCCTATCGACCAACTACACCGAATGGAATCAATTCTGCCATCCTCCCTAAAAATAGCTCGAGTGACCTCCCCCATCAGACGTCGATTGATGTTGCCACTCTTCAGGAGTACATGAAGAGATACAACGTTCTTCTGATCGACATCAGAGAGAGGGCTATTTTTGATGATGGGCATATCATGTCTACTTCGATTATATGTATAGAACCCATCTCTCTGAAAGAGGGTGTCTCGGCAGAGGAACTTGAGGATCGACTTGTGCTGGCGCCGGATAATGAACAATCACATTTCTCTCGCAGAGATGAATTTGACCTGGTTGTTTATTATGACCAATATACCAGCGACGTTTCCTATCTCAAGGGTCCCCCCACAATGACTAGAGCTCCGGCGTTGAGAGCACTGTACGATACGCTGTACGAATTCAACGACACGAAGCCTCTGAAGGATGGTCGACCACCTGCGTTGTTGTCTGGCGGTCTGGATGCCTGGGTGGACTATATGGGAGTCCAATCACTTGCGCGGTCAAGAACTGCTGCGACGCTGGGTATCACGCGGCAAAGACCTGCCGGTCCTGGTCGACCTATCGCACGACAGCGCATGGTTTCAGCAAATTCTCGCTACGAGGTCCGGAACAGGCGTCTTCGTGACCACAAATTTCTGGATGAGAGCGAGCAAGAGGCGTGGCGTCAGCAGGCTTTGCAGGAAGAAGTGACCCCGATTGAGAAACACGATCATGCAAGCGACGAAGAGTATTCAGTGGTCGAGGAAGAGCCCGAACCTCCGTCACCATTCATCCCCGACTATGAGACATTCTTGCGGCGGTTTCCGTCAATCCAACAGCAAGAGTCTATGGTCATGCCTGCTCGACGACCTCTTCCATCTCATCCTGCCGCATACCTTCCTCAAGTTGCACCACCTCCCATTCCCCAAGTACCGGCAAGGCCTGCTCCCGCAATTCCGAGACCGAGCTATTCGGGCCATGCGGATATCAATGCACCCCAACCGGCACTGGCTAGAGTGACGTCGGCCACGCGACCCCCGCTGTATTCGACCGTGACATCCCTTCGCAGAAGGTTGCCCAAGACTGGGCTGACGAATTTTGGGGTCACTTGTTACATGAATTCGACTCTGCAATGTCTGTCCGCGACTATTCCCTTGTCCAGCTTTTTCAATGATCGACTCTATGAGGGATATGTACAGCGCAACTGGAAAGGCAGCAATGGCATCATGCCTAAGCTCTATGCCAACCTAATCCAGGCAGTCTGGCAGGGGGATAATGAGGTTATTAAACCATCAACATTTCGAAACTTCTGTGGGCGAATGAACCGAGAATGGGTAATCGACCGACAGCAAGACGCAAAGGAATTCTTCGACTTCCTTGTCGATTGCCTCCACGAAGACTTGAACGTCAACTGGGAACGAACGCCACTCCGGCCACTAACGACTGCAGAGGAAATGCAAAGAGAGAGAATGGAGATTGCAAGAGCCAGTCCAATCGAGTGGAAACGTTACGAGCACCGAGACCATAGTTACATGTCTTCCTTATTTGCCGGTCAACATGCGTCACGCCTCCGTTGTCTCACCTGCAAACGCACTTCGACCACCTACGAAGCATTCTACAGCATCAGCGTGGAAATCCCTCGAGATCGTGCGGGCCACATCTATGACTGTCTTTCCTCATACTGCCGGGAGGAAAAACTGTCGGAGCTATGGCGATGCCCCTATTGCAAGTGCGAGCGTGAAGCCACCAAGCAAATCATCCTTACTCGCTTACCGCAGTTCCTGGTGATACATTTCAAACGCTTCGCCGCGTCAAAGCACGAAAAGGCCAAGAAAATCCACACGCCCATTGAATTCCCATTGCACAATCTATGTATGGATGATTTCGTCATCCCCAGACCACCTACGCTACCGGATCAAGATGGGCGTATGAGTATGGAGCTTGCCACAACACCGCCTTATACGTATGATGCATACGGGGTTCTGAGACACCTAGGCAATAGTGGGGATGGAGGACATTATATCTCCATTGTGAAGGATCAGGGGCGGGGCGTGTGGAGGAAATTCGATGACGAGAGGCATGTTGATTTGGACCCGCCGAAATTAAGCCAAAGAGATAGGTTGCAGAACGGGGAGGCGTATATCGTGTTTTATCAGAGGGCGCAGGGGCGATGATTGACAGCTCTCTGCCAAAAGATGAGCAGAGAAATTGGCAAGATCGGCTCTTTTCTGGTGTCCACGTTCGAGCAAGCGAAGCTTCTCTGCATGAATAGCGAGGATCGGTATTTAGTTGTGTGCGTCTTGATTGTGGTGGCATTATGGACCTCTGGAAGCGCCATGGCCTCTGGATGAGCCTTCATTCTGAGCTTTGTGAATAGGAACCTTTGACGATGACCATGAAAAGACTCCGGTGCGACGAATGGAAAAGACTTTTTTTTTGGATTCTTGAACCTCTTTTCGTTGGCCAACTGACTCTATTCGTCTCCATCGCGGCCTCCAGAGACCCCTTTGTGACATATTCGATTCGACAATATGCCAGGACGACAGGCGTCCGCTTTCTCAGAAGGATCGCTGAGCAGTCGAATGAGGAGCTCCCCTTCTCAGTTTAGATCAACCCGGCACTACTTAGCATCGAATTTGCCCATTTCTCTATCCTTTGTGTTTGGTCTTGCCGTACATGCCTCCGTCGATCCTCCGCTTTTCGATCGCCAGCCTGTAGGGAGGTGCTGTGGGAGGCTGGACGGGATCCAGCGACACATGGCCCTCCGGCAGCTTGTAGGTGGCGTCGCTGTCCCAGGCCGACAGATCGCCGCAGGCCAGGAATGGAGCAACATATCGCCGAGGGTCATCAGCGTCTTCGAGGGATGGGAACCGGAGTTCGACGATGCCGTCGGGGCGGAGATGGCGCGTTTGTTGCATCTGTATTCGTTGTTGAGAATGCGTGTCTGCGATTGATGACTGTGATGCTGACACTGAGTTACTGTCGTCGGTCTCGTGGCTATCTTCAGGAACAGAACCCAGCGGAAATTGCTCTTGCTGTTGCTCCCGCACCGCTGACAAAGGCGTCGATATAGCTGCGGACTCCGGAAGTCGCAAACCATTCTCCACTTCGATTTCCGGTGTCCATAGAACTTCCTTTCCATCATCATTCGTTACCATCACAGGTTTGTAGCCCTCACAGACCACAAACGCCTCGATACTACTCGCCCTACTGGCCCTCGGCTTCGCCACACTCACCCGCTCAAATAAGATTCTCAACTGTGCATAGATCAGGTCGACATCTCTACCCCTGAAGATCTTGGCCACAAACTTGCCCCCCGGACGCAGAACCTTTGTGGCAAGCGTGAGTGCGGAGTAGAGCAGTTGAGACTGGACGTAGATGTCGAGCGAGTGCAGACCCGTGACGTCCGGGGCCCCGTCACTAATCACAAGGTCGATCAGATGAGTTGTGTTCTGAGGAGAAAAGTCCGGATCGATGGCCCTGAGGAGGAGGGGAACGGTGGAAGGGTGAGTAATGTCGGCTTTTAGCTGCGTTATGCCTTCGAGAGGCGCCATGGGTTGAAGGTCTATGGCGACGATTTTGACATTGGCCCGGGGGTTTAATTCGCCGCTGGTTGTTGAAATGATTTCTTCGAGCGAAGACATGTCTCCTCGGGCAAGACTATTATCCCTTTGGACTTGGGCTTGGACTTGGACTTGGGCACGCTGCAACCGCTCCATCTTCTCAACCCAAGCTCTCCGTCCAAAACTCTCACCTTTAATTAGTACTCGCGAAAGCACCTGGCTCCAAGACCCCGGGGCAGCGCATAAATCGACTACCCTGGTGCATTTCTCGGGTTCGCTGTACGAAAATAGGTCGAATTGTTCGTCGATTTGTATGAGTTTGAAGGCGGAGCGTGCGCGCCAGTTTTGTTCTTTGGCCAAGCGGTAGTAGACATCTCTTTTGTCTTTTGAGGATTTGCCCATATCGATAGTAGGTGTTTCCTCGATTGGTGGAGCGAGCGTCTCAGTTCTGAAGACTTTGGTCCAGTTTATAAAATTCTAAGGGATCCCGAGCACGAAATCGTCTCGAGGGCGAGGCTGAGCTGTACTGCGCATGGCGGAGTATATGGTTTGCCGTGTCAGGGCATACGGTCGCGTTTTTAAACTTGAGCCGCAGTTTATGTCGCCTCTGTGCGGTTGAGGCCAGTTCAATTAGTTAGCATAGCCAAACCGTTTCTCAACCTCGCTTCCAGAACTCGTCAGATCAGGTCCCCATCTGCCAATTCCTCGCAAGAGGAAGTCCGTCAACCATGGCGCCCAGTATGTCTCTGCATAGTGTCGTCGCCATCCTTATATTATCCACCGATTCCTCCCCCGAATCCTCTAGACTGTTCGCCAAATACTACAATCCTCCACATGCCTCAGCCGCACCACAACATCCTCTACAATCGCAACCGTACCCGCATCTAAAAGAACAGAAGGCCTTCGAAAAGGGATTGCTGGAAAAGACTTCAAAGCAGACAACTGATGTGATCCTCTACGACAATAAAGTCGTGGTGTTCAAGATGGAGAGCGACGTCATGCTGTATGTGGTGGGCGGCGCAGAGGAGAATGAGATTCTATTGTATAATGTTGTATTGGCACTGAGGGACACGTTAAGCATTTTGTTAAAGTTTGTGGGCCATTTTTTCTTTCTTTCTGCGAACAACAACGGCTGACAAGGGTGACTATAGGAACTCGACGGACAAGCGCACCATCATGGAGAACTACGATCTGGTAACGTTGGCCATCGATGAAATTGTCGATGACGGCATAGTCTTAGAGACGGATCCGGTGATGGTGGCATCGAGAGTGTCAAAGGCTCCTGCACAGGACGCGCCGAATATGAAGAACATTGACCTCAGTGAGCAGGGGATACAGAATCTTTGGGAATTCGGGAAGAAGCAGGGAATGGAGTTTGTCAGAAGAAACTTGTGATTTTCTCGGCAGTGGAAAAGGTGGCATTTGATGTTCCAGGCGCGCTGAAGCTGCCGGCATGGCCCTGCGCTGGAGATGGAATTCAGGGATATTCCTGCATGGCGTTATGATGCGGAAATGGGGCAATGAGCATTATGACCATAAAAGTCGAGGACCTGGAGCCTGGCCGTCGTTTCCAAGACTTTGGGAGGATGGCAGCCTTGTTGGGGGCGCAGCCTTGCTGCCATGGATTACCAAAGCAAACCGACGTCATTCGGACGCTGAAATATTTCAATTCAAAAGAGTCATTCTCCCAAATTCTCAGTCTTAGACCTCGTCCTGTGTTGAAGCTCTGTCTTGCCTCTTCTCCTCTATTATATTCCCTCAGATTTGCGAAGAGGCCTATCATGAAACAGCGCTTCTCATCCCTCGACGTCAAGGTCTGTGTTTGTTCCCTGCCCCGCATGCACCCTCAAGCAGCAACTGACTCCGTTGGTGTGTTGTAGGTCATTGCATATGAGCTATCAACTTCGCTCACCGGCCTCCGTCTCTCAAACGTCTACGATCTCTCCAGTCGGATTTTCCTGTTCAAATTCGCCAGGCCAGGGAAACGAGAACAACTCCTTCTAGACTCTGGCTTCCGCTGTCACTTGACCTCTTTCTCTCGAACCGCAGCCACTCAGCCGTCCGCTTTCGTCAGCAGGCTACGCCATTTTCTCAAGAGCAGACGCGTCACCAGAGTCGCCCAGGTGGGCACCGACCGAGTCATTGAGATCACCTTCAGTGACGGACTGTACCGAGTGTTCTTGGAATTCTTTGCTGCGGGAAATATCATAGTCACAGATGCGGATCTCAATGTTCTCGCGCTTCAGCGACAGGTCAACGAAGGAGATGCGGATGTGGACGTCAAATTGGGTGGGAAGTATACCTTGGAGGCAAAACAGAACTTTCATGGCATCACTCCCTTATCAGAAGAGAGAGTTAGGTCAGTTCTTCAAAAGGCCGTTCAACGCTCGAAAGCTGCAAAAGAGGTGGGCGGCAAGAAAGCGAAACGATCAAAGGGGATCGACGATCTGAGGAAGGCTCTGAGTGCCGGCTTTCCTGAGTTTCCTCAACACTTGCTCGAGCACGTATTTAGGGAAACGGGCGTCAATGCGACCTTGAAGGCGGAGGATGTCTTGACAGACCAAGAGTCTCTGCGGTCAGTCATGTCTGCATTGCAGCGCGCAGATCAGTTGTTCAAGTCTTTGGGGACCGGTCAACCAAAGGGTTATATTATTGCGAAGCAGAGATCACCCCCTTCAGGTGAGGCCGAGTCTTCAGGGGCACAGGAATCGACCAGGGAGTCCCTTCTCTATGACGATTTCCATCCATTCCGGCCATGCCAATTTGAGAATGAGCCCTGCGTTCATATTCTCGAGCTCGACGGCTTTAACCGCACGGTTGACGAGTTCTATTCGTCCATCGAATCCCAGAAGCTGGAATCTCGATTGACAGAGCGAGAAGAGACAGCGAAAAGGAAATTGCAGGTTGCAAAATACGAGCACGAGAAGAGGTTGGCAGGCCTTCAACAGGTGCAGGATATGCATGTCAGGAAAGCCCAAGCGATCGAAGCGAACACTCACCGCGTGGAGGAAGCTTGTGCTGCTGTCAATGGTCTCATCGCACAAGGCATGGATTGGGTGGACATTGGGAAACTCATCGAAAACGAACAGAAGCGAGGAAATGTAGTGGCTCAAATGGTCAGGCTTCCGCTCAAGCTGGAGGAGAACACAGTGACTCTCCTGCTTGACGAACCCAGCTTCGACGAAGGCTACGAGAGTGACGAAGAGGACAATACAGATGAGGAGGTTGAATCTGATGAGGAGACCGACGAGACTCCGGGTAAAGGCGGACCCTCAACAGATAAGCGATTGGCCATTGATATTGACCTGGCGCTGTCACCTTGGGCAAACGCACGCCAGTACTACGACCAGAAAAGGTCCGCCGCAGTCAAAGAGAAAAAGACAGCAGAGGCATCGGCGAAGGCCCTTAAGTCTGCGGAGCAGAAGATAGATGCAGACCTCAAGAAAGGCTTGAAGCAGGAGAAGGCTGTCTTGAGACCGGCAAGAAAACAGTTCTGGTTCGAAAAATTCTTGTATTTCATCTCCAGTGATGGATATCTTGTGATTGGAGGCAAGGACGCCCAACAGAACGAGCTACTTTACAGGAGATACCTGAAGAAGGGCGACATCTACGTACACGCCGATTTGCAAGGAGCCTCAAGTGTGATTGTGAAGAACAATCCACGAACCCCGGATGCACCAATTCCTCCTTCAACTCTTTCTCAAGCCGGTACATTGACCGTCTGCACGAGCAGCGCGTGGGACTCAAAGGCGCTAATGGGGGCCTGGTGGGTCAACGCGGACCAAGTGAGCAAGACGGCTCCGACTGGCGAGTATCTCACTACTGGTGGTTTTATTATCAGAGGGCGCAAGAATCTATTAGCACCAAGTCAATTACTCCTTGGATTTGGTGTTTTGTGGTTGATCAGCGAGGAGAGCAAAGTCAACCACGGCAAGCATCGGCTTGAAAGGACAGAGAGCATGCTCCCAGGCGAGGCTGAAGCGTTAGCTAACGATGTGAGAGGGTTACCTATTGAGAAAGAAGACATTGCAGGCGAGGTGGGGTCAGATCAAGGACAGGCGATACCTGATGTTGAAGATGCTGCTGATGCCGCTGTGGGGGAGGAGGAGGATGATGATCATGGAGCAGCCTTAGATGAGGCGTCTGAACAACCAGGGCAGGTTGACGGCGAAGGCGACGGCCGTGATTCGACGGAGGCTTCAGAGGGAGAGGAAGAGAGATCGAACCCTCTCCAGGTCAATGTTTCTCGATACCATCAAGGTACCCGGGGAAAAGACTTCGACAGGCCTGCAATCGAAACCGAAGAAGAGGCAAAGGAGCATGCTTCAGACGAGGCTTCCGACGGAGAAGAATCCAATGACAGTTCAGCCCCACAACCATCTACACGAGCGTCCACGCCGGCGTCGTCATCACAAGCCATAACGAAGTCAAAAGCTGAACCACTCGCTCGCGGTAAACGCACCAAGCTAAAACGTGCCCAAAAAAAATACGCCGACCAAGACGAGGAAGACCGTGCCCTGGCCATGCAACTCCTCGGATCCACCCGCGCTCAAGAACGCAAAGAAGCGGCTGAAGCAGAAAAGGCGGCCCGCGAAGCCAAAGCTCAAGCAGACAAGGAACGAAGGAGAGCACAACACGCAAAGGCCGCGGAGAGGGAACGCCTACGTCGTGAAAGGCTCGAAAAGGCAGCCGCTGGCGGTAGCGCCGATGGCGGAGCGGGGGTCGTTGACCTGGACGAAGACGACGAATTGAGTAAGGAGCAACTGGAACAAGAGCGGCGCGAACTATTGGACATCGACCGCCTTGTCCCTATGCCGGAACCCGGGGACGAACTCCTCGCAGCGATCCCCGTCGTCGCGCCTTGGACGGCTCTCACCCGACAAAAATACAAGATCAAGCTGCAGCCCGGGAACGTCAAGAAGGGTAGAGTCGTCAAGGAGATCTTGGGATTTTGGACCTCTCTCGCCACAAAAGGCCCCAAGGTAGTCGATGAGCTGAATCACGAAAGGGACAAGGTCTGGAGACGCGAGATTGAGTTGTTGAAGGAGTGGCGCGTCGAAGAGATCGTGGGCGCTTTGCCGGTTAAGGGGTGTAGGATTGTGCAGAGCGGTGGGCTGGGAGGCGCGTTGGGAGGCGGAAGCGGTGGTGGAGGGAAAGGAGGTGGTGGTGGGAAGGGAAAGGGAAAGGCAGGAGGTGGTGGAAAAAAGGGAAGATAGCGAACCAGTACATATATGTAGGTAGGGGTCATGCTAGGTTTCCCTGGTTCCTCTGGTTCCCCCAGCTAGTACCCCGTGCTCTGTACATAGTGGGGAAGACATGAATTATGTTGAACTTCTGTCCGTGATTGCCGTCATCTAGCAACAATAATGGGGCGAATGCTCGCCGTAGCACCAAACTGTAATGCACACTGCTCATTTCAACGACGAATATTATAGTTTCTCCGATAGTTGCTCGGCCAAGTAATCGTTCGGCGGGCTCGAAACCTCATCGGGCCTTCACAGGAAGGACCATATGCATCTGCATCTCATCAAGGTCACTCGCATCGCTCCCACGACGCCGGTACTGGCTCTCGATGTCCTTGCCGTCCTCGCCCATGGTCTCTCCAGCCTCGGTCGCCCTCCAGACCATCTCATCCCACTTGGTGAAATCCATCGCCTGAGCTAGATACTGCGCCACTTCGTCTTGTCTGTCATCTCCTTCGAAGGCATCTTGAGAGTGCCACCAACGCCTCAAACCTCTTGCGTTCACTCCAAATCTTTCCCGCTGATCGTTTTCATTCTGTCTCTGCTGCTGTATTGCCAGACGCTTCGCCACTTCGTTGGCATCATGGAGTGCCACTAACTTCCGCTTCGCCGGATATTTGGTCATGAGAGAATTAATGAGGCGGTACATGTACCATTGCTGGCTGCGTCCGACACCGTCTGTGGCTTCTGTCTTGCCCGAGTCGGACTCGAGATTTGCCGCAAATTCCTGAGTAGGAATATCCTTAACGCTTCGCTCCTTGGTGGTGGTCAGCTTTGGGGGGTAGTCGATTTGATGTCGTAGATAGCTGGTGGTCGCCACATCAGATACAGTCATCCCTGTGGCATTCTCCCAGTACAACAACCCGGGTCTGTATTCCACGATGAACTTTACCAGTTCTTTGTGGCCTTTTCGTACGACTGAATGCAATGGATAGTCCCCTGCCCCGTCCATCTTTTCGAGGTCTTTACCGCCTGAAAGGGACAGGATGAGCTTGAGACTTTCTTCCCATCCTGAAGCCGCCAAGATGCGCCCCACGAAAACTGCTAGAGGCGTGGTACCTGTGGACTCAACACTGCTACATCGCTCAAGTAGCAACGGTGCAATGATGTTCTCATCCAGCATTCTCAAGATGGATCCAAGTAAGGCAGGAT